TGTTTTACTACAAATAAGGAACAGTTACATTTCAAACGAATGGATATATTAATTCAAATTCAAATGTCCAATATTATAGTTTTGCAGGCTTAATATAAAGAAAAAATAAAAATACCTAAATCCAGCAATTAAGAATAATGCCTTATAAACTAATTATTTATTATTCCCTTATAACCTCAGATTTATAGGTATATTTTTTTAAGCCCCAAATCATAGCATAAATGATATATACGCCAAATTAATTCCTCAAAAAATAGTAATTCAATTAGATTTTAATAAAATAGTAATTTAGAAGGGGCGCCCGGGCATCTGCCTGGGCCAAACATCTAGTTTTTTTTAATGTTAAAAACAATACAATTAAGTAGCTTGTAAATCAATCTGAATATGAGTGAAAGAAAGAAGGTTATGACCAGTAACAATAGTATTACATATCTCATTTCAAATATATAGTCGACCAATATCACTAAATAAGGGAATAAAGATGTCTTATATTTAATGTTATGATATGAGATGGTATGCATTATTTTTATTGTCCGTGTCCATTTTGTAACATAGGTCCTCAAATAGTAAATTCACCAGGGAGTACAAACTTTTATATGGTGATAAGGAATCAGTAATTAAAAAAAAAAAAATTCAATTGTTTCGCGTGAAAAATGAATTGCTTCTTTCATCTAGGCCCAAAGAAAAATGCACGATCAATTTAAACCTCAAAATAAGTATTAATTTGATTAAGAATGAAATTGTTTTTTATTAATAACAATATACCTTTATATATCATTTTAAATATCTAGTGAACCAACTTATTATTCAATGTTTTACGGAGAGTTAAATAATTATCAACCTCACTTTGAAGTGTATTGCATGCGCAAATACATTATTATATTTGATGTATATAGGGAGGTAGAAAGTTTTTTTCCCGACAAAATATACCTCATATATTACATTGATCAATGTAATTTTTTCCGTTCGTTTTATGTTGGAAGATGTTTTGTATTGAATTAGGAGGTGTGCTATTGCAATATATATATATATACATATATATATATATATAGTCAAAAGTCAAAATGCAGCAAATTGTGCAGAAACGTGCTTTTTTATATTCCCCTTTTTATGAAAAATAGTCTTGTTCTTAGTACAAATTTTAAATTTTTTTATAGACAAATATTGGGATAGAAGAGTTGATTTTAATCTAAGTGTACACAAATAAAAGAAAGTAGTATGTTGTTTCACACAGTAACACACATGCTAGAGTCCAAAATGGTAAATAAAAAAAAAATAAAAAATCTGGAGAATGATTCCATGGATCATTACTTATAAATTGTACCCAACGTAATAAACTTAAAAAAAGTGCATTCAACTTTCATTATTCTACCCTCATTGTCGTCATCGAGGACTAGTCCCGTTTTCAGATATTTGTCCACCGGACAATATGGGGAGGATCACCAAAGCTTTTCGCCTTTAGTTTGTTCATTGGACAGAGGAGTTCCAGCAATCATCAAGCCTTTTTTTTTTCCTGATCAGTATCTCATATCTCCAGACCAAAATACCATGTGTTGCATAGATTTTAAAAAGCTTTTATCAATGTTGAATAACAATTAAAAGAAGCTGGTATTTGTATAGAAGAGTTCTGAACTTCTAATGGAGTGTATAGTCGGATAGTACTGCTAGATGCTTGCCCCGGGCGAATGTCCGGGTATCGCCTGTATTTTTAAATTGATTAAATAAAAAATACGAATCATTCTTAAAAGAATAAAAAAAATTAGAAGAATAAAAAATCGATTTAAAGGATAGAAAGTGAGTTATTACACATAAATCTATGCCCAGATTTACAACATTTAATTTATAACAGTTAATTTATGCCCGGGTTTACATAAATCATAGACCAATATCTACAACAGAAGAATTAAAAAAAAAATCAGCCTTAAAAAATCAAATTTCTTTCATGATAGTTTATTTTTGCTCTGTTGTAAAAGAGACGGATTGATAATTGATGTCAGATTTTAAGTAATTGATTTAAAGGCCCAGGTGTAAGAGAAGAGCGGAATGGAAGAGATTCTTTGAACTTGGGGATTAGGAAGACATTACTGGTGTTTCACTTGATTTGAGTGGATTTCCTTACATTTAATTTTATCAACTAAATATTGTTGTTTTAAGAGATTAGTATATACCTATAATTAATATATTTTTATGTAGCTATAATTAAGGGGTTATGTATTTATCTATTCTGTCTTTTTTTCTGACTAGTTAGGGTGCCATGTGTCAAAAATGATTTTGTACTGAAAAATGGCTTTTGGCGGGAAAATTTTCATTGTGGTGCTGACACATGTCCTTTTTGTTTATTGCTTTAATTAAGTACTATAGATATCTTAGATCCGGAAGCCATTGGTGTGTGGTCGCTGATGAAGTCAAGTGAACGGATGGTGCATGAGCTCAACATGATGTGAAATTGGATTTTATGAGATGGCTGAGAATAAAGAAAGAGGTGAATATTTATACCGATTTTGAGGTCATCATTAGTGATTAGAATTAACTGGGAAGCTGTTGAGCGCCCTAATTTTTTCCTTTGATCGTCCTAAAAAATTATATTTTGACCATTTTGCTATTATTATTATTATTTTTTTAAAAAAAGACTAGCGAAAGACATTTGCGCCAGCCGTTCATGGCTGGCGTAGGAGAAAGGCGAGAAAAATTTTGCTGTCCAAAATGGGGGTGGCGCACAAATCTGGCGCCACCCCCTTCGGTTTGGCGAGCGTTTTGCTTGCCAAAACCGAAATTACTTTTTTTAAATTTTTTTTAAATTTTTTATATTTTTAAATTTAATTAATTAATTAATTTAATTCATTTATTTATTTAAATTTATTTTTTATTTATCTATTTGGTAGTTGAATAAATAATTTTAATTTAAATATGTGACTTTGTAATAGGGAATAAATAGGGAACCACTATTAATCCTCTTTTAAAAAAGAAAAAAAATTAAAAAATTAAATAAATAAATAAAAGTATTTTATATTTTTTCCAGGCTTTTTAATTTTTCGTTTCAACGTATTTTTATTTTATATTTTTTTCCAAAAAAATATTTCCAGGACTGCTAGATGCACCGATGATAAATAATTAATTTGTTTGGTAGTAAATTCATAAGTTTTACTTTCTATTAAATGATAATTTTTTATTTACGTTTAAAAAATTTTACATAACTAAATGATAATTTTTTATAAAAATTTGCTACGTAATTAAGTAATATTCTCCAAATATTTAAGTTAAAATTATTTGTTTAACCACCAAATAAATAAATAAAAAAATAAAATTTAATAAATAAATAAATTAAATAAATACATGAATTAAATAAATTAAATAAATACATGAATCAAATAAATTCATTAAACTAATAATTAAAATAAATAAAAGAAATTAATTAAATACATTAAAAATAATTAAATAAATAAATTATTGTTTTTTTTTTAAAAGTAATTAAGGTGGTACCATCAAGCTCGCCAATTAGCACAAATGTGGCGTCTAGAAGGGCGCCACACCTTCGCCATGTGGCGAAGGTTTTCTTGCCTCCCTTTAGTGGGAGGCGAGATTATTTCACGCCACCCCACCCCTTAAGGGGTGGCTTCTTCCTCCTTGGCCTTTTTTTTTTTTTGCAAAACAAATCAATGTAACTCTATTTTGCAGGGGCGTGCGTGTCTTTTTTGGGGCGTTCAATTGAAAAAATTAGGGCGCTCAGCAACACGACTCGATAAAGCTTATTTTGCACTGATTAAGGGTGATGAGCATCATCTTATCAAGTTGTTTAATTCGATTGATTTTGTTTTAATGACTATTGATTGATTTTTTTTAATCAATAATCTTGTTTAATTTTTGAATTTATACCTTATAGGATGTCTAATTAGGATAAGAAGCCGAAACCAACTTGAATGTCAAATTGATATCGAACCTAGCTCTAGTACTAATTACCAAAGAAGTCCCAATTTTGTCATTTTGAAATATTCCATTAATTCCATTTGCAACTAATAGTTTAAGTGAGATGTGATAAAATTTATTTACATAAAATCGCAAAAACTTTTAGTGTAATTGTATAAATTTTTATTTTTGTCATTTTGTTAGAAAAATGACACGTAGAATTTCATCCTATATGACACCTCTAGAAATTTTTTTTTATTTTCTCTCTTAGTACAATGCTATAGATATATGCTTTTGGTCCTTGATATAAGACATTATAATTTGTCCTAAATTTCACTTCGACGTATTTTTAATTGAAAAAAAAATTTAAAAATATTTTATAATCATTAAGATCACATAAGGGATATGAAAAAATATATTTTTAAATTTTTTTAAATTAAAAATATATATTAGATGAAATTTAAGACAAATCAACGTCCGAGGAGTGTGGATCACCGTTATTTGATCGCTATAAACTTGCACTCCTAGCAATAAAATAGGAAAAGAGAGGAAAACAGATGACCACGTGTTCCAACGAAAGCCTTACACGTCAAAAAGAAGAAGCAGGGGTGCGAGAGAGATATTCAGAAGGGAGCCAATGGGGAAGAAGGGTATCTGATGTGGGGACCAGCCCCGCGAACTGCAACCTCACACCCCAGTACCCCACGAAACAAAAATAAAAATTACCGGCATTTTTTGGTTGGCGTACTTCTCGCCCTTCAAATATCTGGAATTTATTTGAATATATATTAGTACAACAGTTATATATATATATATATATATTAGAGGGGGCAGGGGGGAACTGGGCGGGCGCCGTCACCTTCTTTCCTTCCTAGTCCACAATTCATTCCCAACTTCTAACTTAAGTAGGGGAAAAAAAAAAAGAAATCTCATTCCAATGCTACTATTCTCAGTTTCTTCAAGAGTAATTGAAATCACAACACGAATTCCATTAGACTGGAGGACTGATTTCATGTGATACACAATCAAGCCCAATGTGTAGATTTAGGGTTACCAGCAAACAAAGAAGATAGTAATATCTAAAGGATACACAGAAGATGGAAGCTTCATGCATTTTCTCCCGTTCCTTCTCCACCTCTCCTCTCACCAATGGAAGCTTCCACAAACTACCTCCACTTACTCTTAGACTAGCACCACTCCCATGGAACCTCCCTGAAGCTTCCGCTTTCCCTTTCCGCCGCTCCTCATCCGCCATCGCCGCCGCCGCCACCGCCACCACCACTTGCAGTGCTACCAATGCTAATCCCAAGCCACAGCGAAGCCGCCACCGTCGCGGTAATTACAAGAGATCGCCTGATGCCGACGCACCGCCGTCCTCTCTGGCTCCCCCCGTCGTCCCCACTTCTGACTCCTCTCCAAGGAAGTCGGTGACGGCGACAGCAACTGAGGGTAAGTCGCCGCCTCAGTCGCGCAAGGTGGAATCATCCTCGTCATGTACGCCTGGGATCGTTAGCGTCCGCGGTCTGCATCAGAACGGGGATCCACTTGGACGCAGAGATTTAGGAAAGTGCGTTGTGAAGTGGATATGCCAAGGCATGAGAGCCATGGCTTCGGATTTCACGGAGGCAGAGATAAAAGGAGAGTTTTCCGACATCCGACAACGTATGGGCCCGGGCTTGACGTTCGTGATTCAAGCCCAGCCTTACCTCAACGCCGTACCCATGCCTCCCGGACTTGAAGCCATATGCCTCAAGGTTTGTACTCACTATCCAACTCTCTTTGATCATTTCCAGAGGGAGCTCCGTGATTTGCTTCAGGATCTCCAGCGCAAAGCCTTGATTCAGGATTGGCGTCACACTGAGTCATGGCAGCTCCTAAAAGAACTAGCTAATTCAGGTTGCCATTTGCTCTCTTTCTATGTATGTATGTATGTTTATACTGTATATATATTTTTTCTTTGCATTACTTCATCTGTGGCAGTTATTATTATTATTAATATTATAATTTTTATTCTTATTCCTATTCTAACAACGCACAACAGTAGTAACGTTTCATTTATCAACTGAGAAATCCAGGTTCCCTTATTGGAGGTTTTATGATCAGCATAAGGCTCATGTCTTTTACTATGGTAGTAAGTATAGTGTAGATGTTACTGACTATTCTGGAAGGTAAACTTCATTTTGTAAGGGTGTCATTGTTCATATGACAAATGTTTAATTTAACACCAGCCAATAGGAAAATGCTTGTGTAGGTAGAAACTGACATTGAAAGTGTAGTAAATCTAAGTTCAAGGGAGTGAAATTTCAGAAACAATGAAAGAATTGATCAGCTCATTCAAAGTCGTGTCACTTATTCATTTTCGATTAGAGATTAAGTTTAAATTCAGCTCTTCAGCCTGCTGAACTAAATTCTTATTATGTGGGTTGATAAAACTACTGTTGTCTTTTTGTCCTTCCAGCTCAGCATAGAGCTATAGCAAGGAAGAATCTGCAGCCGAAGGTTGTACCAGGGTTGTTGGGGTTGGATGTGGATAGGGTTAAAGCTATTCAGAACCGAATTGATGATTTCACTAGGCGGATGGCGGATCTACTTTTGATCGAAAGGGACGCAGAGTTGGAGTTCACTCAAGAGGAGCTTAATGCTGTTCCCACTCCTGATGAGAGTAGTTCTGATTCGATAAAGCCAATCGAGTTTCTGGTCAGTCATGCTCAAGCTGAGCAAGAACTCTGTGATACTATCTGTAATTTGAATGCTGTTAGCACTTCCACAGGATTGGGTGGAATGCATTTGGTATTGTTCAAAGTGGAGGGAAACCACAGATTGCCTCCCACTACCCTGTCTCCTGGAGACATGGTTTGTGTGCGAACATGTGACAGTAGGGGTGCCGGTGCAACTTCATGCATGCAAGGTTTTGTGCATAACCTTGGGGAAGATGGTTGTAGCATTAGCGTGGCTTTGGAATCCCGCTATGGTGATCCCACTTTCTCCAAGCTCTTTGGGAAGAATATACGCATTGACCGCATTCATGGTCTAGCTGATGCAGTGACATATGAGGTACTATGGAGAAGCTTTTCTTATCATTTTGTTGATTTTTTCATCTTATACTTTTCTTATCATTTTGTTGATTTCTTCATCTTATGTTTTCCTAATAGAAGAAACAATATTTACTTTTCTCAGCAAGTCAAATTCAAATGAAAGCCGATTTTCTAGTTTGATACTTGAATATGATTCTAGTCGAAAATAGATCGTCCCTAGCCTTTGGCTGTCTAAGAGTCATATTTGGGTTTTGGTTTTGGCTTGGAGTGTGTGTAGTTTTTGCTGGGACGTCTGTATAATGTCATAAATTGCATTGTCCTGTAGTCTTCAAGTGATCAGGGCAGTTTTTATTTGAAGTAACATGATCACGTCAAACAAAACCTCACTAACGCAACTGAAGAAATTTTCTTAGTACAATTCTCATGCTTGCAAAATAGTTGGAAGGCCCTCAATGATGATGGTATCATTTGCTAGCTTGACAGTTATTATTTGTCACATCTCATTTTGCAGCGTAATTGTGAAGCTCTGATGATGCTCCAGAAGAAAGGGCTGCAGAAAAGAAATCCATCAATAGCTGTTGTGACTACAATATTTGGAGACAGGGAGGATATTAAACTACTAGAAGAGAATCACCTTGTGGACTGGGCTGAAGTAGAACTGAAAGGGTTGATAGATGATAGTAAATCATATGATCTCTCCCAAAGAAGAGCAATTGCATTAGGTCTAAACAAGAAGCGTCCTGTACTTATTATGCAAGGTCCTCCGGGAACAGGGAAGACAGGATTATTGAAAGAACTGATCTCACTAGCTGTTAAACAAGGTGAAAGGGTGCTTGTCACAGCACCTACAAATTCAGCTGTTGATAACATTGTTGAAAAATTGGCTGATACTGAGATTAATATTGTTCGTGTGGGCAATCCAGCACGAATCTCTCACTCAGTAGCTTCAAAATCTTTGGTTGAGATTGTTAAGGGTAAACTTGAAGATTTCCAAATGGAGATTGAGAGAAAAAAGTCAGATTTAAGGAAGGACTTGAAACATTGTCTTAAGGATGATTCATTAGCAGCTGGCATACGACAGCTTCTGAAGCAGCTGGGGAAAACAATGAAAAAGAAGGAAAAAGAAACTGTCAGAGAGGTATTATCAAGCGCTCAAGTGGTCCTCGCTACAAACACAGGGGCAGCTGATCCATTAATTAGAAGGTTGGACACCTTTGATTTGGTTGTTATTGATGAAGCAGGTCAGGCCATTGAACCTTCCTGCTGGATACCAATTTTACTCGGGAAACGCTGCATTCTCTCTGGGGATCAGAACCAACTTGCTCCTGTTATCTTGTCTAGAAAAGCTGCAGAAGGGAATCTTGGGGTATCTCTCCTGGAGCGAGCCTCAGTAATGCACAATGGGGTTATGGCTACAAGGTTGACAGTGCAATACAGAATGAATCATGCAATTGCTAGCTGGGCTTCAAAGGAGATGTATGGTGGACTTCTGACATCATCTCCAAGCGTCAGCAGTCATCTTCTTGTGGATTCACCATTTGTCCAGGTATATTTGAACTTTTGTGGCATTTATGGTTCCTATAGCGGGCATAATATCATCTGAACATCCATAGGATTGTGACCTATAACATGACGATGATCAACACATCAAGTTATCTCGTGAAATAATTATGAGATGCAATGGTAACAACTAAAATTATCACACTCCATGGGATATACTGTGTGGATCATATGTTTTGTTGCGCTCTTCTTTTCACTTCTTTTAGGTCTTTTCATTCCTCTTTTACTTTGAGTTAGGCATTCTATGTGCTGATATAAAAGTGACATGATTTAAAGAATGTATGTCATAAATTCTTTTCGGTGATTGTAGATGCATTTGAATAGTCCATTCTGTTTTGTGGAGCATTGCGTATTTATGAAAATTAATGCATTGGATATGTTACATTTTATACTTATTTTGGCTCATACACTCAGTAGGATGTTCCTCTTCAATTAAATATCAATGCCTCAAGAAATTTGAAAGCCTTTCCTGACCATTGTGTATCATTTCATGGAAACTTTCATAACTACAAACCATTTAATATTTTCCTTGTGTTACTGCTACAGCCTACATGGATAACACAATGCCCTCTGCTTTTGCTGGACACGAGGATGCCATATGGGAGTTTATCTATTGGTTGTGAAGAGCACTTGGACCCTGCTGGCACAGGCTCTTTCTTCAACGAAGGAGAAGCAGAAATCGTCATTGGACATGTAATTTCTTTGATCAATTCTGGTATTTCTTCTCCCTTACTCTTTGCATCATTTACTTATTTTCCACATTCATGATATTCTCTCTAAGATCCTACAAGAATCAGAAACTGATTGTGTGAACTGATTTCCGGTATTTCTTTTCTTTTAATCTATGCATTCATCAGTTGCCTGTGTTTAGAAATGGACTTCCTTTCTTCCCATCTGTTTATTGCTCTAGCTTTGCTTAGCAACACATTCAACTGAGCCAGCAAATCTCTTGTCAATAATTCAGCCTAAGCTTTGGCACAACGGTAAAAGTTGTTGTCATTTAACCGGAGTTTTGAAAGCTTGAGTCTAGGAACAACGTCTCAAAGAAATATAGGTTATGACCAATACTTGCTTGGCCAAAGTGGTAAGGTGCTTTGGTTCCCTTAAGCGAGGTCTTGGGTTCGAGTCTCATGAATGGAAAGAGCAATGTTGGGAGAGTTTTCCCTCCGAAAGGAGACCGACCCGGCTCGGTGCGGATTAGTCTGAGTGCAATGCACTTAGGACACCGTGCGCAATATGCAAATAAAAAAAGAAATATAGGTTATGGTTTGTATCACTTGGTTTTACTAACTGCATAAATCTTCCCCGGACCCGCCCATGTCTGGTGATTTTAAGCCTGTGGACTTCCGATTTTTCAACAAAATGTTTGCGTGTCATGCTCTAATCCAGTGTAAAAACATTGCTGCTGTCATGAATATGGATTATATAACAAAAAAGTCATGCTCTTAAGGTTGGGGAAAGTGTTTGTGTTTCTGGGTTTGAGCTTGTCTGTACTTGTTGAGGGAATCATGATGCGTACTGTTTAGCATAATTTTGGAAACTCAAAGTGAACCATTTTTTTGGAACAAAGGAAGTACACGCTTCACTAATGTTCGATATTATCAATGTCGTCTTTCTTTATAGAGAGGTTACTAGGTCTTATGTCATAGTTTCAAATGCAGGTGTAAAACCAACTGCTATTGCTGTTCAGTCCCCATATGTTGCCCAAGTTCAGCTATTGAGGGACAGGCTATTTGAGTTTCCTGAGGCCGAGGGCGTCGAAGTTGCAACAACTGATAGTTTCCAAGGCCGGGAAGCAGATGCTGTGATTATATCGATGGTATTCTCTTGAACCGATTGGAGTCTGCATGGATTACTTCTTTAACGTTTTGATGATAATGTTATATAAATGTGCTCGCTTAATTGTTTAGGTGCGATCAAACAATATTGGGGCTGTTGGTTTTTTAGGGGATAGCCGCCGCATGAATGTTGCAATTACACGAGCACGAAAACATGTTACCGTCGTCTGTGATAGCTCGACAATATGCCATAACCCATTCTTGGCCCGATTGCTGCGTCACATCAGATATTTTGGTCGAGTGAAGCACGCCGAGCCAGGGAGTAGTTTTGGGGGTTCTGGCGTTGCCATGAATCCCATATTGCCTTCATTCAACTAGATAAATTCGTTTGTAGTCCGTAATCCCATATTGACCTACTCATTCTCCGTGTGTAAATATGAACCCCGACAGTACATAGCGACAGCATACTGTAATTAGACATTGGACTCATTGGTTCCTAACATATTATTTATATATACATATTATTTATTCTCATTCCCAATCAAAAGGTTTGTAGTCCGTAATCCCATACTGACCTACTCATTCTCGGTATGTAGATCTGAACCCCGACAACTACATATTATTTATTCCCATTCACAATCAAAAGGCAAGACATAAAAAGTTGTCCAGGGGTAAAAAAAAATTAAATAAAAGTAGTGCAGAAAACAAACTTTCCCGCTATGATTAGAACATACATTGTACAAGTCAAACTAAGGGGGAAACTGCAAGCATCAGCTTTGAAATTGGAGGAAAACTGGCCTTCCATGCTACTCTGTCTTGACCTACAAGAAGCATTTTACTCTCTACCTCTTTACGAGAGTGATGGAAAATGAAAGAGCAAAGAGGGAAAAAAAATGCTAGATGATTCAAACGCTTTGCAGTTGATGGATGAACATAAGAGTTAGAGTAATTTTAAGGAGTTCCATAGTATGATATAAGTAACAAAATATTGGTTCTTGGAATCATGGAATCACTTAGTAGCTTCTGCTTCTCCAGGAGTCTTGGTGATCATCTGGTCAACTGCGTGCACAGTGTTTTGAAGTTCTTCCCATATGGCTTTGTAAACCATTCTCTGTCTATTCACAGCAGATTGTCCCTCAAACGCAGCAGATACAACATCAATGCTACACAATGTGCACAACCGTTAATATTTTGTGAAGCCAGATGCCATTAAGCAATCTTGCTTATATAAGACTGAGACCAACGTTCTGGATGTTCTGGACTTGGTTCATTAATTAATCATAATTCACATGACATAATAGGACTGATGCTCCATTCGTTCAAATTATGTTACTGCTTTGTTCCCGTATTTTCTTAGTGTGGGATTATTGTTCCACCATATACATTTCAAATTCGAGTTAGTCCTTAGACTTGGTTTGGTCTATGGTCAAATATTAGATCTTGGAAGTTCCCTTAGGAGTTAATACCAATAAAGCTATTCTATCCTCACAAGTAAAACATGACCACAGATGTTTCATACCTCAACCAAGAAATCAAAAGTTTAAGCGAGACTTGAAAGTACCTAACATGACGACCATCACCATAGGCATCTGTTACAATGACTGATTCTGCAGAAAGATGTTCCTTAATCTGTTGTAACATAGGACAGAAATTCAGAACTAGCAAGAATCAAAGGTGGCATGTTCATGATAACAGAAGTAACATAAGTCTAAATACCATATCACACCTTAAAAGGATCCACATCACTCACAAAAGACATATCAATATACCCATTATATTCCCAACCAAGCTGGGGTCTGGGGTCGGTTGGGCACAACCTTACCCTTCTAAATATACAAAGAGGCTGTTTCCGTAGCGACCCAAGGTACATTGTGTCATTTGGTATATTTACTTCCAGAAACGTCACTAATAGAAGAAGCACTAGAAATTAACAGTACCATTTTGATCTAGTCCATTATTAGCGAGAACTTTAATCACAAAAGATACAGATAAGAATTAAAAATGGAAGAGAGCTTCCATGTCCAAAAGACGAAACGCACACATACATGCTAATAGATATGTTGTTGAACCCTCTAACAAACTAATTGTGGCAATTTTCTTGTTGCTAGCAACAGTCTGCATAGGACACTAAACTTCAAACTCTCATTTACACTGAAGAGTTCCCCCTTAAAAATCAAGGAAGCTAACTCATCTTACAAATTTCTCATCAAAGTAAACCCCCAAAAAAAAAAGCCCAACCAAATTGCAAATAAAAAAGCGCAAAAACAGGGGATCACAAATTCAAGGTGAACTCAAGTGGATCTTTAAGATTGACAAGGAAATATTCAGCAAATCATGCTTGGCTTGAAGGCTCGTTGAGTTCATTCGAGCAACATTTAATTCTTTTTTTCCCAGGTTTTCATGTCCCTTCTATAAAATAGTGTAAACATGGTTGTGGGATATATCTTCATATTAAGTATGTGAAAAGAGAACAGTGTGATTTATTCATATTGCAGCAATTCTCAGCCCTCTTTTTATCGGCTTGCAAATTATTGAGAAATAAAGACACAATGGTCTAGACTCGAAAGCTCCAGTTTAGCTAAACAATCAAATATAAAGTTAAACTTATCAGCATATACACAAATACTATTCTGATACGAAAGAAGCTGAACCATCACCTTTTTTGCTAAAGTTACATGACAGCCATGAGTCCATGACAAAAGGAGATCAGTGAAACATACTTTAACTGGATCCTAAACTTGCAACCAACAACTGAAATTCCTCGAGGGCAGAACTATGTGTAGAAAGGGACAACTTGAGAACTCGGAAGAAACTAACAAATTAAGCAATAAATTACTAGGGAAGAGGCAGGGGGAATGAACCTATATATATGAATTTAAATCCTGAAGGTTAAAACCAATCCTTAACCTCCAGCCGCTGGTTGTGCTAAAGATTTACATCCCGTTACACCGCCAAAGCAACCCACGAGAAAACTGACAGACATTTATCCACAAAAATGTTGGTAATCGACTGATTTCCTCATGCGCACAAGAATATGGAAACAGAGGTATTTATACTTCAATAAAACTAACAACAAAAGGTACGTGGTAATTAAACCCTAGCAGAACAAGTCCTTCGCGACAAACAACCACTATTTGTTCGAAAAGTTAAACGAATATATACCGTGAGAGTATTAAATAACGATTGACGAACCTTCTTCTCCATCGACTGGATCAAATTGGAGTCCACAGCGCCGGACTCGTCGACTCCATTCGCCGCTCGGACACTTAAATTCCGCTGAGGAGGAGGAGGATGAGGAACAGAGCCGAATCCGAAACGGATGGGGGCCTGTTTTGCATCAGATAATATCGGGCGGACGGAATGGAATGTTCGTAGCCTTAGCCTAGACGGTGGCCGGAAGATAAAAGTGGAATGACGGTAGTGGAAGAGTTGAGATAAAATCCCCAAGGTCGGCCGGGCCAGTTGCGCCATCGCCATCTAATTCTAAAAATGAATTTGCAGAAGATAAAATGAGAAAATACGGCCGCGTTTGAGGAGTCTTAATAACTTTTGACCATCCATTACTATTTTTTGTTGGATAAATTCCGAAATTGGTCCTCTATATTAAGCCAAAGAAACTCTACAGATCAAATCAATAGGAGTACAGTATTTTCGTGATGAAATTTTTATTCTTAAAAAGTTATATTGAATAAAATATTAAAATAATTATATTAATAACACTAATTAAAAATGATAAAACAATATTAAACTAATTAAAATAAATATTTCAAATTTAATTTTAAAATACATTTAATTTTTTTTTTTTGCAAATTTTATATTCTTTTAAATTGGTAGATTTTTATAAAATTAAATCGTTACTTTCATGAAAATCTCAAACATAAACAAATAATAAGTTATTAAAATCCAAAAAAATATTCATATCAAATTTTTTATTTTAGATATTTTTTTAACTTGCGAAATTGAATGAAACTATATTTATGTAAATATTTTTAAATCTATTATCGTGTTAATTAATTGAGTTTTTTCATTTTTGTGGTGGTCCCAAGTTGACAACCACTTTTGTCCTCCGTCAAATGAAAAGATCAAAACAACACAACAAATTAAATATGAAGACCATATTTATTGAGTTCTGACCATCTTAAAGCTTCTAGAACAGTTATTGTAATTATTTTCCTCCCATTTGTCGTTGTTTCATTCAATAATTTAATAATTAATGTATAAATAGTTAATGGTCATCTTTTATCACAAACTTTGAAAACATTTTATAGCACTTACAAACGTGTCCAAAGGTCTTTCCCCACTCTAAACATGGTCGCAATATCTCTAAATATTGTTATTATGGTTCGTTGTTTTAACATTGTTGTATTTCTTTCATGTCGTTACTACGTCATAAATCTACTGGGAAAAAAATTGGTAAGAGCATTGCGGATAAAAAACTAAAAGGGTCAAAGGCTCAAATTTTAAGAATTTCCCTTTGCTATTCAGATGATAGAATACATGCTGCTATGTATATTCATTGTCCTTTATCGCCCTTCAACTCGAAATTAAAAAGTCAATGAAATTTCAGGCGAAGTTTAAATAAGACATTAAAATTATTTTCCTTAACTTATTTTCCAATGTTAACAAGATGAAATTTAAATTTTAAAAATTCAATTTAACTATAGTAATAATGTTTAAAGTTTAATTGAAAAAATCATTAAATAAAAAAGTAATGTAGAAAAGTAAATTTTTATTTCAAAAAGAAAAAATTAATTTAATAAGAACAAGTGAAGAAAAGGAAAAAACATGTGTACTAAAAGTAAAAGAAAAAGAGGTTGACTACCGTGGTGTTTTTTGTTTAGGGCTCTGTTTGTTTCATGGTGTTTTTTTTTTTTTTTTAATACAGTCCTAAAGTTTTAGGCGATAAATATATTTTTCTCAAAAAAACTACTCCCTCCATTCACAAATAGATTTCGTTGGAGGAAAACTCAAATATTCCAAAATAGATGTCGTTCTCACAAATCGAGGCATATTTTGTCAATTTTTTCCAATATCACCCTTACATTGGAAATTGTTGTGATGTTTAATGTAGAACTAGATGCTTGGCCCGGGCGGATGCCCGGGCAATTTCTTAAAAATTTTATTTGTAATAAAATATATTAATATAGTATAACTTGTCTGGGCGAATACCCGGAGACGCCTGAGTTTTAAGTTAAAGAAAAACTCTTCGGATAAATAATTTTTTTATTATAATATACTCCCTTCATTCTAAAATAGATATCATTGGAGGAATTGCGCAAAGTTTAAGAAGAGAATTATTACTTAGTTAAAATACAAAATTAGTTTTCCTCCAACGACATTTATTTTGGAATGGGGGGAGTATATAAGAAGAATAACATCAAAAATCGAAACAAAGTATGGGCAGAAAAGAATTCCAAAAAAAAAAAAGGTAGAATCAAACTAATATGAAACATAATTCCAAAAGTGCAAATGAAATGGCAGATAGGAAAACATGATTCAATGAAACTATGTTTTTTGGACAAATAACATACAAAAATAAGTAAAGGGTCAATTTACATATTCATAGGGAATAGGTTTGTATTAGTATAAAGTTACAAACTAATATTTGTCACCATCCCATCAAACATTCCCGCCATCATCAACTTCATGTTGGATGCAATGGCTCTCTAATTTGATCATAGAAATGTTGCATTCACTGAACTTGATCACTTACAAAACCACAAGGGCTTGCACAATGACATCTGGAATCTTCTCATTATATTAATTTTTCTGCAGAGACCTATCAAAGCAACAATAAAAACAGTAAAACCAGCGTCAAGTGCAACAATAAGCAACAATAAAAGCAGTATTTCAAAATCTAAAGATGGACCCTTGAAAGGTGATGCAAATTTTGGCAGCAACCGGTGAGCAACACCAGAAACATTTGCCTTAGATGCCTAAGACACTCTACCAGGAACTGCAAATTTTTAGATTTGTTAATATAGCAAACAAATCTTCTGTGAAAGATTCTTATCTAACAAAAGATAAATGCATTATCAGCACCAACGATTGTCTTTATAGTTCCAATCTTGTTTGTCTCAGTAGCAGCTAATGATGCTCTTTTAGATGTTACACTTGGGATGGGTTTTGCGTTGCTCGTAACTCGTGGTGGTTTATGAACTACAGGGTTTGAATTCTCAGGTCTAACAACAGACTTTACAGGACAAAGCACAAAGGGTATTAGGCAAAGGAATTTCTATTTTTCAAAATAAAATGGAATATTTACCACCAAGCAATGACTGGAGAATAGAAGAAAAACATAACTGCCCAAACCAGCTAAAATATCATCAGTTGAAAGGTTTAGAATGAATGCAGAAACCAAGCAAATTACAGAAATTGCTAGCATAGACCAGTTAAATACCAAATAATTCATGAATGGTTTGAAACTTTGTTCAGATGCATCATGGAAGATGTAAATAGCTTTATAGCACATACCTGCACAGCTTGTGATCTGACAGCATCCAGGTTAACTGCTCTTGCTGTGCCATTTGTCCTAAGAGTTTGCTTTATCTGAGGTTTGGATACGCTAATGGGTTTTTTTGAAGTGGATTGCTACTTCTGGAGAAAAGGCTTGTGAATGCATTAGCTCCTCTATAAAATAGAAATCAAGATAAAGAACAATTGCTCGTCCTTATTACCTGGTTTTGAGAAGATATTTCATTTTCTTCTTTGCTGTTTAAGAAAAGAACGGAAACAATTAGCTTCTTGATTATGATCGGAAAATAACAGTTCCGCTAGATGCTAAAGATCTTGACAATATGGAGAGCGACGATGTAAGGCAATGAAAAGTATGTGGTAAGTTGATGGCCCAAAAATGCAATCAATCAAGGTATTCTCGCATCACTACAATAACAGGAAATTAAGTAGGACAATTAGATCTATTCATGAAGATAATCCGAGACCAACATATTTACAATACCCTTTCTGACTGAAAAAAAGGGCTTATGGATTCAAGAAGAAACGCGACTGGAACAACCAATTTTTAGCATCGAAAGACAACTTAACTTTAGATCGGCAAAGAAAAAAAAAATTTTTTTCCACCCAAGCGTCGGCAGGGTCGGAATCGGAATGGTGACTCCGGCTGATTCTTCATATCGGTGACTGTGTTGATGGAGGATTGTTGTTGTTCCGTGAGATCCAACGGAGACTTGACTTTGAGAATATTCTGGGACTGAGGTGGATGCGGACTTAAAAGATGCCAAAGGTTATATCAATTCTCGATTCCATTATATGGATTTCAATTTACAATTTAAGATTTGCCTCTCTGATTTTCTGGTTGTGTTTAAAGTTTTTAAATTCAAGTTTGATTTTGGATGTGATATGTTCCCGTGAATTTCTCCCTTTCCCGTTTTTGCTGATTTATTTTTTTTCCTTTTATTAAATCAAACTTATTGTTTTATTTACCTTTTTATTTGCTGTCTTTTTTTTTCCTGAATAGTTAGAGTGCCACGTGTCAAAAATGATTCTGTACTGAAAAAGCCTTTTGGCGGGAAAATATTCAACGTGGAGCTGACACATGTCCTTTTTGTTTGCTGCTTTAATTAAGTACTATAGATTGTATTAGAAGTGAATTTTATTGGGACTACAATTGAATTAAGAATAAATGAGGGTATTATAGTATTTTAACAAGATAATTATTGCCTCCTTAAACTTTGTGAAATCTCTCCAGCGACATCTATTTGTGAATGGAGGGAGTATTTAGTTAGATTTTTGTATTTTAGTTCACTTTTTGCCCTTAACAAAACCACTCATGTGTTTCAAATATGGCCAATTAATGGTGACTTCTTTCTTTTTTTTTCTTTTTTTTGTTTTCATATTTTCAGAGTGACTACCGTCGATAACAGTGACTAATCCCCCTTACTGAATTGCAGGCATCTCGATGGGTGGGACAGCTGACTAAAGTATTTAAAGTTGCTCTATACCCATGGCGAGATTCGAACCATCGACCTATGGTTAAGGGTGGAAGAGTTCCTTCCACTCCACCACAACCACTTTGGTTCAATTAATAGTGACTTCGCTTGGAAATATACCATACTTTAGTGGTCCAATTTGAGTTTTGTTAATGTTAAATACAGTCAAATGCGCAACTGGTTTGGTTTGGAAAACATCTATCTATAATATTATATTAAGAGAGAACCCACAGAGAAACAAAAAAAAAATCTAAGGGTGTCACATAGGAATAAATCTTATATGTCATTTTTCTAACAAATGACGGAAATAAAAGTTTATGCAATAACACTAAAAGTCCTTAGGATTTTATGTAAATAAATTTTATCACATCTCATTTAAATCATTAGTTGCAAATGGAAAGATTGGAAGAGTTAATGTACGGTCATAAATCAACATTCAATCTTAATCTTAATCAATTAATGCAATAAAAATACATTCCCGCAAATTCAAATATTTTGATTAAAAAATAAAACAATTCCAAAACAAAATTTATAATGGATCAATCTATCAATATTAATGCCATATAAATTCAAAAAGTAAAATTAATATTGATATGAACTTTTTCACTAATCAAATTTTATACATTCTTTTTTATCCGGTCAACTTAGAATTATGGTACGTATTCATTATAGTTAATGTTGATTTTTTTAATTAGTGCTGATTTGATCAATACTATGATAAGCATTATGGTTAATGGAGAAAGTTAAAAATTTAAAATTAATCAAATTTAATGCTGAATTTTTTTTTATCAGAAAATTGAATATAATCATCTACAGTATTATACTAAGAGATAAACCAAAGAGAGAAAACAAAAAAGATTTCTAAAGATGCCAATAGGATAGAATTCTATATGTCATTTTCTTAAATATTCTCTAAAAAAAATACTAAGTGAAATTATGAATAAGTCCTCCTATTACAAAAAAAATAAAATAAAATTAAAAGGGCAACTTTTCCAAAAAAAAAAAAATCATTATCACATTCCTTCAAAATCTCGACACATAGATGAATTTTAAAATTTGAAATAATTTATTACCATAATTAGATTAAATGTGTTAATATTTTACATAATTTTTATTTTGATTACGACATCATACTATTTTTGGTATATAAAAATTGTGTAATTAGTATTTAAACTCTATCTTCAATTTTAAATATCATTTAATAACAAAATTAGAGTCACTTAACCAGATATAGAAAATAATAAACAAAATTAATGATAAAATTCGAATTTAAATTTTAAGTGACAAAGTGTGTATCATAATCAATTACTGAATTTCGTGTCTATTATAATTAATTTCTAATTCAATTATACCAAAAGCCTTAGGGATGATATACCAAAATCAAAATGTGCTATCGTAAAGGTAAAATTTTAATATCTCTCTCTTCTCTTTTCTCTCTCTCTCTCTCTCTCTCTCTCCCTCTCTCTTAAAAAATTATTGTTGCTTCTGTGTTGACTTGTGATAATGGTGGAACTTAATACCATAATAGCTGCATTTGAAGAGGCAAAAAAGAGGTAAAACTTATCATTAACTTAATTTGATTATTTATTTTTTAAAAAATGACAAATATTTTTGGAGAGGCTGTTGACATAATACTATACAAACTCTTTTTTTAAACATGTTTTGCAGGCCACAACAATGAGTTTCTCTGAAAGTATGATAGATGATGTCAATATCATTTTATCATCTTTAAGTTATTTGATAAATTGTTATTAGATGAAACTGAGATATTTTCAATTTGATTATGCGATACTATTTATTATTATATTGGTAATTTTTTTCGGTACAATTTATGAAATACTTTCATTATGACATGTGATTATGATGACAAACTCACATAATATTTAGTCATAAAATTAGTTAATTATTTTTTCATGTATCACATTTTACTTTATTCGAAATTTTAATAATCACAAAGATTTATACATATGTGACCAATTTTTTTATATTTCACACAAAAAATCATAAAATTATTGTGACATACCCGCACATCGTGCGGATTTAACATCTAGTTAGTGTTTATTATTGAAATATCTTCTTCTTCATTTTTTGGGATCAATAAAACATTGAAGAACACAGATAATCAAAACAAGTACTAAATCACAGAAAGCAAAGAACTAATTCCTGAAGACCTTTTTCTTTATTCTTCTTTTTTCCATTTAAAAAGATGAAAACCAAGAAGGTTCAAACCACAAAATTCCTCTCCACAAAGAGATGGAAAACTCTACTGCACGCGGAGCAAAAACATACACAAAGCAGTGTGTGCGTTTGCGCAAATGATTGGATTTCTATTGCATCTTGCAGTGTTGCATTGAAAACAGTAACCAACAGGGCGGTGACTTTGCCTAGTTCTCTGTCAGTGCTTGCAGAGCTGGTCTGGTACAAGCCTACAAAATCCAAGAATTGAAATTCCGATTATAAGTACTTCTCTTATCAATTTTGATGGACCGACGACTAGGGATGGAAATTTTGATATACAAGGAACCAAATTTAAATCATACCTTGTCGTTTCCCTTGTTGTTGGCCTTTTCTAATCGGGTTTTCAACTCTTTCTTCAGCTTCCCTAAACTGGCGTCTTTCCAAGGATCCATCGGAAAGAGGCTACCTTTCTTTTCATTCTTCTCTTTCGCAGGAGAGGTCATCATCAGGTTTGTCCCACAGTTCCCAATGATGTTGTTCTCTTTGTTCTCATCTAAGACTTTGGTTATGATCATTCTTTTAGCACTAGTTGATGGGGTTTTCCTCCCCGCCGACTTCTGCAACAAGGGAGTGTTCTTCTTCCCTGGGTTGGGAGATGATACAGAAGATATATTGCTTACTGGGCTTCTAAGGGAGTTGAAGTTTGCATTGATGCACAGATTATCATTCGAATCCGCTGTTACTGCAGCTGTATGCTCTTTCTGGTTTGGTTCAGTTGAGCATTCCAGGTAGATGTTGGTTAAAGCCTTCTCTTCCTGCTCATCGACCTTGTTTTCCATTTCGACAACTGTATAGTCAGCCACCAATCGTTGCTCCAATGCTACTACTGCATTTGCTCCTGCTGATTCTGTTGTTACGGAAGAGGAATTCAATCCAAAATCATTCAGTTCCATATCATTGAATTTCTCTGCCAGTTTAGCCTCCTCAAGAGTACCTCCATCTGCAACCATTGATTCCATAATTGCAGGAAGTTCTACCGCAGCGACACCACTTCCCACCACCACCACATCTTGTTGTTTCTCTGAAGTAGCCTCAACAACTTCACTAGATTCTGTAACTATTTAATCAACACAAACAAATATAAAAACGAGGATGATGAGCAGGCCAAATAAAGTGTCTGTCAGAAGCCAAAATTTATAAAATTGCTCACCCGCAGAGAATCCAGCATCCAAAAGAGCATCCATTCCCAAAGGATACAAATTTTCATAATTCACGTCCTTTTCCCCATCTAGGCTACATTCTTCAACATCATTGTTGGTTTCAGTTTGGTAAGGGTCCAGCTTAGACTCCATCACCTCTTCTTCTCTAGCAACGTTGACATTAGCATTACCATCAGCTGGAAGAAAAAAGAGAGAATTCATCATCAATTAGATAAATTATATCAACCCAATAACTGTAAAGGGTCTAACTCATATGATCAATATTATCTTCAGGAGCAGTTGTATCATCATTATTAGCATCCAATTCTTCCTCCCCTGCCTCAATTTTCTCTCTACTGGCATTATCGCCTTCATTATTTACTGTAATTAACATTTAAGTGTGTCGTTTCATTAGCAAAAAATTTACATTACAAAACGGTGTCACCATCATTAACGAAACGGTCACATCAGCAAAACATATATCTGCGCTCTAAGCATGCTACCATCATTTACGAAATCATATTAAGAGGTACGGCAATAAGGCTCAATGCTACAAAAGAAAACAACAAGCAATAAGTAAGTACTACTTACTACGATCATCTTCAGTGGCTGCTACTACATGATTGTTGGCGGAATCAAGTTCTTCCACAACCTCAAATGTGTTATGTGTCTTGGTGACCTCATCACGGTCGTCCTCTTTAGATACTGAAATTGGAAGTACAATAAAGTTATATGACAACAGCAAATGACTTACACCGATACAAATTCAATAAAAACTATGTAGCATGGTCGAAAAAAAAGCCAAGGCATTATTTTCCCCCTTTACTCATACCATCATCACTGCATATATCAGCAGCTCCAGCTCCCTCAATTTCAGATTCGCGGTTTTGATTCTGGTTGGGAGTAACAGAAGAATCGTATTTTGCAGACCAAGCAGCCCGATCACCATCAACATTGCTTTTCTCCAATAATCCGTCTTTTGGCTTTTCGTTCAAATCAATCCCTCCTGCCAAAAAGTAAATAATTTATCAAGATACCGAGAGAGACTTCCACAAAATAAACATAGGAAACCAAGGGAAAAATGAATAGAATACGTACTCAAGCTCTCAGCAACTAAATCCCAATCATAAGCAGAAGAGTCTTCTTGTCCTTTTCGAGCTTCTCCAAAATCCATCTTCTTCACAACAGTTTGCAGCCTATTGGAATCATCATCAGCATTAGCATTATTCTTCCCTACCAAGGCGCTATTCTTAATAGCCAACCTTGTTGATCTCCTAGTACCCTGCGCTGCTCCTCCAAGGGTCAGAGCAGCAGCATCGGGCGGAGGAGCAGGGGTGGCATGATGAGTTAGATTGTTGAGGTATTGTTCACCATTCAGAAAGCCCCTTCCCACCTCTTCTCCAGATCCACTAAAATCAAGGGTCTCCATCAGCTTAGCAGGAGTTTGGCGCGTTCTCCGGCGAGTAGCGGTAGCAGTAGTTCTTCTGCAAGTACTAGCACCACCACCTCCAGCAGCCGCCACAGATTTCGCCGCCGGGGAGATCTCATCCATCCCTTCCACCTATTCAACCACAAACAATAAATCATAAACGTTCATCCAGAAAACCAAAGAAAAAAAGTGGCAGAATAAACCTACAGTCCCTAATAAAATTAAATCCACTCATCGGCAAAAGGAAAACCAAACAAACAAGAATAATAAGAAAGAAGCATACAACGGGAAGAGCAGAGAGAGCATCGGCCATGGCGACATTGGTGAGATTCGCTGGGATTCGGTTCCTCTTGCACAGAGTCTGAAGCTGTCTCCTTGTGAGAGAGTGGAAATCCATTTTCGGCAAATTCACGAGAAAAGTAAGAGGGAATTCTTCTTCTTCTGCAGATAGGGTTTAGGCGGCGGATGAGAAATGGTGGAAAAATGTAGGATTTATAGAGTAGTAGTAGTAGTAAATGGCAGGCATTAGAATTTAGCCATTTAGGCGTAGGAAGGAAACATGACCGTTGGGGAGCGTTGTTGGACTTGGATCCTTCAAATTTCAAAATTTACAATTGTTTATCCACTATATTATTAATTATTAGTAGTATAATTCCTAAGTGTAAAGTTGGGACCTTCGGAAGAGGCCCAATGCTTTTAATATGGTGATTTAAGAAAAACAGAGGCCCAAGTAATGTATATGATTCATTGCGAAGGTCCAGTCCAGCTGCTGTCCAAACTCCAAGCAACATTCAAACTACCCAAATTGAGCCCGACCCGGAGAGGAAGAAGAGCACGTTTTCGGAATCCGCGTGACGCTAAAGTGCGCAGGTGGGTGGAAGGCGAAGGCTTTTGTAGCGTAGTCACGAAGACAAAGAAGAAGCGAAAAAAAATTTTCCCCAAAAAAATATTAAACCTTCCCAACTCGGTCGCGAATCAGTGAGTCACTCCGGCGAGGCGAGCCGTGCCGTACAGACATCATCAATAGCGGAAGAGGGGAAGAGAGCTGACTTGATCGATCAATACACCATTCCATCCATGCTAATTTTTATCGAATCTCCTGCGGGTATGAACTGATTTTGATTCTTGCTTTCATCTCCCCAAATTTCAATGGAAAACCTAGCCCTAGAACTAATCACTTGCACCACATTCTTCTCCTCCAGAATCCACTCTATCCTTTTTTTTTCCTTTTTTTTCCTCATTCATCTTGTTTTCTGGGGGTTGACCATTCAATTTACAACCCCCAAAAAAAAAAAACAGAAGCTCCCTTTTATTTGATTTTTTAAAGAAAATTTCCTTGATGTGTTAATTTTTTTTCCCCCTTTAGTAATGCCGCGTTATTCAGGATTTCAATAACTTGTCTGTGAATTTTACGCTTCGATTTGTTAGTGTTTCTATAATTCTTCCTATGTGGATTTAGTCATTTTGATCATGTGGTTACATCTTTTATTGGGGGGGGAGTGGATTAGGTAAGGGAAGAGAAGAAGATGGGTAGTTCGGATACAGGTGGAGGAGGAGCTGTTGATTGCAGCATTGGCAGTATTGTTTGGGTCCGGAGACGAAACGGGTCGTGGTGGCCCGGTAAAATACTCGGCCCTGATGAGCTCTCTGCATCTCACATTATGTCTCCTCGATCTGGAACTCCTGTCAAGCTTCTTGGCCGAGAAGATGCCAGTGTGTGAGTGTTCAATTCTTTTGCTGCGTTTTTTTTTTCTTTGTTTGCCTTTTGGTGTTTTTCAATGCATTCATTTGCATGTTTGATTGACTTCTCTATATTTCTGTCAATCAACTTCCTGTAAATGAGCATACAGTCTCCGTTGTGTTAACGTTGCTGTATCTTGTTGAATATATGAATACTGACTTGCAGAAAGCATTTGGTGTAGAGCTAGCTGGTCAGGAAATATCATTATTAGGGTGGAAAGGAGTTGAGAGAAGATTGTCGTGTTGGACATTTGATGCATCTCTGCCTATTAGAAGGCAAAGTTTATACAGCATTCTGCATGCTCACTCTCTAAGGTTCTCTAGCTGGATTGGATTTCTATGAGATTCATGAGTTGGCTATGGTTTTTCGGTTGTTAGAGTAGGTCTTTCATTCGTTGTACTCCCTCATATTTGTGTGGCTCGTAATAGAGTTTATGAAACCTTTCATGTATGCTGTTCTGGGTCGTAACAGGTTCTATGAAAGCTCTCATGTATGCTGTTTTACGGTCATATATCACAAAGTGCAATTTTGACTACTTCGTATGTACTATTTCTGTTACCTTTTGCTCTTTGACAGCTCATCAAAAATGTTTGTTTGGGCAGGGACTGGTACAATTTAGAAAAGTCGAAGCGTGTAAAGGCATTCCGTTGTGGTGAGTTTGATGACTGTATTGAAAGGGCTGAAGCATCCCAGGGTATGCCTCCTAAAAAGAGAGAGAAATATGCTCGCAGAGAAGATGCAATACTTCATGCTCTTGAACTCGAGAGGCAAACATTTGAGAAAAGATATGGAAAAGTAGGTTTTTCTACTAATGGTGTGCGTAAAAATAAATCACCAAATGATATAAGGGGACAGCTATTGATGTCTTCAGAAAACTTGGAAATGGGAAAGGGCAGAGATTTGCATTCGGAAGCTCATTTAGATTTAAGGAGTTCACATTCACAAAGTACACCCCTCACTGACCAAGTTATTATTTCTGAGAGTGTCAAGGTAGAAAATGAATTCTGTGCAGATGATGGCGATTCTGAAGTAACTCCCAGGATTAGAGAATTGAGGGACTTTGGGCTTCAAATTGTGCCTTCAAGTCTCAAAATTTCTCCTTCTGCATCTCTAAATGGTTCTTCTCTTAACCCTTTATCGGGTAGTGGTGCTAAAACTCATCGAAATAATGTTCTTGACCTAGAAGATGTAGTTGTTGATGGTGGGATTGAGAATTTATCAGAGAAAAGAAAAAGACTATGCGAGGGTTTAGGTTCTTGTGATGATATTCTTTCTAAAAGGCGTGAGAGGTGCCTTCCTATCCTTCAAGTTCTAGAGTGTTCAAAGGCACTCAGTCCTCACCCTGAGGCTGATGGTAGCACTGTGAATTTGACCTCAATGTCAGAAGATGAGCAGCCAGGGAGTAGCAGATGCAACACTTCCGGGCTCCATAGAGATCTAGAAGATGACAATATTGGGTCCACCGAAGATACCGAAACTGATTCATGTGAGACAGATTCTCTGGATTCAGATACCGATGAGATGGCTTCACTTTCAGGTAACTTTAGTTGGACGCATCTCTAGCTGACCATGCTTGCTTGTTTTTTTTCCTGTAATCAGGATTTTTGTTATTGCCATTAATGTTTTGTGTGTAGCAATTTGGCTGTTTTTGTTTTTAAAACTTCCCTGTCCTGAGTTTGTTTCTTTTGGGAATGCAGAAGGTGCTGCATCCATAGAACTGCAACCGAAATATCCTCAACGGTCTGAAATACAAGAAGAACAAAGCGTTAGCAGTGAAGAAGTGGATGGTTTGGGTCCTGAAAACGAGCCATCACAACCTGGCTATAATTATGACCCGGCGGCATCAAGCATGGGGATGTCCAAATGGCGGCTAAAAGGTAAAAGGAATACCCGGAATCTAGGTAAAAAGCCTGTGGATGGAGGAGGGGACAGAAAGTTTTCCTGGGTATCTATGGAGGAAATAAATGCCTTTGAGGCGATAACCAATGGCCAAGATGAACCTCATCCACTTGGGAAGAGTTACGGCCCTCCTCGGGTTGCCAGATATGGTTCTGTAAGTGGCAGAACTACTCAGTGGCAGCAACAATGGGATTGGAGCAACCAGCACGCTAAGTACTGGGACGACTTGGGAAAGTATTACGATCCTGTGTATGTTGGTCGTAGCCAATTTGGTGGAAGAAGCATGCTAATAGATGTGGATATTAGAGTCCAATCAAGCTCAAGCTATCAAAGAGAGCATGTACCTATGATCTCATTGAGAAGTAAACTAACTGATCAGGCAATAGTAGGGCATCCCATTCAAAATGAAGCCCTAGAAAACGGCTCTACTGAATCCCTCATTGCTGAAACGGATGAATGGTGCCCTGCGGACGTACAAGACAGCAGCGAAACAGCCCTCACACCCACTTGGAGAACGGCTAGGAGGACAGCCAATGTCAGGGTCCCCCGACCAAATCTGTCATCATCAGCAGTAGGTAACAACGATACATCCAGAAATCATCACCATCAATTTGTCGATAGCAGAAGAGGAGGAAACTCCTCGCGTAAGCCGCAAAAGAAAATAAGCCTGTCTTCAACGTCAAACCAGAAAACCCGAACACTTTCTTCAATAGCGTCTTCTCAACCCAGAAAAAGTGCAGCTAGTGATCCCAAACGCAGTGGCAGAAACGAATATGGAATGATGGACGACGGGCTGAAACAATCAGATTCGACATTGCCCGTTACGATTGTTTCTTGTATTCCAGTTAAGTTAGTATTCAGTAGGTTACAGGAGGAGTTGATTGGCCGCCATACGTGATAGTAGTAACTCCGAGTGTGTGTGTGCCCGCCCGGCCGCCGAGAGAGATAAGGCAGAAGATGGCTGGCTAATACATACAGAGATGATTAAGTTTAGGTAAATAGTAACAGTGTACATTTAGGAAGAAGGTCAATAACCTTGATAGTCATGAATTGGTGGGTCATAGCACATTTTTAGAGAAATATGATAGCTTCTGTAGTAACAGGGTTGTGCTACTTCCTTTATGCTGAATGAAAGTTTCTAAATTCCCAAACTACTACTACTACTAATAATAATAATAGTGAAAGTTTGAAATTTTGGCCTGCAAAAGCTCTCAACTGACAAACTGTAGAGAAAATGACACTGTAGCTAATTTGCCTTTAGTGTGGTGATTTTGGATGTTCAGTGATTATTTATTCATTGATTGGGATTTAGGTTGAAGTTCAGAGATTATTTATTTATTTATTATTTGGATTAGGTTGGAATGTATTGTTGAGTGGAAATTAGAAGAATTTTAACATTCGGGAGATGTATAATCTTTTCTTTTTTCCCAAAATGTATTCGAGTTGGGGGTTTTGAGTTTGTTGAGCTTAATTTATCATTTATCCAAAAAAGGAAAAAAAAAAAAAAAAAAAACATACGAAGGAGGTGAGAAGATAGAGGAGGTGAGAAGATAGAGGAGGAGAAGATCGAGTTTTAAAAATGGAAAAATAGAGACAGACAAATAAAAATGAGCAGGAACATTATTGGTAGAGTAAAAAAAGCAAAACTAAATAAAAAAGAGGGGCAGTGGGTGGGAAAAACTAAAAAAGTCCAACGGCTAATTTGGAAGGGGGTAGCCGTTGGGCGGATCCAAAAGAAAGGAAAACCCTAATTTCCTAATTTGGTGGCGGTGTTTATGTATATATACAGTATACCACTAAACAGAGCAATCTCAATTCCAACTCTAATCAAGTCACAATACCATCTTACCAAGCGCTCTCTCTGTTGTCTGTCTGTGTTTAATACCATCTTATTTCTTTCATAGAATTATTTGCTGTTGTTTACTTTATACCCCAAGGGATTCTGTTTTGCAGGCTTCTTTGGATTTTCTTCTCTATATATCTTTGGTTGTTGCTGTTGTATTTTTTTTCTTCTTTTTTTGGGTGTTAGTGTTTTCGTGGGATAAACTAATGGATGCAGGATCAGCAGTATCAATGTCCTCTTCATCGAACCAGGCCAGCAAGTCCAAATCCCGTTACCCCCTTCAGGAACATCACATTCTCCAAAGAAGAAGTTCCCGGGATAATGTAATTTCGCTTCTTTCCCTCTTTTGTTTTGTTTTTTTTTTTTTTTTATAACACCATAAATCTTCATTTCTCTTCTTTCTTTTTTTCCCGTGTTTGTAATCACTTCATTAACTAAAGATTTCGTTGCTGGTACTATGTTGCTCAATACATATGTATGTGCTTTTTTTTTTTTTTTTTTTAAGTCAAAATGAAAAGAATGATTTACTGGAACCGCGACTGAGAATTGAAAATGCCCAACTATTACCGCTACTATCTGTTGCTGCAATTGGAGCCCCTTTTCTGTTTGTTTTGTTTGGTTGTATTGTTTTATCATGATTTGCATTTATATGCTGCCGGCTGCGCCCCCCCTGAAGATTGGACGAAACTTTAGGTTCTGTTTCAGCGAAATCTTAATTTGAACTCCAGAATTCACTAATGAAGCACAATCACCAATGATAATAAATTGGATTGTTCTCATTGTCGATTCCGAGTTTGTTTATAATAATGTCTTGCCAATTTCCATTCAACATATGTAGTTTAGTCTACTCCGATGCTCCTTCTGAGTTCTGATGCACATTTTCTTTCTTTGCAATGCTGCAGTTGGATAGGTTCATTCCCAATCGATCGGCCATGGATTTTGACTATGCTCATTACATGCTCACTGAAGGTAGGAAAGGTAAGGAAAACCCTAACTCTGGTGCAGGAAGTTACTCTTCTCCTTCTAGAGAGGCCTACAGGAAGCTGCTTGCAGAAACTTTCAACATGAATAGGACCAGGATCCTTGCTTTCAAGAACAAGCCCCCCACACCTGTGGACCCTTTCCCCAACGACTTCCTCTCTGCTGGTTCTGCTGCTAATCAAGCCACCTCCAAGACCGCCAAACCCCGTCGTTACATCCCTCAGGTACCCTACGTGTACTCTTTTTCTGTTTTTTGATGTTGGTTTCACAAGTTTATCTTCCGTTGGTGAAAGCGATGCCTGATTGATTGTGTGTTTCTGCAGTCTTCGGAGAGGACCCTAGATGCTCCTGATATTCTGGACGATTATTACTTGAATCTGTTAGACTGGGGGAGCAGCAATGTCCTTTCCATTGCTCTTGGAGGCACAGTCTACTTGTGGGATGCAACGGATGGAGCCACATCTGAACTTGTCACCATAGACGATGAGAGTGGACCAGTGACAAGTGTGAAATGGGCACCTGATGGAAGACACATTGCTGTTGGTTTGAACAATTCCGATGTTCAGCTTTGGGACTCCACCTCTAATAGACTGGTTTGTTGTTCTTGCTCCTTTTCACCCTGCCATCCCACTTGAATCCAGTCTTCTTCTCATCGCATATTTACATTCCTTTCTTTTCACCTGCTCTGCAGCTGAGAACTCTGAAAGGTGGACATCAATCACGCGTTGGTTCAATGGATTGGAACAACCACATTTTGACAACTGGAGGGATGGATGGACAGATCATTAACAATGATGTCAGAATAAGATCGCACATAGTTGAAACCTACAGGGGACACCATCAAGAAGTTTGTGGTCTGAAATGGTCAGCATCTGGTCAGCAACTAGCAAGTGGTGGAAATGACAATCTCCTCCACATATGGGACAGATCCATGGCTTCCACTCAGGCTGCAACCCAACAGCAATGGCTGCACAGGCTCGAAGATCACACAGCGGCTGTGAAAGCCCTTGCCTGGTGTCCTTTCCAATCTAACTTGCTTGCTTCAGGTGGTGGTGGAGGCGACCGATGCATCAAGTTCTGGAATACACACACTGGGGCCTGCTTGAATTCAGTTGACACGGGCTCACAGGTATGTGCCCTGCTGTGGAACAAGAATGAGCGTGAACTGCTTAGCTCGCATGGTTTTACTCAGAATCAGCTCACTCTCTGGAAATATCCTTCCATGGTAAAGATAGCAGAACTTACCGGCCACACATCACGAGTTCTTTACATGTCTCAGAGTCCCGATGGGTGTACTGTCGCATCTGCAGCTGGAGATGAAACCCTCAGGTTCTGGAACGTATTTGGTACTCCTGCTGAGGCCGCAAAACCTGCACCAAAAGCCAGTACTGAACCATTTGCTCACTTGAACCGCATTCGTTAAATCCTAGTGTGATTGAATTTTTGTGAATCTGTATAGAAGTTTAACATCATAATGTAGGTACTGTAAGATGAATTCTTTCTTAGAATGTGCTTGTGAAAAGTTAACTGTATTACTCCCCCCTTCATCATCGTTCCTAGTCATTTCTGTGGATGTACTCACTTGTTGTGTGACGAACCACCTCAAGACATAATTATATTGATGATAACATTCTTCCACCTTGTGAGATTATGGTCTTTCTCCCCACCTTTTGATTGTGTGATGGCTCCTTCATAACAAAGTTCATTAAGAAAAGAGATTCTGCCAGGAAGTTGGATGAATCTGTTAGTCAAAACCTAGGTATAGCAGCAGTACTGACTCATTCCCTTCTTTTAGGCGCGTAACACTTTTTGAGTGCTTTGCAGTTCAGATCATTTTAAGAGATGGTATGATGCAGCAGTTTCCGAAGAGCAACATAGAGGAAGACATACATATATATCCTTGAAAAGCCATCAGTGAAAAGCGCCAAATTGTTTGACCAAAACAGTTTTGAGAGTAGTAAGAAGCAATGCACATGTAGTCAGACTGGTGAAAACAACAATCATTTCTAATAATTTTAACAACCCAATTAGACGAGAACGGAACTACTTTTACAAGAAAATGGATATTCTTTTAATCCAGCGGGAAGGCAAGAAAACCAGAAACCAGTTCTGAACCTTTACAATGTACAGACAACAGGAACAAAGCTATGTCAGAACAATAAAACAGGCGTCTGTTAATCGATTTGTCATTACATACTTCATTTTTTACATGTCTCTAAGCAAGAACATTTGAGCAGAACTTCCAAAAGGGAACACACATGACCATCAGTGAACCAAAAATACCCTAAGATGAGAGTCAATCAAGCCAACTGCCGTCTCATATAGGTGTCTTCATGCACAAAAACGGGTGCTTGACCTTGAGCAGCATTTTGAGGGGGGAACTGGGGTTGTCCCATTGCTATGCCACCACCATGAAGTGGCGCTCCTCCTCCCCATGAATTACTAACATTCTTCATAGAAGTCAAGGTAATATAATATATCAACCCAAGAGCAACACTCGCAAGAGACAAAACAGCAGCTCCAGCAAAAACCCCTGGCTTCACAACGTAACAGTAGTAATAATTAAAATACATATTCTCCTCCCCATGCTGATCATTCAGAGCTGCGCCCGTCAGCAGCAAAAGAAAGGAAATAACAAATGTGAACCTGCAAAAGAAACATACACCACATGATTCCAAGCCAATTCTTTTTGCTATAATTGTAGATCTAAGTATACTGGGTACTGACAATAATAAACAACTACTTTGCCCCATTATCTCCTTCATAAGATGCAAAGAATTTTCTCCGTTTGTTAATGGAAAACATGTTTCCATGGTTATAAAACAAAACAGACGAATAAAAAGAGAGTTCTTTTTAATAACTTATGCATGGGACTGACTTTCATAGCGGCAGAACAATGGATTTTATGACACAAACAGCGTAGCCGGGTAGGGAATAAACAGAATAATTAAGATGTAAACAGGGCATGCAATACTTGATCAGGAAATAGAACAAGAGGCGTCAAGAAATTAACCAGGATACGATGAAGCAGATAAGTGCAAGTCTCCAGTTAGGATTAGCTTGATGTGAGCCTCTTCTGCAGCAGATACACCCAGAGGCAATATTGACAATGATATGCGCGATCATAAGAGTGACAGCGGCGGTCAATCCGAGGCCCAAAGCAGGGCTCCTTGGATACACACAAACATCCGGGGAAGGAAATTTAACCTGATCTCCCTGGCCAAAAAAAATTAAAAGGAAAGGAAAAAAGAACAAATTCTCAGGACATGGAGGAACAAAAACCTTAGGATAAAAAAACATATCCTTTGAATCGGCAAAGCACAAGATACAGAAATATGGAATAACTCCATCACTACTTGAGATGGCCATCAAACCTAATGGTCCCTTCAGCTCTCAGGTCAGGTCATAATATGTGTACCCCACCAAAAACCTAACACATACTATTTGCGAACGGGAGGCCTCAGTGCAGCAGTGATATAACAGCTCCCTTGCCAAGTGATAAGAAGTCGCAGAGAAAGTTCGTGAAAACAAATACTCCCTCGGTCCCAAAATTATTGTCTCAGTTTGAGATTTCACTTTTAGTACAATTTGAACTAAAAATGAAAATTCAAACTGGACAACAATTTCGGGGCGGAGGGAGTAGTAAAATCTTAAAGAAACACAATAGAAGGTAATATGTTAGTGCCAACATTAGGTCTTGGACGCCAAACATTTTCCTGCGCCCCAGATAGTGACAACAGCCAATAGAATGTAATGTTTTCACTTGTTTTTCAAGTGCAAAGGGATTTCAACCGTAACCAAAAATCAAGGTACCGCTAGCACGCGAGAGTATGGCTAGAATGATCAAACAAAGATAACAACTTGACGGTGATAAATAAAAAGTTAATAAAGCACTGCGCATCAACGATTGAAACTTTATTAGGTAGGAACACACACGCACACACATACACACAGAGAGAAAGCCCCAAATCAAGGCAACTAAAGAGGTTGTTTGGCTAGAATCCATCAAATGAGGTGAAGGACTTAACCTTAAGATGCACTAAGTATCAACAATTAAACATCTACACATATGCAAAAATCACGAAACAAAAAAGGAAAAAGGAAAAAAGAATACAGTGTTAATGGGATGGGGTATAAGACGGGAGGAGAGACCTTAATCCTGGTGGCTTCAGCAGCAAAACCAGTGGCAGCAGATAAGAGACCCAAAAGTCCCACAACACCGCAAATCACCTGCACCTTTCTCTCCATTTTTTAAGCAGTTGGAATAAGAGTTCCTTAACTCAATTCTTCTTTTCCCCTCAGAAAAGCAAAGGCAAATAGCTTAATAAGTAAGTATATGGAAATGGTAAAAACTAAAAAGGAAGAAATGGGGGCGGAGGTGAGTTTGACAGTTGGGTTGTTCCAGATAAAGAGGCAAAGAGAAAAGTTAATATGAAGGGCAAAAGAAAAGAGACAGGGTGAAATGCAGTCTACAGTCTTCACACAAGAGGAGCGAATAGAATATTGTATGGTAAAGCATTCAGTTGTGGTTGAGTACTTGGGTCAGTTGGGTGGTTGTATAACAACAAGAGTACAGTATAGCACAGATGAATAATAAAGGTTAAAGAAGGTAAAATGATGCTTATAATATACTACTAATATAGTAGTAGTATACAGCATTCGCCGTTAAAGTAGTAGTTACCGCAGGCAGTTAATAACTCGCCGGTCCTTATTATATGATATTTTACTTTGTTCTAAATTTCACTTCTTACTATATTAAAAACAGAAATCACACTTAAAGAAAGCACCATCATTTGCCATGTGACATTTTCACATCATATTTTTAAAATAAATTTTTATTTACACATTAGTTTTCTAGACTTAAAAATAAATACAGTCCAAATCCACTTCCACCTCCTATTTTCGCCAAAATAAATAAATAAAAATCACGGATTCATAAAAATCTCAAATCCTCATCCCCATCTCCACGACAATCGACTCCCTAATCAATCTCTTCTCCACAATAAAAAAAAAAAAAAACAAAGTCCTCATCAATCATCAACTGAGAATATGTGGTGAAATATACTCCTTTCCTATTAGCATGTTTAATCTTTTTATTAGTAATGATTAACTACATCCTAATGGGATAAACTTTCGATTTCAAGAAATATTATCTTTACCTCTCTATATAAAGACAAAGAAAAAAAATTAAAAATTTTTCATTGATCTTGCTTCGGCCGTTGTGGTGATGCCATTACAAGTATTGAAATTTAAATGATTTTATTTCCACAAATCATTTGTTTGGCTTTTTTTATATATTTTATTTTTCCCGTTCAAGAATAGTGTTATTATTATTATTATTATGCGACCACCCGTTACAGCTACAGTAGCCGTTGTCAGGTAATATGATGTAATTTCTTATATGGCTAGTTAGCCTAGAATTTTTGCATGATTTTAGTTCTATTTGGATTGAATTGATCAATTGGGTTTTTGTTACAAAGTGTGGTTTTTTTAATTTCTTTTTTATGCTTCATTCCATTAGAGTGGTTTTTTTTTTAATTATGGAGTCTTAATTTTTTTTTCTTATATGGTCAGTTTTGAAATGTGTTTTTTCTTTATTTTTTTTTTATTTTGTTTCATACTCCCAGTTGGCCAATTATTATTATTATTATTATTATTATTTGGCAAATGAAGTGTTTTTTTTTTTTTGTGTTTGGACTTTCAAGAATATACTTTTTTGGATTTGGTTTTTGAACTTTTTTGAGTTTTTCATCATATAAATAGTTCACGTTGTTTCTTCTAACTAATTCATGGGGAAATCTTTTATGAATTTGAGGTGGAGAGGGAAGGAATGATGTTTCTACGTTTATTTGTGTTTTTATACATTATTTTTACCTACAGGAAAAAAGATAATTTCTCAATTTTTAATGGGCTCTTTTACTTTTTTTTTATTATTTTATTTGCCATGGTGAGGTGAATTATTTTTTGCTATAACTTCAAACCTCTGCAAATTTACATTAATTTTCATTCTCATATTTGTGATCAACCTGTTTAAAAAAATTAACCAGTTTCAAAACTATATTTTAATATTTTACTACCTTTAAACCTTTGGAAGAAACAGTTCCAACAATTAAGCGTATACCCTTCGGAGGAATCTTACTACAAAGCTATTATAAATCTCCAAAACTAAGTATTTATTTGGCACGACCAATGGAGAACATCAATAAATCATCTTGCTAATATTTAAACTTATTAGAATGTTTTTATATTTTGTCTAACATTTACTTCAAGACATATATTTGATCAAGTTTATTTATATTTAATAAGTAACACTTATAAATCATTTCTAAGATATTCAAACATTTTTAAAACGTAACGGGCCAAATACAATTTCTTTTTTTGCCAAACACAAATATTTCTATGACCACACTTATAAAATATTTCTAAAAATTCTTCGAACGTTTCAAAAATATATCGAGCCAAATACAAATTTTTTTTTTAAATACAAATATTTCTAAGATCTACAAATATATTGAGCCAGGGTCGCGCATTGTGCGACCAGACATCACTAATAATAATTAAGATAATACAATGAATATGGAAATGTAGTTTTATGGCTGTTTTTCCTAATCGAAAAAACATAATAGGTTAAATGTAAGACAAATTAAAATGTTATATAATAAACACTGTTATATTTCATATTGTCGGATTTGGATTTTTCTTCTTATCACCAACTTTACTAAAAATAAAAATTTTAATTGATCAATTAGTCTAGGATGTAGAGAGTACTAAGGAAGTGGATAATTTTCTGTGTCACATACCGGAGTGCTATAAATCTTCCAGTCCCAGGGTGATGACTCCTCTAGTCAAATCCATTTTAGTAAGAGGTTTTTTTTTTTTTTTTTTTTTCAGCAACAATAATCAATTTTATTAAAAAAAACATGAACTATTCCACGAAAGATAAGCTAAATCTAGCTATAGCAGAAGAACAGCACTCTATTTCATGAACTATTATAAATCTAACTAAAATCTTTTAATAAGAGGTTTCAGAAGCAGATTTTTTTACCCACCTTTACGTGTCGAAGTTTTCATTTTTTATAAAGCCTTTAATATATATTTTTTTTGTTTACATCTTTTCATTTTTTCAGGGTAAAACATGATAATGTTCATTTTTTTTTGAAAAAAAAAAACAAAATGGTCCAGCGACATACATTTGAACTATCACTGTATAGACATAAGAGTAAATGGTTGTACATATATGAGATAAATTTTAACTATCCATCTAAGGATAAAAAATGAAATAAAAAGTGTACAAATAAACAAAATAATACACATAATTTTTTAGGGTCATTAAATTTTCACTAAATTATTAACTGTGTTAAGATCTTCCCTTTGCGTAAGTTTGAGGGTCAACGTTAGTCATTTGAAAACTGAGATAGTTGTGAAATTAAAACTTGGATTGGGAACTTGATCTTAATCAACACTTGGCCAGGTCATTTTATACAATCCCTTTTACCCTATTAAAGTAGAAGACATGAAGCTTATGTGGCAACTAAGTATGCATCTGTTTTGGCTCCAATGCACCATATTTCAGATTTCATGAATCTTTTTGCCACGTGTAAGTCTCTTTTAATTAGAAGTTATATAATTTTTTTTAAAAAAAAAACACATATTTTACTACAAATAAGGATCAGTTACATTTCAAACGAATGGATATATTAATTCAAATTCAAATGTCCAATCGTATAGTTTTGCAGCTTAATATAAACAAAAAATAAAAATACCTAAATCCAGAAATTAAGAATAATGCCTTATAAACTAATTATTTATTATTCCCTTATAACCTCAGATTTATAGGTATATTTTTTTAAGCCCCAAATCATAGCATAAATGATATATACGCCAAATTAATTCTTCAAAAAATAGTAATTTAATTAGATTTTAATAAAATAGTAATTTAGAAGGGGCGTCCGGGCTTCTGCCTGGGCCAAACATCTAGTTGTTTGTTAAACTACATGATTGATAGGTGTAATTCCTATACTAATCATGAAAACAGTTTACATTAATTACTATTATTTTAGGAACTGAAAGAAAAACAAGCTCCTCCTTACTCAAAACTAAAATGATACAAAGAGGGAGTAAGAAAGTCCGTTTCCAATCTATAAGATTATACTAAGAGAGAAACTAGAGAGAGAAAATAAAAAAGAATTCTAAAGGTGTCACATAGGATAAAATCCTATGTGTCATTTTTCTAATGGTTGAGTCAAAAAATATTTACAACAATTATACTAATAGTCCTTCAAATTTTGTGTAAATAAAGTTTTATCAAATAGCATTTAAAACTATAGTTTAAAATAGGAAAATAAAAATTAATTAAATTTAATGGACGGGATTAATGAACGAACATTAATGCACCAGAATTATTCTCTCCCCAAAAGAATCCCCAAAGTTATTACTGGACTCATTTAATTAATCTCTTTCAAAAAAAAATCTCTCTCCCAATCATGTAAATCAATAGACTACAATTCAAAAATAAAAATAAAATACCAATCATTCAACAATAATGTTATCTTTAAAATCTTCTCCCAAAAACATAACCCTGTATTTTTCGCCAATAAAAAAGAAAAAAAAGTACAAAACTTGCCTTCAATTATTACTAAAAGGATGGGATTTAACTATAATTAAATGTTATCTTTTGAATTTCAAACCAATGCATTTATTTGTGTAATATCATATATACCCAAATAAATATAATCTTTCCTTAATAATAGCTCAAAAATTGTTATAAACTTTATCTTTATCACTGAAATTTTGGATAATCAATCATCATCAATCCCAATTTATCTCTATTTATACATGCCACACAAATCATGAGTGTGTTCCAGTGCTGCAAAAATTTCTCTCTCCTCAAAAAAACCCGAAATCCAAAGATGAAAGAGCAAAAATTTTAGCCCTACAGTTGGTTTGTTGTTCTGAAAGCGATGAACTAATAGTGGGTGGATCGTGTGGCATGGGAAGTAATGGTTAGTTAAGGTTGTATATGATTTTTTTTTTTTTCCGTACGTTCTTCTGCAAAATGATGTTTTAGGGTTTTTTTTTACACGTTACTAAATTTTTTTTTTTGACCCATAATTTCATAATTTCATTACTTATTATTTTCTATTATCATAGCAAGAAGGGAAGGGCAAAAATTTTAACTCTACAGTTGGTTTGTTCCTCTAAAATATTAAGTATTGAGCCAAACAGTACCATAAAATCTTTGATTACAACAAAATAACCATAAAAATTTTAAATTTCATACTTCAATCACACATAATCTACCATCTACTATTGATAATTATTTCATTATGTATTTTACGCGTACGATCATTTTATCTTTTCATTCAATATGTAAATACAATCTTATTTATTTTACTCTGCTTATGAGTGTTATTGTTCAGTTCTTCTCCTTCAATAAAAATCAAGTGAACACTTACATTTCAAATGATATGTATTATTTTATCTTTACAATTACATCTTTATTTAATTTTAGTTGTGTAATATATCTTAATATGGACTCCAAATACATTTTACACTTTTTATATTTTTTTTATTGATTTTTTATAATGTATATAAATAAATCCCTCACATCGCGCGGGTTTAACATCTAGTAAAAAGAAAAATCAATCGATCAAGTGAATCAATAACGAGAGGGGTGATTATTGTTCACATTTTCCGATGGTATATATATTTTTAAAAAGTTTTTTTCTTTTTGAAAGGAAGGGAAAAAAAGTAAATAAAAATAAAGAGCAATAGAAAGATGAATAAGAAGGTAGTAGTAATAATAATACTAGAGCCCGAGAGCAAGTGGTAGTACTATTGAAGACCATAAACAAGTAAAGCGGCAACGCCAGCAAGACCGGCAACAAGGCCAATGATGACACCGATGGGAGGCAATCCACCGCCAATGGGTTTCCCGGTGTTCACATCGTATCGAGCAAACCTCTTTTTTGGTGCTCTGCATTGTGGGCATGCATAATCCTCCCCCTGTTTTTTTACCATCAATCTTTTAATTACTATACAATCTCCAAGATTTTTCTTTTCGATTTTCCAAAATCACCAGAAGAAAAGTAAACTAATAGTAGTACTAATACTACTACAAGTCTACTATTATTATTAGCAAATGAAGTTGAGGAAGGAAAAAAAAAAAAAGCTTGCCTGTTCTTCAAAGGGTTTCTGTAGGGTGTAAATGTATCCACAGTCTAGACATATATGAGTTGCTCTGGCCTGAAAATAAAAAGAAAATAAAGATCAAATCTCATTTAGGAGTAAAATACTACTAACAAACTTGAGGAAATTAAGACACGACTAGTAGTAATTAAGGTGGTGGGTATTGCCTTCTGGGCATCAGTTAATTTGCGACCAAATTGTGGAGGCGCTGGCCTCTTTTGCAGTCTTTTAACATCTACATCTGCTCCTCTGCATCTCCAAACCATCCATCCCATTCAGAGAAAATATATATATACTCCATTAAAAGAAAACACAGAGGAGGTAGCTATAGGGACAAGAAAAAAAACAAATGAACACAAACAGATGCATGCCTGCTAACGACAAAGTAAACAGAATCAGGCTTGGCCTGGATAGCAGTTTTGGTGAAACCAAGCTTATCAGCAGGCCAGAGTTCATCCCCAAAGAAGCTGCTGGTGTACAACACCTGATCTCCCACCTTCAGCCCTGCTCTTGCTGCATTCCCACCACTTTCTACTCCCTTCCAGCATTCCAATTAATTTTAATTAACAGAAGAACAATTATTATTAATTAATAAAAAGGGCGGGGAAAGAAACTATCAACAACAACAAGAAGGACTCACAGTGATGACAACACCACCGCCAGGCTTTTGACCAAGAGTGAGTCCCAGGGGTTTATCCACCTCCACTTCTATGCTCTTTGAAGCTGTACTTCTGGCGGTTATTTCCATGGATCGTGGTTTGCGGCTTCCTCCACCACCAACCAACCTCCTCCTGCTGCTGCTGCTGCTGCTGCTTGAGACTCCCGCCCCCCATTTGGCTTCTTTGATGGACACTCCATGAAAACTAGATTTCTGCATCGCCCCACCGTCAATTAATCATATTAGGATCTTTATTAATCATTTTGAAAACTATAAATGTGTACCTGAATGGGTAGCAATAACGATGAGGAGGACTTGGCATTGGCAGATTGGGTACTAGTTGTTGCTGCGCCAGGGAGGGATAGCTTTGCTGTAGTTGCAACATAAGAAGATGCCATTGTTGCCTCCCCACGCTTTACTAACTTTTTTTCAGCTCAAATCCAACTCAAACACTAGCTAGTATGTATGTGTATGTCAAATTTTGCCGCTGCTAAACTAAACAGACAAAGGTCAGCCAATTAAAACAAGCTTTCAGGTGCCAACCGTCTTGTGGAGGAGAAACCAATTCTCACCCCCACCCACCAAACACAGTTTTCTTCTCTTAAACATTTTTTTTTTTTAGAAAAATAATAATAATCCAAAAGCGTCAAAAAAAATTATCAACAACTGCTGGTTACCAGAGAGCCACACCTTCACTCCATCCCACCCGTTTAATGCATCATGGTGTTGTGTGTGTGTGTCATCTCACCCACACGCGTACACCTCCTTTATTTATTTATTTTTTTGTCAAAAGCAATAATAATATTTAATATTAGAAGGAAATGTAAATCAACCATATAGTCGAGCAGTACAATACAAAAATTAAGTTACACAATCCGATGATTGAGCTAATTTAATCTACCATACACGGCATCTCAACCTACAGAGTAGCAGACGTGCCACTATCTGTGTACAAGTGTTAAAAAGGTTAAATTGGCCAGATTGAAACAACTTCTCTAATAATTAAAGTATGGAATTCCAAACAGATCTACCAAAGAAAATAATACAGAGAAAACTAATTTGTAGGATAAAGTTCCAATACCAATCTAATTCGAACTAAAACTGAATGTAATGGTAAATCTACTAAACAAACCTAGAAATTATAGATCTGGATATTTTCCTTCATCCTTGTACCTTGGACTCCATGATTCTCTCTATACCATGATTTCTTCTTCTTCGGTGTCACTTGGATCCATACTTCTTCCATCAGATCTGTTGGAAAACTACCTAAAAACAACAAAATAAAACAAATAAAACCTCCTAAAAAGGAAGAGCAAAACACCCATCAAAGGGTGAGAGAAACTCCCCAAAGTAAGAGTAAAAACACAAAACAAAGAAGAAGAAAAGTAAATTTGAGCTCCCCCATCCCCATTAATGGTAGATGGGGGAGAAGGAGGAAGAAATTTTTTTTAAAACTTATAGAGAAGGGAGAGAGTTTGAGTAGAGAGAGAAGGGAGGAAAAGATTTTTGATTCCGTATACCTCCTTTATGAGCAATTTGTTTTTTACGCTTGATGTAAGTTGTAAAGGTATTGGGTAAAGTTTACCAACAATCTATGTTCAAATGAACATGAATAACAACATCTATTTACATATTTGTTGAAGAACTTTTATTTTCGATTTACTTTGCGGGAATCTAGATTAGCGACTTTACTTAGGGTCTGTTTGATAATCACTGAAGTATGAATCTGAACATTTAACACTTAACACTGAAGTCTGAAGTCTGAAAACTAAATTTACATTGTTTGATAAAAACGTCTGAATATGATGTCTGAAGACTGAAATCTGAAGTCTGAAGACTAAATCTGAATACTCACGTCTGAAAATTATTTAAAATTTTAATATCATTAAAATTGAATTATAAACAAAATTCTTTTAAATAGAAAAATAACTAATATTTTGTTTTAAATAATAAAATAATAATTTTGAAATAAGTTTTTGTATATATAATGAAAGTAGATGTTACACTTGGTAAATAATCAATATATAATTAAATTTAGATTATTACATATATGTGTATACATTGTTATTTAGCAAATTTCATGTATTAAAATTAATTTAATTTGAGTTTGAAAGTTTGAGATCTTTTATACACATAATATAAATTCAACGTTAAGCACTCTTAATTAATTTATCTTAAGAAAATAAAAATTTTAAAAACAATGTAAAAATAAGCGACAAAATGAAGACGGGGAAAAAAAGAAAAAAGAAAAAAAAGAGTTACACAGAAATTAAGTGATAAATGATAAGTGATAGGCCTATCACTTATTTTCTGGCTCACAATTGCACTGGCCACTCAGACGCACTTAATTAATTCAGACAGTGAAATTTTAGTTATCAAACGCACTTAATTTTATAAGTACTTAATTAGTTCATAACTTAATTCATTAAAACTTTTTAGTAGCGATTATCAAACACACTTAATTTCATTAATTACTTAAATAAATTAAGTCACTATATTAAGTGATTATCAAACAGAGCCTTATTGTTGGAAAAATTTTACCTCCCAAAAAAGACTTATTCTCAGCTCGAATTTGAATTAGTGAAATCAAAAAATTTATGTACTAATAGTCAATCTTTTTGCATCTCTGGCAAGTTTTTGTGAAAGCTAACTACTACATTTCATGTTCATAATCATCAATAATTAAGATTTTATGATATTTCTTTAAAATTGTAAATATTTTTTATTAAATAAAAAGTGTTCTTGATTATATATATATATATATATATATATATATATATATATATCAAGCATGAATGATCACATACATATATCAAGTTTATAAAATATTCTATATAATAAAGTATACTGTCAGTGGCGGAACTAGAAAATAAATTCAATTGGAACACATAAATGCTATCAGTATAATTTGTTTAAAAAACTTCTAAATATTATAACTTCCTCAATTTGTTTTGTAGGTTTTTTTGGATGGACAACTTCAAAATCTATAACTACAACCTATATATGTAATAAAACAAATATTTGTGTAACGGTTCATGTCTGATATAAAATGTCACGCAGCAATTGTGATAAGTAAACGTAAATTTGTAATATCATATACCACTTCATTTTAATTTTAATAGAAACAATTGTATTAACGTTAGATAAATGATCCCTTAAGCTTCCCTTAAAACTTTTAAGAAAACATTAATAAAACTTGGGTTTAGTTTGGTGGGCCGCCTCTTTCTTAAACATAACATTAATCTTCTTCCTTTTTTTTTAAAAAAAAAATTCTCACTTAAAACATTGTTATGCCAATTAAAACAATGAATTATTTTAAAAATATATACTATATTCTGTGACAGGACTAATCCAATGGGGGCAATGCCCCACCCTGTTTCGGCCACTTTCAGTATTAATTAATATGATATGAACTAAATATGTATTAGAACAACCTAAAATCATACGGTAACATGGTAAAATGAGCATTATAGCTATGAGAATGTTCTAGATTCTTGGCTTATCCTATAAATAAGGTAAGCCTCCCATTTGTAAGCTGAACTTAGAACTAGAGTAGAGTGTATATTGAAAGGCTTTCAAACAAAGTTGTAATATTTCAATGAAGTTATCATGTATTTCTAAATTTATACATTAAGCCTACTAAAAGAATAGCAACACTTCTACACCATGGAGTGACGCTTAGTTAAAAGAGCAGCTCGTAACACCTGGTTAAGTCGAGTCAAGATCACATCCGAATTTGACAACACTGGATAAAGTTATTAATGATCGCTAGTATAGCGTCAGGTTTTTTAGTGATGGTCACTGGTTCGATAAACATTGTTTAAAAAAAATTCAACCGTCATAGATCTTTTCGTTAGATTTAGTATAATTTAGGGATTTCATCAGATAAATATTTTTTTTTATTTAAAATGGTAAATTATTAAATTTCATGTTGTTTCAACTCGAATTTTTCTTTTTTATATATTTTTTTAATTTTTTTCAAAAAAATTATAATCTAAAGTTAAAATAAAAAAGTAAATTAATTTTTAAATTTAGTAATTGTAGTAGTTCCAAGATATACAAGTTCAAAAGTATAAGAAAAAAATAAGATTTTTTTTAAATAAAAATAAAAAAATAAAAAATACTGAAAATACCCATAAACCCAAAAACATGTAAAAAATAGTTTTCCGGCACTATTTAACGACCAAAATTAACAGAATGACTTCAGATGAATTTTTGGTTTAGTATGGTGACCAATTTTAGGAATAAATTTGATTGATGATCTGTGATGAAATTACCCAATAATTCAATGACATGTCTAGTGATTCACTCAAAAAAATAATACCAAGAAGATGATGTATAAACATTATATATCTTTGCATTTCTTTTTTTTTTCTTTTTGAGTTCACTAAAACTTTCATTTTGAGTTCGCATAATTTACTTGTAGAAATTTGCATAATTTATTATCAATTTTATCGATTATTACTTATAAAATTTTACCACATATGAGTCATACTCCTTCCATTTTAAAATTTAAGTCTTTTTAGACTTGTCACGTAAAATAAGGATATAATCATCCAACAATTAATTTATGTGTTAAATGTCTTTTTTACTCCTCATTAATTACATTGAAACTATAAACAAGACTAAATAAAAATAGATTAGCATAATTTATTGAGGGTAAAGTTGAAAAAATAGTCATTAATTTGCCTAAAATTTGTAAAACGACCTACATTTTGAAAAATCTCTCCAAACATAAAACGACATATATTTTGAAATGCAGAGAGTACTAATAGTTTATCTTTGAAAATGTACACTATCTTGAATATCAAATTTAAGAAAAGATGAATGTAATTTAACACAATAAAACACGGACAATAATTATTATATTACAAAAACTAACACAAATTTTATCATATTACGATCATAAATCTCTGCTCACATGTGATCATAATTTATGTAATACATGTAACACAATATGTGCAACGCACGAGAATAACTTTAGTAAATATATATGAAGAGAGAGGAATTGCTTAATTATGGTAGGATAGAATTAACTAGGGGTAGTAATACATGAAACTAGGGGCCGCCGGCCTTCGCAATCGTTGATTAGCAATCCCCACTTGGTTGTAGTATGCATTTCGGCATAAAAAACGGGTGAGATCACACGCCCTTCTTTGCTGCTGCTAAAGTGCCGGCGAATTTAATTTAAACTTGTATAAATAAACAAACTCATAAATGTTCTCTCTTCCCTTTAATTATGTGATTTAGAAGACTTCACTTTAACAATTCAACTCCCCCAAAAAAAAAAAAAAACTAATATCCGGACACAAATTGGTCGTTACCTGGTATATCGAGATGAAAAAATCACTGAAAAGTCGAAACTATCTTACATGGGACTTTAGGACCAAGAAGGTCAAAGAAGCAAATTTAGGGGAAAAAAAAAGAAGGTGGATTTCTCAAACGCTCGAAAATTACAACTCTGTTTGATTATGATAGGATAAAGCCTAAAGGACACCAATTTTATTTTATTTTTTATCCAGTCTAAAAAAATAATCTATATTAAATTTTTAAATTTGTATTAAAAATATTATAGATTTCAAAATTTAATGTGAAATATTTTTAGGAACAGAGGTAATATTATTTCATTGGTTGGGTAATAAAGACTAAAAATCTTTGATGAAACAAAATGAATCATATGATTATTTGGTGAAGGCTTCCCAATGAGGTTGGGGGTTTTGGGGAAGGCTTGGCCCCGCCTGTCCCATCGCAGTCGCATGCACCTTCTATATATTCAATTATTATTAGCTGTTTCTTTCTTCCCTCATTTTTATCGTATGGCCCTTGTACTATCTGTTATTTAATAAAAAAAGCCTACTCATCCACACATATACAGTACGCAGTAAAAAAAATTATTTTAATCCTCTACTACCTTACCTCCCCCACGCACCACTCTCTCTCCTATTTATAAATAAATCACCGGAAGAAAAGTCTCCATTTCTAATCGAAGATCAAAAAGTTTGTCTTTCAGTCGGAGTTGTCCGTGTTGCGCGCTTCCTTGTGAATGATGAACAATTATCGTATGGCCTACTTGAATCATAGCCGGAGACTCGCGCCGACGTTCCGGAGGCTAACACCACCGCTGATAAGGTATGTGTTTGTTCATAGTTCATACTATCACCACTCAAACATCCATCTTCTTTTCTACTTTTACTTTCATTGACGGTGCTGCCTGTCCGGGGGAATAAGTGATTCACTACCTTCCTCCTTCTTCTGTTTCTAAGAAGATCTCACCGGATTAATTAAGCTGCTCCTGTTCCTTGTTCTGTTTTTTTTTTTTTTTTCCCTTTTCACTAGTTATTGTATTGCTTGGAGCTGGGACGTTTGTTAGTTGATTATGTTTTGCTTCATTATTGTTGTGATTAGATTAATCATCAATATAATAATAATAATAATATAATAGATGGGATGATCAAACACGGAACACCTGTTTAGGAAAAAACAGAAAAAGAAGAAACGAGAGCAGAGCAGTGGTGGAATCGCTGACTCGTGCAGTCATGTTAATTAGCAGTGGCAGTGAATCAGAGTAGTATTTAGGTTTGGTGCGGTGGGTAGATCTTAATTGTTGGTGGTGGTGGTGGGGGCGGGGTGGGCGGTGCAGATTAATGCGCCGGCGTGACGGATGCGTTTGGATAAACCTCAAATTTAGCAACTAATTAAGTACAGTACTACGTATAATTTTGTGTTATTAGTATTTAGTAGTCGTAAAATAACTCTACAGTTTCTGGGATCTTTTGTTTTCTATGCTACATTTTGAAAAATTGTCTAAATTCCGGGGCTCACCACACGTGTCAGAATCAGTGAGAAGATCATGTTGATTTCCCCTCTTAAAGAACTTTATTATCTTCATTGTATATAAACATTTAAATCGAACAATAATTTTGATTTTTAAAATTAGCTTATAAATGAACTCATACATTTGACTTTGGCCCACAAAATTTTATATACTTATTGTTTGCTCATCTCTTAAATTAACTTTTTTATTTTATTTTATTTTTTTTTCGTATGGGGGTAGATTCAGCATGATGAAATCATGTTTTCCTATTCCATACCAACTTTATTGCTTATTTTATTTTAACAAAAATTTAATAAAATGGACCAGTGTTATAGAATTGAATAAAACTAAGATAGGATTTCGAAGGATGAATCGATGATGAGTCAGCCCCTATCCCCTCCCACATTTCTTCTTCCCGAGCCAATTGTTAAATTAAAGAATTCAAAGCGTACTTAATTTGAACCACCGTCCACCAATCTTGAAGCAAGATCCACTTTGAAAAATTGGTAACCCAACCCGGCAAATTAGAAATTGGTTGATGGAGATAGGAAGGTGAGAAAAATGTACTACTTGTAACTTGTAAATCATAATAATTATAATAATAATAATAACCATAACCATGATTAGGCAACCATGGTTTTATGCGTAACTGTCTCATACGTGAGTCAATGGCAAATCAAGTCTAGCCCGTTTGTTTGAATTAACCTTTTTTTTTTATTCTTTAAAAAAATCATTATTTGGATAACCTCTTACTGTTTTTTCCCGTCAAATTTATGGACATCTACAAAAACAAGTTTTCATGTACCCTTTTATTATTAATCATATTATACTCTCTTCGTCCCACAAAAATAGTTCAATTTAATAAAAAAATTTATCTCAAAAAAATAGTCTAGTTTCACAAAAGTCAAAATTAATTGGATTGAAATGACTTAAATATCCAAAAGAGCAGTGGGAAGGGAAACAAGGTCCACTCTTTTTTATTTTCATTTTTTTTAGTTTTCTCTAAATTTTTTCAAATGATTATATCTTTTAATACATAAATAATTAAAAAATATTTTATATCAAATTAATCTACGAAGGGAGATCTTTCCATCGAGATTCATTGTCAATATTTTTTGAGATAAAAATTTTGATCAAATTTAAGTTGTAAAATAAATACTAACTTTTATATAAATAACTAGAAGGGGCATTAGTGGAAGTTATGGATATAAAATGAGTTGTACATTTGATGTGTTGACCAAATTAAAAAAGTTGTACATTTTCAAACTGGACTATTCCTCAGAGACGGAGGGAGTATCAATTGCAATGCAAAACCAAAGTGCAACACAAGATCATAGCGCCATTCTTCTTGCTCTCTCTATCTCTTTTGTTTCACTCAACCTCCCATTATTGTTTTCTAACAATGTCGGGTTCTCATCCTTCGAAGTTACATGAATTTTACACTATTCTACCAGCAACTTTTTTGGCTAGACAATTTTAAAAATATCTATGTTACCAGCTGCATTTTCTACTTTCAATCTTACCACTCCAGATATTATCATCAAGATGCGTCATGTGGTCTGAATCTTTGATCATCGATAAAATACTTCTGCAAAACCATTTGCTTCATTTTCAGATTTTATTACACGCGTGCACACGCGCATACACTTCTACAGTTAACTTTTTCTTTTTACTCCCTACGTTGGACTGATGCAGGAGGAGGAGGTCAGTTAGCACCTCGATATATGACAAGAACCCGGAGGACCATGCTCACCCAACTGTGGTTCCTGATGAAGTAATCCAACCCAAGTCCGACCAATACTGGGCTCCACACCCTAAAACTGGCGTGTTTGGCCCTGCAATGGAGCAGAATCCTGCAGTAGAGCGCAGTTTCCATAATTCCACTGTGAGTACCACCACCGCAGCCGAGGACTCTGTTTTGGAGCAGAAGACATTTTTCCGTCCACATGAGGACTTGGAGAAGCCACCCCCTCAACCTTGAGGACTTCCTTTCTGTTTCGATTGCTTACATGTTATATATGTAAGACGCGCTAGTAATGCCGTCTCTCTTATGTGTCATAGCACTAAGTAATAAGTGATCGTCTTGCTCTCCAGTTGTTTATTATATAACTCTCACCTTGCTCTTTGCTGGCTTGCTCTTCTTTGTCTGGTTTCATCTTATGGGGCATTTGTGGGAAGACTTGTGTCGGCCATTCATATTGAATTTAGTGAAATGCGTGCAAAAAACTCAAAAATCCTGATGGAGCCGTAGGGCTTTGCAACACAGAATCAATAATCTTCAAAATAATTGCTCACTCTTTAGATCAAAACAACAAAATGGCATCACCATGTTGAATTGTATGCCGTGAACATCTTCCATTTAAAGATGCAATTGGGACAGAATGCATCCTGCCCTAATTGGTACGAGTGGAGTTAATAATGTTGTTGCCTCTGTTGCAGAATTGCTTCTGCAGCTTGAAGCAACTCTCTAGCTTTTCTGTCTGGGGTACATCCAGCGTTTTCCATTTGTCTATATATATCGGGAACCTGTGAGTAAATCATAGAAGAATAAAGCCTTTTATAGATTGAATAAGTTAAAGAGAACTCAATTACAAAGGATCGAAGTAGATTCGGACGCTTGTTCCATAAAGGCACTTCATTACACGATGGGGTAGTAAAAGGACGCTGCATTACCAAACAGTGATATATATAAAGACATGGAAGTTTAGCTTCGAAATGGTTCAACAAATACGTACCTGATCAAACCTCTTGGCCCGTATGAAAGCTTTCATGAGGGTGCTGTACGTGACAACATCGGGAGTGAAACCCTGAACCAAGTTAAGGAAGAATTAGCCAAATATATTACCAAAAAAACAGCTGAGATAGAAAAATTCAATTCTTTACACTTTCTCTGATGTGGTTATACACAGATAGTGCCTCCATATGCCTTCCAGCAGTGCCAAAAGCATTGAGCAACACATTTAGCATCACCAGGTTCAGTTCGATTCCTTCAGCTTCCATGAGCTGGAAAACCTTAACAGTTTGTTCGCATAACCCCTGCATAATGCATCATCAGCACAAACAGAAGGGATAAAGGCTGAATGCAGAGAACAGCATTCAAAGTGTTTGGAGAAAAGGCAGAGCCTCACCAACTGAGCATAGGCATTTGCTACAACACAAAAGATATTTGCTGAGAGCTCAACTCCTTCTGATCTTAGCGCATTTACACAAACATTTGCGTCTTGATATCGCCCGTACTGTCCATAGATACCAGCCAGAATAGCGTAAATAGCTCCACTCTTTTGATGCCCTCCACGTATGATGTTCTCAAAAATCTTCCTTATAATTTGCCATTTTCCTTCTTCTCCTAAACGAGCTATAATAGCAAGGAAAATCGTTGGATCCGGGTAAAGCCCTTGTTCTTGCATGCTTGTAAACATCTCTAATGCATCAGAAACTAACCCGAGTTTGCACTGCCACCTGATCAAGGAGTTCCACGTGGCAATATCTGGCACAACTCCTTGTTCCTGCATTGTGTGAAAAACCTGTAATGCTTCCTCAAACTCGCCATACTTGCAGAATGTATCAATGATGCAGTTGCAGGTCTTCTTATCCAGGGACAACCCCATATCTTTCATTTCCTGCAAAATTGTCAAAGCCTTCTTCCACATCCCGTTATCCCTATAAATCTCAATAACTTTACTTAACATGAAGGAGTTGGGCTGAAACCCGTGTTGTCTCATTCGAGCAATGACTGACCAAGTATCTCCCAAGCGCTTTGCACCAACATGATACTCGAGGAAAATCTCATACGTTTCCCTATTCCATCTCACCCCTGAATCCTCCATCGAGGAAAGAAGCTTATCAGCAAAACTCAACAGGCCTTTCCTGAGGAAACTTCTGAGCAAGGCATTGTAAGGTTTCACTCCAGGTTGGTAACCAATCATCATTTCCTGAAATAAGGCATCTGCTTCCAATGTCCTGCCAATATCTCCGAGGCCAATGATGATAGCAGTGTAGGATTTCAAACTGGGACGGTATGCCAACGCCTCCATTTCTGACAGCAACCACATGGCGTCGTTGATTTCCCCTGAACTGCACATTTCGCATATGGATTGATTGTAAGAATCATAAGAAAGTTCCGATCCACAGCTGGCAGTTAGCTGGCGTTCAAGCTCGTAGGCCGAGCACATTTTGCTATTATCCTTGGAGCAGATAACCACTCTCCTTCGACACAGAAGAGGTGGTGCAGGAGGGCCGCATTGTTTGAACCAATTTCTCCCACGGGACATTTCACAAACAGGTAATAGGCATAGTTTGCATTGAGGCGACACAAGCTGCTGCATACCTTGGATGGTATCCGTAAATTTTAATAGTATTTTTCTGGTATTGTTACCTGAGAATTACGGGAATTAAGTCTAAGATAAAAAAGATGTAGTTCTCAGGGCCAGAGGGAGGAAGCTTCCAGATCGCAGCACCGCCCAAGGTACAAAGAGACGGTACCACTGCTCTATTTATTTATTTATTTGAGAAGTGGGAGGGAGAGCCGACACGGCACGCCGTTAATTAATTGATTGCCCAGGAAGAGAACGAAAACATATCCGCCACCGATTACCACCACTAAGTTCAATCGATAATCAATCAATCTCATTCTCTCTCTGTTTTAAAGAAGAAAACCGGCATGAGTTTTCAGGATCTTGAATCTGGCGGCAGCGGGAGAAGCCACGTCATCACCGTGCGGCAGCAACAGCCCAAGCAAGACCATTCCCGCGCAATCGGGTTAGCGATCTTTCAAATCAACACAGCCCTCTCCGCCTATCACCGCCTTGTTGCCAGTCTCGGCACCCCCAAGGACACCCCCGACCTCCGCCGCAAACTGTGCGTCTCCTTTGAATATTTCCTTTTTCTGTTATTATTATTATTTTGACTGATATATTCCTCTTTTTTTCTCCTTTTCCTTTACCGAGATGCCTGAATTGTTAATTTTAATTTTGGTGAATTATGAGATTTGTGCATTTTTGTAGTACTCCCTCCGTTCCATAATTATTGTCCAGTTTGAGTTTTAATTTTAGTTCAAATTGTACAAAAAACGAAATCTCAAATAGGACAATAATTCTGGAATAGAGGGACTACAAATTAGAATTAGGATGAATCATTGCGCGAAACCCTAGCTCATAGTCTGCCTTTCAATATGCTAAGTGACTTTGCTTGGACTTCTAGCTTTTCCCGTTTTGGGGGGCTCCTGCCGCTGTGAATTTTTTTCAAGCTTACTTTGTTTTAATGTAGGCGTGGCTCAAGATTGAAAATTGAGCAATTGGTGAAGGAGACTTCACCCAAGTTGAAGCAATCAGTTGAAGCTGACTGGAGTGCTGATGTTAGTGCCACCTCACCTCATTGCTTTTCAAGTTTTCTATTCGTTTTCAGTTGTTGTCCTTAATTGTATCATCAGTTTGTCTCTGTAATGCTCCATTACTATTGTTGTTGAATGCTTCATGAAAGTAAAAAATTTTGGGATAGCACATTTGTTTTATTGGGTGCTGAAAACAACCCCTTCGCTCACAACAGGCTACAAAGAAAATTTCGGATTTCAAACTTACAAGAGATTTTCAATATGTGCTTAACGAGTTTCAAAAAGCTCAGAGGCTTGCAGCACATAAGGAATCAGCATATTCTGCGTCAACATCTCATCAAGACCTTCCGTCCAGGTTAACTTTTTTCTTGATATGCATGACACAATTTTCTATTTTGAATTTCGTTCATCCAAGATTTTTCTGTTGAAGGTGATTGGAGAAACTATTTAGCTAGGTTACAGTTACCTATATCTTATTATTCTATTGTCTTAGGCTTTCTGTTATCTCTAGTAACCATGTCGCATTGGTTTGATGTTAGTCTTATAACCTCAGCTGGATTTGATGGGAGTGTGTGACTATTCATTTATTTCTCTAATGGTTTGATTATGCATTTTCTTGTCTCATCTGTTTTATCAAACTTTTTTTGCAGCAATCACACCTCTGAAGTGGATACAGATTTGACAAGAAGCAATGAACATATGCACCTTCTTGCTGAAACGAGAAGGTAAACAAAGTATTGTGGGATTGAAAAGAAGGAAGAAAATGTTAAAAAGTAGAACTAATTCCACAATGCAAACTTTTGCTTGTCGTAGTCATGGACTACGACAATCGGATTTCAACATTGATGATCTTTACTGGACTCATTCTTAAGAGACAGACAATCTGTTTTTCCAAGTACCCAGGTTCATCCCGTTTTTAGTCATAACTGAGTTGCTCTAATGCATTCCATGATGATGTGTGAATTGTCTCAGGCCCGATGTTATGCTTGTGGGCAATGAAATAGATTTCAACGAAGCTCTTATCGAAGAAAGGGAAAAAGGAATCATAGAAATTCAGCAGCAGGTTCGTGAGGTGAATGAGATCTTCAAGGATTTAGCACTGCTTGTCAAGGAACAAGGACCTATGCTTGGTCGGTGAAATTGCATTTTTAATTGCCATTATTGATATCATTGGTGTCATTTATTTTCATCCTCCTTTTGTGAACTCCAGTTAATTTCATTAAAATTCTGCAGATGGAGTGCGCTCTAATCTTGAGATTTCCCAGGATGCTATTGACAAAGGCACTTCTCAACTTACAAAGGCATCCAAGATTCAACGATCAAATTCCTCTATGGTTAGTCTTTAGCATTAACTGTCTATATTCATCATTCTCTCATTGGTTTGTCATTTCTTTTGGCCACCTTGCCTCTCTAAATGGCATTTCAACGAACAAGTGGGCTTTGACCGTAAGTTACTCACTTTAGATAAATAAGTAAATAAATAAAAGAAACTCAAGTTACTTATAAGCTTCCCTCCTATGGGATATATGTCCACTTTACAAGCAGTGTATTTTGAGTTGTTCTTTTTATTAAACATCCATTAAGATATATGCCTTGTAGAAACTACTGTCTTTGCATTCCTAGTTGACTTGAAATGTGTTTTTGAGTGCAGAAGTGTTTGGTGCTGTTGATACTTGGAATCATTTTGCTCATTGTAATGGTGGTCGTAGTGGCCTGATATTCATTCAAGTTTCTAGGAGATGGGGGAAGCATTTTTCATGATTCGTGTCCATTTGGCAGAATGAAGCAGCCACTGGTTTCCATTTACTGGTGGATTGATGCAAGGATTTCAGTTTTGTTACTGGTTCATCTGTAAATGGATTGGTACTTATTTATACACTGTATATAAAAGCGAACCATTCTGATTACTTTTATCCATCAATCATTCATTATGCTTGTGGGTCGTACAGTTTTTGTTCGTTATTATCTTGTATGTAATCTTGTTTAAACATCTGTTAACATTAATCACACACTGTAACCCTGTCATACATTTTGTATCTCGGTTTGACCTTTGTGACAATTCAACCCCAAATTTTGGGAAGCAAGGGTTGGGGATGAGAACTGGCACACAAGGATGGGGATCACAGTGCACTTATCCTGAGCATGGAAAGCTAGGAACACAACTAGCCATGATGAATGAGTGGGAGGGATTCCAACAGGTACAGATGTTGAAGAGAAGGGGAGTCCGGAGAACAGTGGGAAGTCCGGAGGCTGGACCCTTTTTTTCTTTTGGTGGGCTGACTTGAGTTTAGTTCTTTAGTTTTCAAAAAATATATTTACAAAGTTCCCAAACTGCCAACCTGAGGTCCCCAAAAGGAAAATATATCAAACACGAATGTTAATGTAAAGTACATATACAAAAATGTGTGAAAACACCAAAATAGAGAATTTGGTGTGTAATTATACATGTGCGTAAAAAAAAATAGTAATAAACTAGGTATTATACGGGGAAGACATACACATATAGACATTACAACACAAGAAGCAAGAAATATTAATATTTTTATAGATTTTTCATTTTTATTAAATGTATAACGACTTCATTGGAAAACATAAAACACAAACATTAATAACACTTCACGAAATGAATACGGTGAAAATTTATTTAACACAAAGAGAACTGTTATAAAATCTAAGAAAGAGAATATTAAAAAATGAAAAAAAAATAAATTTTAAATTGAATGATTATATATCGTGCCGTACTTCTTAATAGACTACATTCGAAGTCTTAGAATTGAGATCATCATCTTCATCACATATCAAAATCTTTATTCCTTGTCTTGAATTGACTCTTATGTTCAGTGATTTTATTTTATTTTTTTCCTTATTAACATACAATGCATTCTCACTTTATTTTATTTTTGTTAACCCATTTGTTCATTTGATTTAGTTTTTTCTCATTATCTATCTAATAATTTATTTTTATTTTAACTTACCCATTATCAAAAATATTTTATTTGAAATGTGAGGGTGGGAATATCTTTTAACCCCATAAAGAATATAATTCAATTATTTTTCTCCATTAATATCTTTTTTTAAAAAAATTTTAGCTAATGTCAAAGTCATCATGCTCTTTATTTTCGGATTAAAGTTTGATTTATTAAAAAAACAGTTTCAAGTTTGGTGGTGAGTTGTTTCAGCACTAGTTTTATTTTCTTTAGTTGTTTACGATCATTATTTTTTTTTTTTTTGTCTTAATCCAATATCAATTTTCTCACATTTAGTTTAACTTATGAGAGAGATGATTGTTCAGTATCCAAGCTAACCCACTCATTAACATAAGGCCGGGGTTTCAAACTCATCGTTATAAAAAATAATTTTGTCCTACTAAAATTTTGCACATTTTTTTTTTGAAATTATACTTGTTTAATTTGAAAAAGTAATTTTATCCGTTGAACTTTGTTATAATAATATGAAGGTTCATGGACAATTAGAAACTTTAGGTAGATATTAAGGGTGGTCCAACGTCCCACTTCTATAAATGAGAATTTTAAATTCCTACCCTCGATGAACTAAAAAATTCAACACTGCACTATTTCAGCATGTTATTTCTTAAATTATTTATTGCTAGTTCTATGTACAACTTTTTTTTTAAAGAAAGTTTTATGCACAATTAGTTAGAAAGTAAATTGAACAAAAATTATATATTACAATGATTTTTTAGAAAAGTAAGTTTTACAACTACTCCCACCATGGAGAAGTTTTACATTTATAGAATTTCACCCTTATTTGCTTCTCCAAGCACATGAAGAAGTTATACAGTTCAATTCTTGGGAGAGTTCTCGGATAATACCATCTAATCCCGGATGAGCTTTCGGTTTTTCCTCTCCTATCTTCACCAGACTCACTACAATTCAAGAAACTTCAGAGATCACATTTCCTTCTCCCAAATTGCGTAATGTCAAATACCCTAGTTAAAACTGACTCTTTTTCTGGAATCAGCTTCTTTTGTAGCTCTAAATTCTCAAATATATCATCAAATACAACACTGGTTGAATCGAAGAATGCACTGATGTTTTTGTGGTGGCTTGGTTGATGAAAATCGGACTTAATATTCGGGAGATCGTCGCCGAGATTTTTCCTCCGGATACGGAGCCGCAAGATCTTTTCTATACCGGATACGGAGCCGTCATATACTCATCAATAGAAGTTGCCAATTTATTGTACGATCTGTAAATCGGATTGCAAATCTGATTATTTTAATTCACGTCTGATATAGGAAAGAGGATTTGTAGGGTATCTATCGATGAGATTGCAAACAAATCCCAGAAGATGTGTGACTCCGGTATAGTTAATTTTGGTAATTCAATTTAGAATTTTTCTAAACCAGAAAATTAGAAACTTGCCACATATGATTAAATCCTATGTAGATTGAAATATGACATTGTCCTTTCTTAACCCTTTTGCGATTTGCATGCAATACTTGCAGAAAGCTTAAAACCGCCCAAACAGCAGGAAAATGTTATGATGAAGAAAGAAGCATTATTCAAACACTTTTAAGATAAGCAAGCAAGTATGTTTATATAGTGCTATATTGTACTCCCTCCATTCTTAAATATATGTCATTTTAGGGTTTCGAAAATTTTTTAAAATATACGTCGTTTGGCAATTTTTAAAATACTTTATCAATATTTCCCTTGCATTATAAATGAAATAATACTTGAAATGAAATCGTATTGGTTGTTGATGAGTTGTATGGTAATGAATAAGGATAAGTTGACATTTCAAACATATTATTTAATATTTCATTAGCATTGATGAAATTGATAGAAAAACAAATATTGTGGAATACATGAAGTATATGCACGTTAATTCAATCTCTCTCTTTCATTTTCCCTCTATTTCAAGGTAATCAGATAGGTAATTCAAACATATCTTACTTTGAATTTATTAATGATGAAAATAAAATCACCTTTTTTTTAAGAACAAAAAAATAATATATAGTCTCTGTCTTTTTCCTACTCTTGCGAAAATTGATGAAAAAGAAGCAAAAGAGTACCTATAACTGGTGTTAACTTTCCGAATCTTTAAAATAGTGGTCCAATTCCCAACTGGAAATGAGCCATTTTTTTCATGGACAAAATTGATAGCCTTTTTAAAATGAGGTATATCTCAATTCTTGATAGCTAAAAATGGTGTGCATGAGTCTATAACCACGTGTTAATAAATTAACAGATAAATATCCCCACTATGATAAGATGAAGATATATAGTCAGTTTGGAAAAAGATATTAATAATAATATTTATGTCAAATTTTCTGGTTTGCATAGTGAAATGTATTAATGGAAATCAAAAGAGATCTCTAGGTTTTCGTTAGTTTTAACATTCTTCATTTACGGTGTTGTTCTTTTTAAATTATGGGTCCAAACCCAATTAGCTCCCTTGAGTTCCTTGTTCGATTTTATAGATATCTTTCTTTCACAATGTGAAGGGAAGTGGTTGCCTTCCAGTAGATTTTGAAGATTTCTATATAATTGGGTATCAATCCATTCCTTCTATTCAAAAGCCTCCAACCAAACATCAATACTCGGAATTAGTCCATTCTCCATTCCCAAACCCACCAACAAAATACTCATTTAGATTTTTATTTTAGTACAATCTAAACTGGACAATTTATTTAAGGGCTCAGATGCTGCCTTAGATTGGGAAGTAAAAAAGGCTAGTATGTTATTTTTAGAAATATTGTTAGAAGGCTATCTCTTTTCATTTACGATACTAATTACTTTTTGCATCTCCATCATCGTCGTCACAAATAACCACCTCATTTACTTTTTGTTAACATGGTCTTCACATGCACAGAACGAAGTTCACAAAAAAAAAAAAAACTATTTTAATCGTTTTGCAATCAAAAGGCATGTAAATTACTATCCTGGTGAATGGGGATTTGATCCTTTGTTTTTTTAAGCAAGCTTAGCAGGAATGGATGGAACCCAAGAATCCTCCACTTCTACTTCTCTGGCCTCACATTCCTCTTTATCACTTGATTTCCCATCATGGAGGAATAGCCTCTCTTGTTTCTGCTCTCCCTGAATTTTTTTTTTCCATTCATTGAACCATACTCTTCCATTCTTCCTTGAAATTCCTCCGCTAATCAATTTCAGTGTCAACTACCGGTAGAGATATTTATCCTCCTCATCGTACTTCGTGCTGGACTTCTTCAGGTTCTTACATATCTCGTCTTCGTCCTCAGGGCTCGAATGGGATGGAGGCCATGGACGCCAAGAAAAATGGAAAAGCTGATCCTTGACAACTCGATACAACAATTAATGTACCAGTGAATGACCAAATGTTGAATTAATTAACTGATGTACTTGAGGTCCTCAACCTCACAATTTGAGATCAAGGAAACAAACACAATCTTTTAAGTTGGACATAGAAAAAAAACAGTAACACGTGACCATCAATCAATTATACAAATCTTGATTTGGCTTGAAAAAAATCAAGAGTCCTAGAAGAATGACTTTGATTGCTGCTCACCTGATGCAATCGCTGACTCATCAGAGGTTGAACTAATCCCTAGGCCGACAATCCCCGTCGTCTCCTTTATCTTCGTCATTATCATAAATGGTCGGGCCATTCACTGGAGAAACATTTTGCTTCCGATTCGATCTTGATGCGGCAACACTCGGATTAACTCGATGGGAGAGAAAAGATTAATTCAAAACTTTATGATCATAAGATAGGATGCATCTGCATTAAAATTCAACAAAAAATTTAAATTGAACAACATCAATCATAATTCAAGAAACTAAAACAATGCGATAGTGGTGACGGAATTGATATGGTTGCTTGTATTTGACACTTTTTAGACCCAATGATATACCCTTATAATCGATATTGAAGGATTTTTTTCCTGCTAATCATCATCACTATTTGAATCTCAGTCGATGACTGCTAAATACCCAAACCTTCAGGAATTCCTGTTAGACGAACTCGCTTCTTTGGCATTATCCAAGATCTTCCCTTCCTGACTTTTATCGCATCGACTCCCTTGAGATATAGAGAGGATTTGTAGGGATTTGTTCGGTATTTATCAATCGAGGAGAGGAGGTATTCTAACTGAAAGTGAGATCAGATTATTAACTGAATTCAAATACCCTTTATCCTGTCAAGGAAACTGGAAATCGTGATTGAGAAGATCTGGGGTTGAGAAAGATGTGATGAATCTGGGATTGAGATATCTTTTAGATAAGAAAAGTAAGTCGCGATGAATCTGGAATTGAGACCTCTTTTTAAGGTTTTGAAATCGTTTGCAGAGGATGGGGTGAATTCTGAATTTGTAACTTCTTTTTCTTCTTTTTTAAAAATCAACAAATTATAGAAAATGCCATACATGATTAAATCCTATGTGGCATTAAAAAATTCATATAAATCTTCTCTCCTTAGTTTTGTTTTAGTATAATATATATATAGATGTTCTACCTGAGTACATAAAGTTTTATGCATTTTTACTGGCTCATCTTTTTGCATTCTTAATAAAAAATATATATTTAAAAACACACACTAAAGCAATAGCCCAAAGTCCAAACGTACCCTTAACTTGTGTTGCACCTAACGTTAATGTAGCTTAAAGTTTTACTATGATAATTATGTTTGTCTCAAAAAGAAAATAATATTAGTATATGTATTGAGTTTTGAGATAATTTCAAAATTCAATTTATTTATTTAGTTTCTGAAACAGAGGTAGTGTTATTATTTGGAGGAGTGGAGGAGAGCCTCCTAAAGTGAATATGGGCTCAATGAGTCCTCTATGGCGACGAAGGCCTATTTCAACAAAATTAGGCCCATTCGAGACGAGTAGTTGACCTTCTATACGCATGACTCGTTGGTTTTCCTAAGAATTTTGCATCACCTCTATTCTTTTCTTCCCAATTTGAATTCGAGCTCAATTGTTTCTTCTTCTTCTCTTCTTCTGAAAATCGTAAGTACTGTCTTGCATGTCTGCTTTCTTTTTCTTCCCTATTTTTTCCTTTTTATATTTAATAAAATCTTAGTATTATGTAGGAGTAAGATGGTAGGTAAAATGTATGTATGTTCATCCGCGCTGGGGTGTGCATTCAATCTTTCCCCTTCCTCTTCGTTTAATCGATGATCGATGATAGAGTGGGTGTCTATTCCCCTGTTCCTTTTCTTTTCTCTTTTTAATTTACGGTTTTAGATTCGGAGTAATTGTGTTGTAGTCCCTTTTCCCTTTCTGTTGCTGTTTCTTGTGATGAAATACTGCCTGCTTTTGCGACTGTTTTGATCCGATTTCCCATCTGCTGTCTTTGGTGTGTATCCTTTCCTTGCTTTATTTATCCTTTTTCTTGTTTTTATTGTTATTATCCTGGAACTTCTGATGGTTTTGAGCATCAAGTATAGGGGGAGCTGTATAGGATTATGTCTTGTTAGACAATTCAATTATTAAATTCTAAAAAAAAAATATAACTTATCGTTGTATAGATTTAAGAAGTGGAAAAAAAAAAAAAAAAGCAGAACCGGGACTTCCAGCATGATATAGGCTAGTTAGGAATTATTTTGTGTTAAAATAAATGAAATATCTGATGTTTTATACCTTTAAATGTAGGCTGGAGACCGGATTGAAATGGTTAATTTGGGGCTCGACTAAGTCTTTTGGTAGGATATAGGGTGGAGCTCAATCAAAGGTCTAAAGACTCAGGACTGTTGTGTGGCCGGGTCTATTTGCTGGGAGGCATTTCTATGGCCGTGCTTATTGAACTGGATGGTGGTGTGTAATGGGAGCAAGAGGAGTTTGTTGTTCGGAAATCCTCCAAGCAAAATTTCTCTTTTCTTTTGTCCAAGTTAAGATTCTCTATGGTCAAATTCGAAGCTTCCCATCATCCGCTAATATCTTACAGGCCTATCCGGACCTCTGATTTGGATGTCCTAGAGAAAATCCACGGTGATCTCTTTCCTATCAGGTTAAAATGTCTCAGTTCGAGCTGCTATATTGTTCTTCATTCGTAGAAGTTCTTTTAGTTGTCGTCATTACTAAAGCTGATCTTTGATGCTATAAGGTATGAGACAGAATTCTTCCAAAATGTTGTTAATGGGCGTGATATTATATCTTGGGGGGCGGTTGATCGCAACAGGCCCGATGGTCAGACTGATGAACTTGTTGGATTTCTTACAGCCAGGATTGTTATGGCAAGAGATAGCGAGGTGAGCTGTCATGTTTCTGTTGTGAAACCTAATTTGAATCATGTTTTGTCTATGAACCTAATTGGCATAGAATTTTGCAGATTGTCGATTTGTTAAGGTATGATCCGTCAAAATCAGACCAGACACTGGTCTACATTTTGACACTTGGAGTGGTGGAATCATACCGAAATTTTGGCATAGGTGAGGGTGTTATTTTTTTTCTTTTTCCTTTTCTAGTTTGACATGTGTTATGATGTTATGCTTTTAGGTGTTTGCACTCAAGATTCTTTTTCTGTTGTAATACTTTCAGCCAGCTCCCTGATACGTGAGGTCATCCAATATGCTGCTAACTTTTCCACATGCCGAGCAGTTTACCTCCATGTCATTTCCTACAATAACCCTGCCATCCATTTGTACAAGAAAATGTCCTTTCAGTGCGTGCGGAGGTTGCATGCTTTTTATTACATCAATGGCCAACATTATGACTCGTACTTGTTCATCTACTATGTCAATGGTGGTCGATCTCCTTGCTCACCTTTGTAAGTATAATCCTTTTGCATCATTAGTTTTTTGTGAGGCAAAATTATGTGGTAGCATTTACTAAATCATCCTGATTTGCTTGACCTATTCATCCTCCTTTGGACTGTGTGTTGTTACTGTTGTTTTGCAATTGGTGCAAATCTAAAAGTCAGCACGTGTATATTTTGGTCAACTTTTACTGGTTTCCGAAGGAAGAAAGTCTTGTTGCTTGACGTTACATGGAAAATTTTTAATGCCAACGTCACTGCTATATTTTCAATAGTGATGAAAATTTTATTTTATTTTTTTAAAATTCTTAAATGTTGTAAAAGACATCGACACCCTGGGATTCATATACAGTATGATGAAGTACATCTACTGCATTTTCGACCATGGCATGAATGATTTTATTCAGGATCAACACTTAAATTTGCAGAGAGGTTCTCGCACTTCTTATCAGTTCGGCAAAAAGTGGATTAAAGTTGGCGGCCTCAAGGCTTTGGAAGGATGAGAATCGAAAGTTTAGTAAGTTGCAAAAATGTAAAGAATCTAGTAGTGATCTATTGCCAACAATGCAAAACATGAGAATCCATGATGGCAGCGGAGGAGGAGGAGGTGGTGGAGGCTGCCAATTTGTTTGAACTGGTTGAGAGTTGTATCACAAAAATAAGGTAAGATTGTGGGATTTAGTTGGATGTTTCTTGTGTTTTGCTATCGCTACTTCTTTTTTCGAGTTACAAATGCATATCTTGTGTTGGAGTAGTTTTATTGCCCTTTTTTTTGCATATAGTAAGGATGGGTAGCATTATCTGGCTGGAGCATTTGTCACCATATCTCTCCATTTTGTTTACATGTTTATCGCTGTTTGTTGTTCTTAGGATCAATCTACTGATGATGGAAGTCGAAAGCGACTCTTGGAATGATGGTTTATTAGTGAGCATAAATATTTGCGGTGTTGCTTTTTTTTGGGGGCCCAATTGCAGCTAACTATGCCACATCTTGTTCGTCATTGATGGGTTTATTGATAGAGATGTCCTCGAGAGCCAAAGGGAATGCAGCAGATACATAGTTATATAAGCTGTGAGAGTTAAGGCATTCATAGAGTCTGCAGGGTAACTTCTCAGGGCAAAAAGCACTTAAGCTTGGTGATTGCAGAAGACACAAAAGGGTGTTGGTGGTGTGAATTATCAGTTGTGTTTGTCGTCCAAGTAGGCTGTTTTTCCGTAACAGGTAGGATGCCAAGCCGAAGTGTTGCTTAATGATCTGACCTTTGATCACAAAGCGGGAAGAAGGGTCCAATGCTTGGAACTCTTGAAACCGTGGATAACACTTTAAAACTGTTTTGTTATGTAGTTAATGTATAGAGTAGAGGAGATTTGTAATGTAAAAAGGTAAAAAATAAAAATAAGACGAATTAGTGTGTTTTGAACTTTGGTTTTGTACAAGACACATTTTATAGAACTATGAGATTGGTATTTTCTTGCCCCATTTGTTTTTTTTTTCCCCTTGAAGGCTTGAATCATTGTTTGTAATCGTCATATTAAACGTCCAAAGTTTTAGCAGTATAGAATCTTTATATATATTAAAGGGGAGTTTTTAATCGGACACATGACGCAAAACTAGACAGGTCAATTCACATGGCAAAAAATTAGATACTCAAGTTTACATATCGCAACCACATCACTCTATCATTTAATGATAATTTTCTATTTGTAAATCCGTAAAATTTATAAATAAAACCACCTCACTCCATCATTTAATGGTAATTTTTTATTTGTAAATCCGTAAAAATTATAAATAACTAATTTTATCCGATTTATATGTAAGGGAGTATAATAAGTATTATTATATTTAAAGTTAAACAAGTATAAATAAGTATTAAAGTTTAGCCGTGCCTAATTCAATCCTGGTTATGAAACTCATCAATTACGCCTAAATTGAAAATTGGACTAGTTCAATCCATTAATTTAATTATTTTTAGTTTCGAGTGTTTTTTCTAACTACTATGAAACTTTTGTCATCCACAAGTGAAGCGACTTAATTATTTGACAGTATTTTTCCTATTTGAACTTATCCAAACGTAGCATTACCATACCTGAATTATTCGGCCATGGACGTGGGTGTGTGGAGAAGGTTACCGGGTCAGAGGTGTATTGGTGGTGGTGAGTTTCTGATTTTTGGGCGGAGGTTAAGGAAATATCTATATGCAAGAATTTTCCTTTGCTTATTTTCATGGAAGAAATGTAAATCCTTTCCTGCTAAAGCATTTTCGTCCAATTTTCAATTTGGTTTTTCATGATTCGTTCAGACAATTACTGTTGTTTATTTGAAGGGGCCTTTTTTATTTTAGAAGTTAACAGGAAAAAAATTATAATCCCAAAGGGTGGTGATTTTGTCAGAACATTTTTTAGTATTAAGAGAAAAAATGACATCCATTATCATTATAGAGTCAAATAAATTAATTATTATCTCTCCTTTATTTGCCGTCGCCCACCGTTGTTACCCTATTTCTTTGATTTGCATCTCCTTTTCTACTCTTTGCAGCATCGATATGAATTTTCTTTTTTTTTTTAATTTTACAGAGAACATGGAGCACAAAATTGATGCTCTCTTCTTGCTGGGAAGATTTTTTTGAAGCGGGTTTGGGAATTTTTTTTTAACGCAGTAGGCTTATAAGTTATAAAATGAGGGTTTTTTTTTTTCGCTGGGAGTTGGTTGGGGGGAATATTATTGTCATGATTTCCTAAACATAATAAAAATTTGGTGGCTTGTTTCAATTTGATTGATCTTGAAATGGTGAAATTTATTTGATTTATTATTCTTTCATAATTATTTTTTAGTTAGTTTAGGTTAAACTACTTTGATGTATCTGTGCAAAAGTGCCATTTTATTGAATTTGATAGCCCTTTAGCATCCAAACCTTTGATTGGAGGTTTAAGCAAATCAGTGGCTCCTAATTAATCCTTGCGTGGAGGAGATCAATGCGGCATTTAATCAATCATTGATTGTCAATATGTTTTTGAGATCTCTGCTTTAACATTTTGAATGTTCATAAACCTGTAAATTTGTGCACGAATCATCCATACAGTGGAGGCCTATTTGTTGTTAAGTCTTAACCAAAACAGTACCGCATGTTTGCTTAGCAAATTATTTGGGAAACTAAAACCCGTGGAATCAAAGTTTGCTTATAGTTGGATGTTGGAACCGATGAAAGTTGGGAGATGGAATGATTGAAAGAGAGATACAAGGGAGCGAAAGACTAGAGTTGACCTCATAAGGATAAATTTGGAAAATTAAATTATTTTTGCCCTGCATGCTAAAATTTGTTTTGGCAAAATCACAAGCTAATCCCAAATGATCCAATCTTAAAGGTCGCAAATGGTATATAAAGAGATGAAAAAGAAATATAATTTTAAGGAAAGAAATATTAAGATTATTTTCTGTTAGAGGGAGAATTTAAAAGATATGACACTGAAAAAAATATTTCAAGAGATCATCATGAAAAAATTAAGGAAATATATTTAAAAGATTAAACCATGAATCAACAAAACAAAACAAAAATATTCGATGATTTCGAATATTGAAAATTATTTTAAATGTATTTAAAAATAACAAAATACATTGACATTAAAAACTACGCAATTATAATGTATATCACGAATATTATATTTTATATATCACTCAGTCAGAAATGTCAAATAATTCTTAAACCATTAAAATCCTTACAACGTGCTGGGTAAAACTAGTTATTAATATATAACTTTTGTTATTTTAGTGAATGTATCTCTTTATTACTCGCTCTGTCTCTAAAAAATAGTCCACATTGAATTTTAATTTTTATACTGTTTTTAGTACAAATTTGAAAACTCGATGTGGATTTTTTAGTACGGAGGTAGTATTCATAAATAACATAGAACTTTGGTTTTTGTGTGATAAAATTATAAAACACAAGTTTCAAATATAGAAAATAAAAGAAAAAGGAAAGAGAAAGAAAGAAAATATAAGAATTGTAGCATTAATTCCTTACACACTCTCGCTCATGGGCCATTTTTGGTCGGCCCAAAACAAAAGAGAAAAACCCAAACACACACACACAGTTCACACCTCCTCTGTAGGAGGTGGATTGTGGCGGTGAAGGAGGTGACGGAGGAGGAAGTCAGTGAAAACCGCTTCGTAATTAGGCATCTTCGCATACCCCGGAAAGTAATTTATGTCGATTATTTGGTAATGATCTGTGCCTCCTTTACTCTTCCTGTTGTCCCTAATCAAATCGAAATTGAACAGATTCAATTCCAAGGCATCTCTCAAACCTCCGGCCAAGTCGCTTACGAGTCTCTCCGGCGGCATCGCTGCTCTCGCCTCCCCCATCCCCCGGTCACCGCCGGCAAGATTTGATATCTGGGAAAAAGGCAGCAGGCCGAGATTATTGTCGGAATCGTAATCCGGTAGAGAATCCCTGCGGACGCAGTGGACGTGATCCCCGACCACGTACACTTTGAAAACGACGCCGCCGTGGTTGACGAATTGTTGCAGCACGAAAGGGGGCTCCAATTCTGATCCTAGCTTGCGCAGACCTTCCAGGTTGAACACGAGATACATCTGGTGAGATTTCGCGGTGCCGTTGGAGGCCGAAGGCTTGGCAATTACCGGATACTCCACATCACAATTATCGAGGAGATTCTGGAAATGAGTGGTATTGAGAACGGGAATCTGATCCGGTATCCCGAAGGAACAAGGAGCTGAATCGGAATCGGGCAAGTGTAAGTGGGAGACGACTTGGAGCATGGAGAGGCGGTCGTGGAGGCGGCGGACGGCGCGGGGAGGGTCGATGATGGGGAGGGTAGGGTAACGGGAAGAGAATTCGGCTAGCTGGGATTCCCAGGTTGGGTGGGAGAGCTTGTGGAGGATGCAGTGGAAAGGAGGACCTTGGTTGAGTAGGGGGAGGGAGAGGTCGATGGGGATGAGACGGACGCCGTGAGTTTGGGCGTGGTTTAGGAGCGAAGGGGTGATGAAGCTGTCCACTTTCTTGGGTGAAAGTGCGTAACCCACCACCAAAGTCATATTCCTCCTCTCGCCGGCGGCCTCTTCTCGTTGGCTTGGTGACGAACAAGACATGATGACTGATAAGGGGAAGCACCAAAAAAGAATAAAAAAAAAAACACGCACACACACAGTGAAGACTGAGGAGGAGGAGGAGGAGCCGAGAATCGGAGTGTTACGGAATTGTTTTTTCTTTTTTTTGAAAAGGTGTTATGGAATTGTGAGTTCCATACAAATCACGCAACTCAAGGGCAAACGAATAAAAAATCAACTTTATCTATTTTTATACTAAAAAAAAAAAAAAACCCAAATACTACTAGTACTTGCTAAAAATAAAAAATTCAAAAAAATCGCCCTTCTCTCTTTTTGGATTTTACCAAATACTACTATTAATACTCTTTTTTGGAGAAATAAAAAACGGAATTGGTGGAAACGAGCTGTAGGAGAAATTTGGGAAATGGAAGCGGATGCGCAGAAGATAGATACCAAAACGGCGTCGGCCAAAGAAGGGGGTAAGCTGTGCAAGAGATGCAAACACAGTTACAATCCATCATCCAATACCCCTAATTCCTGCAGATTTCATCCTTCTTTCTTCGTCTGTCGCCGCCACGATGATCAGAAGAGGTTACAATCCATCCCACCTCTCTCTCTCTCTCTCCCCCCAGTCCCCACTTAAATGCTTTAATTCGACATGCATTATTTGATGGTACGATTCTGTTGTGATCCGTCTGGTGTGTTTGTTTCGAGTAGAGATGTGTTTTGTTGATTTAAGCGTGTGCTGATTCTGTTGTGTGTTATAATCGGAAGGTACTATGAGTTGGGAGAAGATGATCCACCATACGCGGCCAAGTTTTACGATTGTTGTGGAGCAGAAGACCCAAACGCCCCTGGCTGTACCACTGCTCTCCATGTCTCTTTTGATGACGTTGATTGATGATTTGATTTCTACTTTTTGTGCTTCAACTGCTTTTTTTTCTTCTTTTGTATTCTGTAATTCGCTACTCTGGCAGCCTCACACAATAGAGTCGAGGGCACACAGACAATACGATTGGCCAAAATTTGGTTAGAACTAGATGGAATGTTTGTTTGTTGCCTGTTGGAGTTTAATTTCCCCCTCCCGACTTAAATGATTGTCCCGTTTTAATTTTTATTTTCACTATTTATTTATGCCGTGTATACAATTTGTAGTCAAATAATAATATCTAAATTGAACAATCTTTTTAAAACAGAGAGTAATATTTTGAGCGATCATCAGAACCATAAGGGGCCGACTTTGGCTATTGTGAATGGTTACATTCCTTATCATAATTAGTTGCTTTTTTATTTCAAGATAATTAATATTTAATTTTTTTGTCGATTTTTTTCATAAATTGTTGAGAATTACTCCCCATGTCTTTATTATAAAATATTTTGATTTTTTTTTTATTTCACCTAGTATGTTTTGCCAATTGGAAAAAGATAAAATTAAAATTACATTTTCACACGCATTGTGTTGGCGTGACTAACGGACGCTGCTTTTCGCAGTTCACTAAATTACTCACTTACAGTTCGTTTGGATAATTTTACCCATGACCCTTTCTTTTTCTTTTTATTTCCTTTTTCTCCAACCTCATCTTATTCTTCCTTTTTTTCAAATTTTAAATCCATATCTACTACAAATCAAACTGTAAAGAAATGTCTGAACAAGACAGACAATCATGGAAAGGTTCGCCTTCGATTTTAGTAAAAAAAATTTCCAATGAACTCTTGAAAATTAAAAAAAAAAATAGATCTACCCAGGGTGGCCGACCGTCGCCTTTTGAAGATTGGCCGGTTTACTCACCGGCCACCCTGAGCAAAAAAAAAAAAAATTCAATTTTTTTATTTTTATTTTTATTTTTAATTGTTATTATTTTTTTATATTTGCTGTAGTTTTATTTTTGTGTTATATTTACTGATTTAATAATATGTTTTAATTTAATTTAACTTATTAGGTATAATTAATTTAATTTAATAGTTAGTGTAGATTAATGGAGAACTTAGGTATAATAAGTTTTTTATTATTATTATAATTTATTTGTTATATTCAAATAAAGAATGCACTAGATATTGTATTAAAATAATATGATAAATATATTTTGAGTTGGTTTTTATAATTTGGTATGTGGTATTTTGTTAGTATTATTTTGTAGGTTTTAATAAGTATTGTTTACGTAAATGAATTAGTTATTTTTGTTATGTATATTATAATTTTTTTAAATTTGATAACACAAAAAATAAAAATAAAGTAAATATAAAAAAATAATAACAATTACACAAAAAAATAAAAATAAAAAATTTGGAAAAAAAAAATTTGCCCAGGGCCACCTTTTAAAGATTGGCCGGTTTACTCACCGGCCAACCGAGAAGAAGTGACTGACCCGACGAGTGGCCACTTCTTTTCGGTTGGTCACTGAGTAAACCAGCCAATCTTCAAAAGGTGACCGGCCGGCCACCTTGGGCAGAACTATTTTCCTTTTTTTGTTTTTATTTTAAAGAGTTTATTGGGAAAAAAAATTTTAAACAATCGAAGGCGAGCCTTTCTGTGATTGTCTGTCTTGTTCCGACATTTTTTTACACTTTGATTTGTGGTAGATCTGGATTTAAAATTTGAAAAAAAAAAAAGGGAAAAAGAAGATGATGAAGAAGAAGAAATGAGGAAGAAGAAGAGTTTAGAAGTAAAATTGTCCAAATGAATTATCAGTGAGTAATTTCTGAACTGCGAAAAACAATTCAGGTGGCGAAATTGGTCCTAGTTACTCTTTTGGACAAGGTGGAAAAAGGGTGGGGATTCTCAAATGCGGATTGGCTTTGGGCCTTTCCTACACAGCTTAGGTGGAAGGCGAAGAAGGCATCTTTTCGGGGGCTGAAGACTGAAGTAACCCATGCTATACTTCCAGGAAAAAGCTCGAAGGAGCAAAGAGGTACCAATACCTGAAACCGACGCAGGTAGGTGGGTAGAGAATACCTAGGGGCCCGAGATAACTCTATATAAAGAACTCGGCAAAATAGCCCTATGACTTCTGGAGAAGGGGTGCCTCCTCACATAGGGAGTCACATTGACCAGGCCCATGCAAGAATTAGGACGGTTATTGTATGAGGATCTACTCAATGCTAAATGCAGAGGAGCATAATAGATCGATATGAGTATCATGAGTTGTCTCTTAATAAAACCAGTTGTTGTTGATATCTTCTTCTTAGTTCCTCATCCCATAACCTAAGCACGAAAAAGAAAGATATAAGAGGACCTTATGGATAATTGGGTCAGAAATCCATATTAGAGTTTAGACCACAACGACCAAATTGATCGCTTTCGTTCAAAGGGTTATTCATAATAGAACAAATTTCTCTTATTTTCAGAATTAATATATTGATATGACAAAAGGTCATATCTCGAGTTTTTTTTTTTTAAAATTTTGTTTTTGATTCAATAGAAATAATAAAGGTATTTCGGAATCTTTTTATTTTTTGGAATCAATTGTTTTTCCACATAAATTTGATTTGCAAGTTTGATTTTGAACTACCGGAAAGAAATAGGAATGAAATAATATCGATTCATACAGAAGAAAAAGTTTTTTATGAATCAAACACTAATTATCCCCATCGGATAGAGGAAGAGGAAAAATCAAAGATTTTATATAGTACTTTTGATCGAAAAATTAATCTGATTTATTTTGTACCCTTTGTTCAATAAGAAATGAGTTAAATTTTAAAGGATCAATCGCTGCAGAAGAAATCCCAATGTTTTTATTTGCTCAGATATCGAACCTGGTAGGCTTTTGGGGGAAGCAATGAGGCCCTTGCCTGGCAAATCCTCTTCTTCCTTTTCGGTCGAATGGGAGGTCTCGCAAGATGCCGTTTGGGATGATGTCACATAAGAAAAAGAAAAATGGCAATCCCTTATTTCGTCCAGGGAGTGGCAGTCCACGAAGACCCATTTCGTCCTGTGCGAAATTAAAATTGCGGCTATCGTTAAAAGGATTCCCTCATTATATAAAGAGGAGGCCTTCCTCTAAAAACTATAGAGGAGGACGATATCCGTCATCTTCGCCATCTAGAGTAACGACAAATCGGACAAATATTGTATAATTATTCGATTTTTGTAATTTTCTCAATCCCTCAAGGTAAATCTCGAATGTCCCTTAAAGAAAGAAATAAAAGCTAGGAAAGGAATTACCCAAACTTAGTTCATTCGTTGAGTCTCGTGCACTTATGACTACTTATTATTAGGATAGAACAAGAAAGATGTATGATCTAATGAGGCCTCTGTGTTTTTTACATCCTCTCTTTGTTTCAACAAAGTCTTCGGGTGATATATTTTAGTCATCTTTCCCATTACTTAAAAAAAAAAAAAAAGCTCCTATTACACTTGTAGTCTAGGAAGGATGAGAACCAACTATGTAGCATTTACATCGAGAATTCTTCATTCTTCTGGCAATGGGAATGAAAAACAATAAATACTTTTTCTCGAAATATGGAAAAATGGAAGTTTAATTCCGAAAGAAGTACTTCTTGAAGTCTCTCGAAATTTAATTAATTGTTTTTGTTCCTTTTTTACATATGGAAGAAGAAAACTCACATTAAGAGAATAATCCAACACAGAGAATTATTTTTCTATACATTCGAACCACTATTATTCAGATTTTTCTTTATCGGAAAATTGAAAAAATAATTTAGGAGTTTTCTTGTGCTTGTTTGTATGGTAGTTAGGAATTTTTTTGATACCGCTTTCTTTATTTTTTTTTTATTTTTTTCAAAAAGTATATCGACTAGAGTCAAGGATTTTATACATACTTGAGGAGAGTAATAAAAAAAAAGAACAAATAAAAATAAAACATTTGGTCCAACTCCTCTCTGGGTCAAGGTAATAGCTATGAATAGTCATTGGCTTGCAAAGGGGGCCAAGGTCTCACCCAACTCCGTATCTGGAATGGAATGTATGAAATATTTTTAAAGTTAATTTTTCAATAGAAAAAATATAGACAAACCAAAATATTCTATAATAAGCACTAAGGGATTAATATTCTTTCCCTTTTAAAATGATTCCAGTTCTTCCATTTCAAAAGAGTCCAATTTGATATTTAACTTTTAACAATTAAAATATAGCTGTTGCTGCTGAGCGCCCTAATTTTTTTCTTTAAACGCCTTACAGGATATAAAAAAATAATTTTACCCTTAATTTTTATTTTTTAAAAAGGGGGGACGAGAGGGAGGCGAGGGAGAATTGCGCTAGCCTCTCATGGCTGATGCAGGAGAAACACGCCACCCTTTGCAGGCGAGAAAACCTTCGTCTCTGGCGAAGGTGTGGCGCCCGTTTTGGGCTCCACCTTTGTCCGGGTTGGCGAGCCAACCATTCGATGGGTGGCGCCGTTTTGTGCGCCACCCATTTTATTTTTAATTTAATTATTTGTATTTATTTAGTTAAATTATTAGTTTAATAAAAATTCATGTATTTATTTAATTTATTTAATTCATGTATTAAATTTTATTTATTTATTTATTTTATTTGACTATTTGTTTGATAGTTTAATATTTGTTTAGAAAATGTATATTAATTGGTAGTTAAATGGATAATTTATCTTAATATTTAGGGTTTATGGTATTGGTAAATAAATAATGTTTAACTTAAGTATTTAGAGAATATTTTTTAATTACGTATTATGTTCATAAGTTATAGTTGTTATATTAAATAGGTAAATTTTTGGTTAATTAAGTGTTTAGTTTGTTATATGTTTAAATTATGTTAATTACGTAATATGTTCGTATGAAATAGGGTTTTTTTGGTTAAATACGTGTTTAATTTGTTGTTAGTTTAGAAAGAATTGGTTAATTAGGTAATATGTTATGATATATTATTATAATTAATTTAAGTTATGATATAATTCATTTTTAATGTGTGCATGATAGGTTTGATCAGGGGGGTGGCACTGTTCGTCTTTTGCTACAAACGAGACTTTTACCGAAAGGGCCTGGCGCTATTGCATATGCGAAGGGTATTGCGAATATGTACAACATGGAGTTAAGTATATCCTCGCATAAGGATAGTCATACTATATTCCTTTGTCATAAAGGAAGCCGGTACCAAAGTCAACATGTGGATGAAACCATGCGCGCCCGATCCAATAAGAAGAAATAGATGACCGGATGCCAGTTTTGTATTGTCTACAAAATATGTGATAGGTGGACGATTAGTGTATCTCCCGGTCCGTGGGGAATGCACAACTATTCTTTGACAATCCGCCTCGGGTTAGGAGCGGACTGAGCGCAGAAGTGAGAGAGTTCATTGAGGAGTATTCTAAAGTTGGGATTAAGGCTGTTCACATTTTACGGCGATATGGATACAATTTATTGATGAAAATGTTACCTCCAAACAAATCTACAACTACATTAATAAATTGCATAAGGAGGGTTTCCAATTCTGGATGACATGACTTCCACTAAGGTTTCAACGTATTTTATATTTATTTTATGATAAATATGAAATATTAAAATATGAAATTTCAACGTATTTTATATTTCATATTTTTTATTTCAATTTTTTTCAAAAAAAATTCTCAGGACGGCTAGATGCACTGATGATAAATAAATATTTTTTTAATTTAAATATTTAGAGAATGATAATTTTTTAGTTAGTAGTAAATGATAATTTTTCATTAATATCTAAATAATTAGTGTATTTTTATTAGTTATTTATAAATAATTTTTTTGGTAGTAAATTCATAAGTTTTAGTTGTTATTAAATGTTAATTTTTTTATTTAAGTTAAAAAAATTCTAAATAATTAAATAATAAATTTACTATGCAAAATTAAGTAACATTCTCTAAATATTTAAGTTAAAAAATTATTTATTTAACTGCCAAACAAATAAATAAATATACTTAAATAAATAAATAAGATAAATTAAAGAATTAAATAAATAAAATAAATTTTAAAAAATAATTTAAAAAAGGGTGGCCGCGGTTTGGCAAGCGGTTTGCTCGCCAAATCGAGGGGGTGGCGCATGATTTGAGCGCCACCCCCTTTTCAGGGGCTCAAATTGGGGTGCCGAGAAAAGTGCACACCACCCGTGAAAGTTGGCGCAAAGATGCGTCGCCCAATTCTTTAGGAAAAAAAAATATGCAAGGGTAAAATAGTCTTTTTAAAGTTTTGTAAGGGACTCATATAAAAAAATTATGCTTTGTTTGTTTGCTTTTTTTGATGGTTTTTTCAGTTTATTTTATTAATAACTGTCCCATCCCAGTATACCTTTTTATATTTTCAACACACATTTTTATATTCTCAATACAAAAAATACCTAAAAATACACACTAAAAAAATCAACCAAACATACAGGCGTTCAGTAGCCTCCCAGTTAAAATAATGGTTCAATTTGGGATTTAATGACTAAAATGATGGTTCAGTTTTAGATTTTATGGAGGTAATATTTGTTTCTTAATAAGGATGGGAAGGAGTATCATTAAAGCTTTTTAAGTTTTAACTTCCGGACACAAAAGATTTTTGCAGGCGACTTATGGCCGATGTTCCTAAGGCCTACGAATATACCGGCGCTTAAATTGTACCCAGCCTGTGAACATTAGTAGAATAGTAAAGATGTGGGTGGAGCTGATTTGTGGTCTCGTCATCTTCCGATTGCTTAAGCGTTTCTTCTCTGACGACTCCGGCGACTTGGCTGGCGATACCTCCAAATCCCTTCGCGATGCCGCCGAAGCTACCGCCCTTTTCGCGGTTGCCGATCGTCTCCAGAGTCTCTACGGCGGTAAAGCTTACGTCGGACTCCATATCCCAGACCCTGATTCCGCCTCCCGCCGGAATATCGACATCGTTCTCGTTACTAATAGGTAGGTTCCCTCTGCCCTAATCCCCTAATTTCGATCTTACTTTCTAATGCTGAACTTATTATTATTATTGTCATTGTGCGACAGATCAAAATCTAATCAATTCATTTGTTCACAACAGAAACCATGCAATAAGTCGGATTCCTGTTCCTTTAGAAAGTGCGTTATTTTTCATTTTGCCATTTCACGTTTATGCGTCAAAGGTTGTCTCAAGAATCTGAAAAGCAGTTCTAAGGAAGTGTGAGAAGTTAGTATCGGAAATTTTCTTATATAAACCACTCACTCGGTTAAGAATTTCGGGTTAATTGATGCCCATTTAGTGGATTTTGTAGACCATAAGTCATACCTGACAGCTTTATCACTCTTTTGTAAGAGTGCATTACTGAATGGCTTCTTTCTTCCATCCTCAAATGCAGGGAGTTGGTGGTCATATCCGTCGTGAACCTCTCAGGAACAGTATCCATTGATAGGAATGATAGTTCGTGGATTTGCTCTCCCTCTTTATCTGCCAGTGGACATCAGCCCGGAGATCAGCGGTTTCCAGACCCCGTAAAATTTCAATCTCCTTGTATTCTTTATCCCGTAGAATTCAGTTATTTATCTACCACCATTAGCTTCTTATGCTTGTGTGGCATATCTGCCTCAAATTTATACTACTATTCCGCTTATTTCAGCTAGCAGAGATCAAACAACAGGTTTCCATTCTTGAATCGTACCTTGAACAGAGAGGGCTCTCTCTTTTTGAAGGATATCTCTCTTACAAGGTTATATGTCCCAACCCAGATTTCAGGTAAGCAGCTCATTGATTCTTCTGCTCGTTACTTAATTGACCTTACTTATGTCTATCATTTCAGTTGGTGGCAAGCAACTTTTAGCCTTCCTTGTGTTTATGTACCTACTTGAGTAATTACGTTGGTGAAATAATTGTATATTGTGAGAAATGGTTTCTCGTTCTTTCTAGTTCATCAGCCTAAATGTTTGGAATATGTGACCATCAAAGTGGACGATTGCCACTCATGTTTTCTCACTTATTGGTAGAAAGCAACATGTTTGAATGAGCAATCTTGAATCTTGCTTTCTTTTGAGAATTGGACAAAAACACAAGTGAAAACAAGAAAAAGGATCAAACAGGCTCTTTCTTACCTCTTGGTGCCACAACTGGATGATTACATTGTTTTACTACACAAAGCTAATGTAGTGTGGTTGAACGTATAATGGTACTGTTAACTTTTCTTGCATTTGTTTGAATGAAGGAGAACATTGTATCACCCAGCCTATTTCTTTGTTTCTTTCTTCTTTTTTTTTTTTTTTTTCAGGATTATGGGATCAAATTTACTCCCACCTGAGATAGTCACCTATGACCAATGGACACAACAGAAATCTGATACTAAGAGCTTGCTCTCTGGTTGGATAAAAGGAGCATTTGGTGGTGGCAAGAAAGACTTGCAGGCGTTTCAAGAGAAACTTCATTTGATCCTAGGCACAGCCCCGATGTGGGACAGGTGTTTTACATTTATACCTTTTGTTTTGCTGAACTTGATGCTACCATAGGATTCTTATTTCATCTATTCTTCTGTTATTTGTTCAAGGCACTGTAACTTCTGGTTCTTTTTGCAAAAGGAAAGTTGGATTGTGGGTTTTTCCCTTGTGGGAACTTGTTGCAAGTGCTCTTGTTTTTAGAGAAATTGTATTGCATAGTGGGAGCAAAAAGGCCTTTTTTTTCCCAGTAACTTATTGTTTTGGCTGAGCAAACCCTCATTGTTTTTTGATTGGAATGAGTACTTTATGGTAAATAAATGAGAATTTTACCTCTTGCTGATTTGGATAATGAAGTTTTTTACTTATTTTGATTCAGGTTAGAGCTAAAAGGCAACAAGTTGATCTTTGGCGAATTTGTGGAATTTAAAGGGAAGCAGGATGACATTCAGGCATTAAGGAATATTCGAAGATCAAAAGTTGGTCGATTGATCATTCAGAAAGCAAGCATGTTCAATTTAGGTTTTATCCTGCTATTCTGTTCACTTTTGTTTTTTTTACTACTTTGCTGTTTTATATATCCTCACTTTGGAGTAGTTCATTCGATCACGAATAATTAGTCTTTTCTTTATCATTGGATTACAACCATGCAAACATATTCAAGCTTGTGCGCAAAATAGCTGGCACTCCATATAAATTACCAGTAATATCAGCTCAGAAGCTTAGATGTGGAACAATGTGTCGAAATTGCATTGTTGTTTTCCAGATAATTAGCAGTCAAATGTCAGATATATAGGCTATGTATTGCATACTCCATAATGATTAGGTTAGTAAGTTACTTTGCATCCTACTGATCACATATATTTGCACTGATGCACAGCTCGTTCAACACTCCAAGTTCTGTACTCTCCTCGGGACTATCGAGGTGAAGCGACAAGCTCATCAGAGTGGAAGGAAGTGACAGTGAGATCAAAGACGGAGGTTCTATTTCAGCCCAAGAGTTCTACCAAAATACACAAGTACAAGCTATCCTCAGTTACTACTATGACATTGAGTGCCTGAAGCGTTGTAACATGAATAACTCCCTCGACATGTTGTAAGATAATAAGAAACATAACCTCCCTTGGAAACTACTGTAAAAATGTAGTATAATGAGTTCATTTTGGAATTTGTGATCCTTCCTAGTGTTTGCTTATTTTCTTGAAAGAGGGCTCAAGGTATTGTCGTAATGTTGCATTCAGTTTGATTTATTTTATTTTTTATTCTATTTTTTTGGCTCAATGAGAAAGAGGTGATGCGTGCAAAACACGTGATACGATAATTATTTTCTTTTAAATATGCTAAAATAATTATAATAATAATGTGATGGCTTTCTTATGTCATTATTATTCAATTCATTATTCCATTACAATTAAATAAAAAAATCCATAAAAATAAACCACAACTGCAAATGAAAATGTTGGTTGTTTAATGAAAACATCCTTACTTTTTAGATCTTGAGTTCAATTCCTAACTGTATAATTATCTGCGCCTTTGTCATATATATATGTGTGCGCGTATGTAGCAATGAAATATTAAGCTAAACATCATAAAAACAAAATTCTTATGACAATAATTTCATTAAAAATAACATAAATTCTATTATTCGTTGACCTAATCCTATAGGTGACCAAATGTAAACTTTTGTCATATATATATGTGTGCGCGTATGTAGCAATGAAATATTAAGCTAAACATCATAAAAACAAAATTCTTATGACAATAATTTCATTAAAAATAACATAAATTCTATTATTCGTTGACCTAATCCTATAGGTGACCAAATGTAAACTTTTGTCATATATATATGTGTGCGCGTATGTAGCAATGAAATATTAAGCTAAACATCATAAAAACAAAATTCTTATGACAATAATTTCATTAAAAATAACATAAATTCTATTATTCGTTGACCTAATCCTATAGGTGACCAAATGTAAACTTTAGAAGGTGCTTGGTTTGAGGGTGTCAACTGTCAATTACTTTCTATGATTTCCAATCCTAATTTTGGTGCTTGGTTAGAAACATGACCTTACTAAAATAGCTTTCAAACTCAATAATGAGATTCCTTCTCATTCCTAATTAACTTGAAAGGTATGACTCCCGGGAATTGAACAAAAACAATCTCCCTCTTCTACTTCTGCTTTTTAACTTCTTCAAATTTAGGGATGTGGTTTTGTTAAGGAAGCAGGATAAAAATGTAATTTTCTTCCATTCCCTATTTTGTGTAAATATGAACCAAGCACTTGAATTAAAAATTAGAGTTTTGAAACCCTTTTCAATCAATCCTTCAAACTATCAATCTCATTTCTAAACCTATAGTAACCTTTGAACCAGGCACCTTCTTAGTGCATGTTTGGACGACGTTTTGTTTTAGTTTTTGATTTGGATTTGAGAGGAGATTTAAAATGTAGTTTAGTTTTTTATTTGAAAAAATATTATAATATAGTGACCATTTATGAAATTAAAATAGTTTAGTGACAAAATGAAGATTTTACAATAATTTAATAACCAAACGCAATACTTTACAATAGTTCAGTAATCAAATACAATAAAGACTTATAATAGTTCAGTGACCACAATAAAGACTTTACAATAGTATAATGATTAAACGTAAAATTTTAAAAGCTAAATTAAAATGTTATTTGTATAGTGCATTGGATTTTGTGTTTAAGAAGTAAAATGAGATAAAAAGTAAAATAAGAGATTGGACAAACAAGACAGTTTTCTATAAATATTTGTTTGGAAATGTCGAGTACATTTCACTTTATAATCTTTTTGGTCCTGTATTACTTTTTTTCATTACTTTTACCATATCCGTGTTAAAGTCAACAAGGGCATTTTCATTACTTTCTAAGCATTTTTTCTAACAAAATTGTTAAAAGTAATAAATCTATCTATTTATATATCATATTAAAACAAAATAAGTTTGCGCAAAAAGTACATGTATTAAGTTTTTGTTAACCCGTTTCCCGCCCAAAACTTAAAGTATACAAAGTATTCCATGCATTAAATTGTTATACATAAGTTATGGAAAAAGTTTTGTGACCCTTAATTAATATATACACAACATAAGGATGAGTTTAAATAAATTATGAATGAATCATACAATACTGATCATTTATTCAATGATTTGACCGAGATATAAAAACTTTATTTGAGATGATTTAAAAATGACTAGGAGACGATTATTACTAATTGAATGTAGACGTTTTCTCCTCATCTTTAATAAATTAGGAAATGATAGCAGATTATTAATCATTTATTCACAGATTTGACCGAGGATTTTTTTTACGCAATTTAAAAATGATTAGGGTATGATTATTATTATTCAACGTGGATGCAAATTAGGGCTCCGTTCGGAATGAAATTTTCGAATCGTTAGTTGATATTCAAACATTAAATGATTTGATATGCATAAAGTGATTGTTTTGCAATAAACATGTTAGAACTATTATTTAAACCACATACCTCTTTATGCATCTGTCTACATTATCCTTATGCTCATCCTTTGCTTGATATAATTTAGAATTGTTCTATGTTCTGATCGATTTTATGTTTGAATATGTGTCTTAAATTTTTTAACTTTTTTTTTTTCGTCCATTCTGTTTCGATTTTACTTTTCAAATAATTTGTTTGGAGTTGGTTGAAGGTGATAAAATGGCCACTAAATTCAATCGGTATGGCCACTAAATATTTTGTTTCGAATTTTTTTTCCCTTCTCATGAAGTGCGTTCAATTTCTTTCTATGAAGGTTCATATGTAATAGACAACTTTTGTGTACAGGTAGTAGGTTATAACAATGACTTTTTAATGATCTCCCGAAACGCGTTTGCAAAAACTAATTTCTCAGTTATGTCCACTTGCGGAAATTTTCTCAAAATATGATTTGTAAAATCTAATTTGCAAGTTATGTTTACATTATGTAAATTCTCCCAAAACATGGCTTGCAGAATATAATTTACAAATTATGTTCTATTTTTAAAATTAAACCCAACCTGATGAAGGACGGAAAAAAACTAAAAGATTAGGGTTTTAATTATATTTGTCCAAAGATATTTTCGTCATTTTAGTTTAGTTAAATGAAATTTATTTCTTTTGTTTTTGTTTTAAGACTTTAGCAGTCAGTGTGCACTTCGTTCATTAAATTTATAAGAATGAGATTATTCTTTTTTGCCAAACTTTTTTGTCCATTTGTCGGTGAGTTTTTTGATGCCTTTCGAATCAAAATTAGGTATTACTATATTTCGTTGAAACTTTTTTTTATTGTAATTTCACAAAATACCTTGATTCATTCAACAATATAATATAAACTTATTCTACATAATTTCTTATTTTGGATGAAATGTATTTCACCAAAAAAAAATAAAAATACTGTGTTAGGATGACGTGCTTCATTGTGTTAGGATGATGTGCTTCATGGTATTAGACTTAGGTTTAATTCTCACCAAGGGGTACGTAAAGGGGATTTTACTCACATTCAAGTAAGATTCACTGGGTGGAATTCTTTTTTTAAAAAATATTACCTTGATTTTTCACGCCTTAACGCTCGACAATTTTGTTTATTTAACTTTTTCTTTAAATTGTTCTAATATAATAATTAAATTTATATCTTTGAGATATATTAAAAATCATAAAAGAATTTTTTTTATATAAATGAATTGAATAAAAAATTGAAAAATTAAAACATAAAAGAACACGGTCAAAATGTTGAAGAATTTATTTAGTTTAAACTACTTTTTAGAAATTGGAAACTGGATTTGTTTGCCTTATAAACATAATTTCTACAAAAAAGAAGAAAGAAACCACAATTTTGTCCTCCTTATAAATTTTATGAGTTTGATCTAAAACTTTTTCCCATACCATTGTTCTAACTTCTAGATAATAAATAAATAACCTTCACTTCCAAAAAAACATTAATAGTTACATTGGTGTTGTATATGACTATGAAACAACATTGATAAATCATGTCAGGAGAAGTTTAATTTAGCTCAACATGATGTTAAGTTTGAAGGAAATTTGAAAGAACAAAAGTTTAAAATTAATTTGGCGAGAGAGAATAAACAACTTTCTAATAGCTAAATGGCGAAAGAGTAAAATCACTCTTAAGTACATGTATGCAACTCCGCTGCGGTACTTTCCTAATGAGGTGGGGAATGAGTACTTAATCTACGCGGTACTTTCCTAATGAGATGAGGGGAATGAGTACTTAATCTACAATCCAAGTCATCTCTTTTTGGGTCTGACATTTTACTGTTGTATCTGCAAGTAAACAACCCAAGAATCCTTTAGTTTTGCTGGGGCAACAGATGATGAGCTGGATGACGGATCAAGTGGAGAAGAGAAACGGATAGTACCTGAAGATCAGGTGTCATGGCCAATTTTAGATGTGACGCAGCAAAACAAATGAAAATTTTTCGTGAACTTGAATAAAAAATTACATCTACAATGATGATCCAGAGAGATAGGAGCATTTCTCAACTGAATGTTGATAAGATAGCAAGGCTGAACTTTACAAGTTTTCCCATCAGTAATATCAGCTTCAGTTAGGAGAAAAGATATAGTAACTGGTTCTATAGGAGCATTTAAATATATGAAAAGAGCCATGTTTCAAACAGGAGAAGAAAATGAAAGGGAAAAAGCACCAACCTATGGTGTCCACCATGGGGGATAGGAATCTCAGACCACTCCTTTTCTAAAGCTTTTTCATCTTTTAGTGCAATACTCCAGTGCTCTAATCCAGGTAGGTATTTGGTTCTCTTTGCTGCAACCCATCACATGAAGCCTTCCTCTCCAGAGTTGTGTAGCGGGTCTGTTCCTGTAATAAATGATATCCGAAGTAAACACTATTGCAGCTGCATCAAAATCATACTCTACAACAAAAACCATAAACACAGATGTAATCCATGCTTTTAACTGTGCCTTTCCTTTTGACCGGCACTGAAGAAAGCGATCAAACATTTACTTGAGGTAGAAATCACAAAAATAACCTCAAATATACCGAGCATACGATATCTTATTTGAACGAGAACAGAAATAAAAGAATTCGCCAAAAGATCTGGACTAATCTCTAAAGGAAAAATAGAAAACTACAAAGAGAAAAAAAATCACCATAAGGTATGATTAAGAGTAAGATTAGTAAGATTGCAAGCAGAGTAAATTTTTAAAACATTAGACAATACCTAGGAACCAGTAGAGAAGCAAATCCTCCCATTCTTTGGTCTTTGTATCAAGCACAAAATTTCGTGTTGTATGCCCCCTACATAGAGGACCATATTTCCCAGTAACTACACAGATAAACCTCCCATCTGTTGCCATGCCTCAATGAAAATAGGCCTTTTCTTTCAGCATATCAAATATTCCTCCCCATGAATTATTCGAGAAGCTATCAACGTTAACATGAGAATGGACCTACAAGAGCCAAAAAGGGGAAAAAGAAAAAAAAAAGATTCTCATCGAGCTACTAACCAACAAAAATGTAATGCATATTAAACTTGAAAGAACAGTAGCGGTAGGAAGGGGAGAACTGACATAGTTAATGATTCCTTAACCAGCAAGTACGTAAAGAAGATTCTTAATCAAAATGGCGGAACCATCAAGATGAGGCATGGGAGCTCATGCTCCACCGCCACATACATAGTTCTCCTCCTCAACCACTGCCAATGGCTGGTGGTTCACAACAGTCGCCGCCGAAGCTGAAGACAGTTTCTGAAATGAAGGCATTAGTCCAAAAGTGGTTTTCAGAGAGGTCCTGGACTGGGAGCTGCAAGCCTCCGGAGAAGAGCATCCCAGATGTTCTTGAACTCTGCAACTGTTAAAGCCGAAAGGAACGCTTTGCCTTTTTTGTGCAGTTTGTAAAGATTAGGCTGTAAATTTGAAGCTTTGAATGTCTCTATCTCTGTTGATTGGCATGTGACACAACTTTTCTCCATAGATCTTATGAAGAAAAAAGTCACATTAAAATAGCACAAAATTCAGTAAATTTGATTCTCATGACATAACTACAAAACTCAACCAGGAAATGACCACATAATCCAAGTCAACATTAACTTAAATGCAGGCAAGAAAATAAGCAACAATTGAGATTTGTCATTTTCAATAGCATGAATTGCCGGTTAACACTCTATCCTCCAATCTTGTACATAATCTGCAGATAGCCAATTCAAAATTAAGGCCCTCCGAGAGGTTTTATTTAAGGAAATGCTGAGTTGTTATGACCTGGAATCGTAATCAACAACTAAGAGATGGTTTACTTTCTGGGTGATTCAGAATGTTTTGTTCTTACAAAATTTATTTCGATTTTGCACTCGTGAGGCACGCAATGGTTATTCTGTTTGATTTATCAGAGCAAATGGATCACAGAATCTTAATTAGTCCAATGAGGATTTTTAACACATTGTTCATCGAGGTTAGAACTCTTTAAACCTATGATGAAACTTTTTTTGAGTTTCTCAACAAATTGAGGCTGATTATTGAAATTATTCGTAATTCATCTCATACGACAGAAAAAGCTTAATGTGTGATATGGATTACTACATGGCAAAAGCAAAACAACCAGAAATAGGTGTACAATCACTCAGCTTCCTATAATGGTGAGAGAAACAAATTTGAGGGCACAACATGTTTTAAAAATTTTCTAACCATGAACCAAGTTAATTTCTAATACCCACGGGAACAGCCAGAAACTAAAGATAGCTTGGGTATTAAAAAGAACATACCTGTTAAATTATGCCGCAAAGAAGTGAAGGAAGATTCTGGAATTCGGATCCAACATTACCCTATACAGATTAGGGGGGGGGAAAAAAAAAACAGAAACATACAAAGCATAAATAAAACCACAATCCCCTTGCTTTCCACAATTTAAAAGTAGAGTTTCTGAAAATTATTTTAAATAGAAACTTACAATAATGAGACTGTGAGAGGATCAAATAAAGTACGGTTTGGTTGTCGTTCTTCTCTTCATGGAATCTAAAGAACTTACTTCACCATAAGCACCCAAAGGCACCCCTCAATCCTCAATTTAAATTGATGGATTGCAACTCGAGAAGCCACCAGCTATCCGAATAGCTTGAGACATGGAGTAGACAGAAGCTTCCTCCAACTCTCGCACAAACACCGTGGAGAGTGGATGAGGGATTTCCCAAGAGGACCAAACTTGAACTTCTACAAACCATAGCTGGTCACCCGCAGCAGCCAATTCCAATAAGTTCATCAATTCAATTTTTTCATGGGATTAATTTGTGTATCTAAAAGGATCTAAAAACCTTCCTGTGTGGTTGATTGTTGGAAACGTACGCCAGCTATTTAAGAAGTCTCCAATTTGTAGAAGAGTTTTAGTACTATGGAACTATTCAGGCAGATTAGAAGTAGAGAGAGTTGCGCGAAACGGCTAGCGGGAGAGAGGTGGTAGATTTGGAATTGGAAATTGAGAGCTGCGTGGAGATGGAGAGGGCAACAACGACGACGTTTTCCGCGGCTCTGGGATTTTTTTATACAAAACTTTCGGATTTTCAAAATCTAATGGAGGACAGAAGTTTTGAAATTACAAAATTAACCCCACTTGAATTATATCAACATGTACCGTTGGATCAAACTCTACTGACGAACGATATTTCAATCGAGCCTCAATTCTTCACTTAATTTCTTGGTCGAAGAGACTTATATTTAAGTATATATATAATATATAGACAAGTACATTTCAGGGATACGAAACCCCTGTAACATCATAGTGAAATCTTATTTAAATCTTTGTCGGTGGTGCTTCTAATCTTTGTGATTCTCCTGGCCTCCGGATACTATCGGTGCTAAATAATTTGCAACAAAATTAGTTTCACGAAATTCATATCTGAGCTCAATCATCCAAGCCCTCTTCAGAAGTTGTCGAATTCCCACCACAAGACTTGAATTCATCCCAAAAATCACCTCATTGTTGTTGATCATTACAATGATATTATGATTGTCTATTTCAGCAATGACTTTACGATACCCATTATCCAAAGCTAATTGTAGTGCTTGAAACAATCCCCGTAGCTCTGCACCTGTTATAGGACAAAACCCTATATTCGTCAAAAAAACTACCAACCCACCTGTGATAGCAATCCCTAATAACACCCCCAACACTTGCCATCCCAGTCTCCTTGTTGAAACTCTCATCCGAATTAATTTTAACCCACTCCAACGGAGGAGGTTGCCAATTAATCATCCTTAGTTCGCGACTCATTCCAATCACCCCAACTTTCTACAACCAACCATTTCACTCCTAACACCCTTCATGTATTCTTCTATCTCACGGACTCTATTTGTTACCCCACTTTAAGTTTCTTGGAACACTCTACCATTCCTCCAAGCCTAAATTATTCAAACAGTAATACCAAACCGGTAGCCCCAATCGTCCTCTACACCTCCAATATTTGAGAACAAGTTCGACAATATCCATTACTTTGATCTTTAACAAAATACCTAGATACCATATCAAGTGTATCATTGGTTTTTTTAAATAACTTACTTTGTAATAGATAAGAAAAACGTTAACATAAAAAGGTCACAATACTTGCTATCAAATTAATATTTATAATCAAAAAAATTTAACAATTGTGATAAATTTTGCTTAAATTATTACTTTAATCAAATAAAAAATATTTTGAATTATTATTCAAACTATTGGAGACGTTTCAAAATATGTTAAAGATAGGTATTCTTTCTTATTAAAATCGAAAAAAATTTATTTAAATAAATAATTAATCTATAAATAATTTAATAGTCTCTATCATAAATTATTAAAATTTTGTGAGCCTGTATGTTTTGAAATTAAACTTTTTATTACTGTTTGTAAGGTAATTTGGGATAAGATTCTTACCAATTTTATTATTATTTTTTTCTCCCGTTTTTTTTTTAAAATTTTTTCATTTTTTATATTCTATACAGCAATGGCTATTACTTTTTTTTTTTTAATAAAGTAAATCTTTTTTCTCACTTTGGAACGCAGAAGACAAAATGCTAATAATAATATGGATTAGATTAAGGTGAAGGCCCCAAGGCCCAAGTCCAACCCCTAAAATTTACCATGTTTATTTATTTTATTTTGATTTAAGTTTTTCTTTTTTATTAGCCAATTCTGGGGCAAAATTTTCATCCAATTTCAATCTCGTTCTTTTGTCATCGTATATGTAATCGTGATTGTTTGAAAAAAGATTAAGGTAAATTTGATCGGTTTAAAGTTCATCGGTACTTGTGTTATAAATTAGAAGGAAAGTATGTTTTGATGTGGGTGGAAGGTGTGATGTCTTGTCATCCATCTGATTTTGGCGCGGGCATCGCCGATTCGGTCGTCGGCGGCGGTGATGGCTAGCAACCGCAAACGTCTGCGACTCCTCCAAGACCTTTACAATGTCACTAACGCTCTTTCTGAACCCCAGGCATAATCCTTTCCTTCTTCCTTTGCTGTAATTTTTTTTCCTTCTATTTTATTTTGGTCGCGGGGTTTTCATTATCTTCTTAGCCTCATCTTACTGATCAACTGCAAATCGACTTTCTTTTTTTCTCATACGCATCGTTTTTCGTTGTTCAAAAGATGTTTCATGCTGATTTGTTTTTGTTATTCATTTGCTGGTAGTTTCTTCCCCCCTTACTAACAACAATGAAAGGATTGATGATGGATTATTATTGTATGCATACTCTCTTCTATCAGTTAAGGGTTTCGCTTTATACTCTAATTTGTAAGTTTTTAAATGCGTGCTCCATTTGCTAAAGTTCTTATTGGAATAGGGTTTGGTTGATTGAACACTCTTTCCTTTGGTGAAACAGAATAGTAGGTTCTAATGCTTACAGAGTTACAGTTGTAGATTGGTTTCTCATATTCATTGTGATTGACTTGTTTGTGGGTTAATGTTTTGCTTCATTGTGATAGACTTGTTTGTGGGTTAATGTTTTGCTTGTAGCAGGATTTCTCCTGATTAATTCCTAGTTAAACCCCTGACCATACCACTCAAGATGAGTAGAATACATGTCATCATTTACTCAAATCAAAAGGCGAAGGCCTGCTAAAAAGATGTGAAGAAAAGAAAACTATTGAGAAGGATATGATTTATTTGAATTTAATTGTTGTTGTTGTTGATCCATGAAGCTTATCCTGAAAAGAAATGCTGTGTTGGTATTGTTGAAGCCAACTGTTGTATTTTCTGCCCTTTTGCAAAAACCATATAGACATATTGAGATGGTCGATTGGGTCTTTAAGATCATTGGTTTCTATGATTCTTTTACTAGTATGATTTTAGCATTCATGTACCTTACTGACGACCTTTTAACATGTTAGATCACGCCAATTTTACGAGGAAGTGTGCGGATGCAAGGGCCTGTTAACGAGTCAGACCAAGATGGCGTCCATGCCAATATGGTGAGATGACAGGGTAATTACATGCGGAACATTCTTCTTCTTCGTTTACACAAGCATCATTCCATGTTTCCATACTTGCATTGGGTTCGGGAGTTTAAATGTTTGACATGTAAAGGTTAAAATAATAAAGAAATCAAAACTTATCATGGATCCTACTACTATGGGTATTTTACTATTGTCACCAACTGTTGCGAATATTTTGTTATGAACTCTTAAAATTTATATTTCATAAGATATCCGCAGTAGAATACCCTGCAAAAGAGGTTCCAAAAAACGAGTTCTGCTACGAACTAATGGTCAGCCTTAGAAATGAGTGTTTTTTTCTTTTAATATATATATATATATATATATATATTTACATAGTGACTATTTTATATCTCTTCATATGTTTTCCATGGAAAAGGATGGAAGGATAGCTAATGCAATTTGTTTTGGCAGACCCCTTTATGTCTTATTTTAGTTGTATGATTCCATGCATTTCACCAAACCTTTTCTTATTTTGTTCTGTGGATGAAATTGACTTTTTTTTATGGACTTTTGACAGTCCTTTTTATTAATTAGCTCTATTGCATTTTTTTGGATCATAAACCTTTGTTTATTTATAAACTGGTTGGTTGTGCCAGATGCCATTTCCAGTTGAAGAAGAATATTGTACTTATTACTCTAAGAATTCAGGATATTACTGTGGACCCCTATCTGGAACTTGTATTGCGTGTTCAACACTTTCATCATCTTGTTTGCATACAAATCAGCATCTCATGGGGTCAACAGTTGATGAATGTTCTGGAGAAGCATCTTCTGGCAATGCTATAAGTTATTCTGTTAATGTTTCCATTCCAGTTAGTAAGACCCGGACGGGACATCTGGTTAGTGGGAGTTCAAGTAATACATCAGAAAATGTTTATTGTGAAGCTAGCTGTAGGAACAATTCTGACTTATTGTCGGCAGCATCTGAAACTGTCTCTGTGTTTCCAAAGCCTGATGATTTTGAAGTTCAAGGAGACGCTCCTAAGGATAATCATCAGTCATGCATTACCAAAGTTTCTGACTCCCAGTCACTTCAATTCAGTTTGAGTATTGGTGACGGTAAAGGTTCTTCCAGTTTCCCACTTTCTGCTAATGCTCTGTTAGCCCAAGAAAATGTTTCAATTGGCTCTTTTCAAACTTCTTCTGAATGTTTGGATGTGAGAAGCAATTTTGATCAGGGTCAGAGGAACTATAGAGGGCAAAGGTCAAAAAGCAAAGAAAACTTGAAGGAATTGAAGGATTCTGTGTTCTCAGTGGCAGCTTTATCCTCACAGAGTGCAAGCTTTTGTGAGGCTCCTTCAGATACTGGGGGACATACCATTGATAGATTGAATGCAGACGGTAATAATTTGTTACCTGTTGTGATTGATAAGCTTCCTTCTTCTGACCATAGTGTCGAGATAGCACAGGAACATTTATCCCCTCATCTTCATGGCGAGAATGTGAATTCACTATTGGGGGGGATGAGTTCTGTGAATAATCATAGTGATAATGCCATGGAAATTGTGGAGAAAAATGAAGTTGGTGACAACACAGACACGTGTCTGACCAATGTTAAAGAAAGTTCTTTAGAATCTCACTCCTTAGACGAGTGTGATGACTCCGATTTGGTGGAACATGATGTAAGTATAAGTACTTTTGTTCTTGTTGAAAATAAATTTTCTTGGGGGTTTGGGGGTGTTGTGGCATAGTTTGTTGTTTGTAGATAGGTATATCCTATGGATGAATTTGTCATGTTCTTCATCAAATTCTTGGGTCCAGAAGAGCGGGATGGTTTCCTTGTTTGTGCACAATATTATGTGAGAGTTTACTCAATTGTCTTACAAGTTTGCCTTCAGTTATACATGAGGAATGTTGGGATATCAGAATTCATCATCGGAACTTCTAAAATTCTTTTTTTCTTCCCAGTTGCCAAATTATCGTTTGCTTTTCTTTGTCTCGTCATTTCCCGTTTAACTTCCACTAGGTCTTTCCTCCATTAATAAAGCACGGTGCTAGAATGAAGCGAATAGGTGTCTTGTTCTTCTTTTTTTTGAACAATATCATGTCGTGTTAAACATTCTTTGGTTTCCCTTTCTGTGGAATGCGTATCTAGTCCATTATATCATGGTCATTTTGTGCAAAACCAACTCTTAGTATTTTCTGTTTGACCATTTTTTGTAACTTTCTTTTAATTGTTGCTCTCTCTAAATGCTGACTGGTAGCACATCTTATTCTACGGGGAACAGGTAAAAGTGTGTGATATTTGTGGTGATGCTGGTAGGGAGGATTTACTTGCTATATGCTGCAGGTGTATTGATGGAGCTGAGCACACGTAAGTCAGCTCTGTACCTTGTCTGTGTACACACATTCCCACCATTCACCATACACATATGTTTATTCACAATACAGCACTTTGTTATTGTTCTCATTCATAGCTTGTTGTTTAGCTATTGCATGCGAGAAATGCTGGATAAAGTTCCTTTGGGGGATTGGCTGTGTGAAGAATGCAAATTGTATGCGGAAATGAATGGTCGGGATCTAGAAATTGTTGGCAGTGTTGATGGAATTGAAAAAACTAGATCTTCTGGACCAGTTGACCCTGAAAGTTTAGATGTCTATAAGAAATTTGAAACCGGAGTTTCAGATGTTGACCAAAAAAACAATTATATTAATTTTCCTTCTGCAAAGATATTGGGCAAAAGACAGTCGAATGATTCGCAAGTTTCTTCTCCTGCAAAGAGACATGCTCTTGAACCAGAAAATGTTTCTGGAAATAAGTCAATTACCAACGGGGAACCTGCCATTTCTCGTAATAGTTCAATGAAGCTGGATAGGTTGAAGACAAAAACCGACCATTCTTCTAATAGCCCAATATCAGCTCCTGAATCAGCAGACCTTGCTTCTGCTTCACGACTTCAAGCTCAAGGTAAAAAGTAGTCCTGGATTTTAATTAATGCTCTTTTTGCTTCTTAACCTACTTGAAGTCATTAGCGCAGTGGGAAAGTTTTGAAAACTAATTGAATGTTGATGTGTGTGGTTGTAACTTTTACATCAAATGAACAACCCTTCAAGCTCTTATATTTCCAGAAATAGTGCTCTTTGATATACAGTGGAGCTCGGTTCGAGTAAAGACATATCACTGAATAAGAAAAATGTTTGTGATCAAACAACTTCCTACGCCAATCTTGTTTGAAATTAAATGAAGAGACCTGCATTCCTTCCTTCTCTCACTGTCAACACCCAGTCCTTGGGATTAATTGTCCTGATTTTTTCTTAAGTGTCTTGACCTCATTATGTCAATTACTACATTTTAACCTCATCATTTCATTAGGCTTTTTTAAGAACTGGAGTTATGAACATTTTATTCTGGTTTGGAAAAGGATAAATATTTGACATAATAGCAGAATACTTGATGTAGTTTTGCGCATGCTATGATAATTTAGTGCTTTAAGTTCTTCTATCTTCCCTTGAAATATTGAGCATAATGTGTATATGGCTTTTGACTCCATGAGTTTGCTATGGATAAGACTTTGAACAACACAATTGCTTTCTTTCATTGGGCCGGCTTGAATGAATTTTTGTTATTTCTGTAGGTACCTTTGCCAAGTCTAACTCATTCAACTCTCTGAATGTGAAGTCTAAGGTTAATCTTCTAGATGATGTTATACCTCAGAAGCAAAGATCAACTAGGGAATCTGTTTCGTCCGACAGGAAGGAGGGAATTTCCAGATCAATGAGCAAATCTATGTCATTTAAAACTCCATATGGTGCCCGTGCCAATATTGGTGAATCTAAAGTGAAAATGTTGTCTCCCAAATTCTCACATCTGCAGGATACTAAAGGGTCTAAAAACAGCAAAGACTGCAAGGTTTTTGAAAGGAAAAATTCTTTTCAGTTGGAGAGGTCGTCGTTAGCTAATTCTGGTAGCCATGCAGCCAAGAACGATAGAAAAATTGTATCTTCTGGAGAAACTAATTCTCTTAATCCTCCAAGAAAATTTCGGGATGCAAAAGCCGTAACTTCTGATAGGAGGTCAACAATACTGTCAAAATCACCAAGTTTTGCTACTCGTAAGGGTTTAGAACCTGTTTCTCTAGGTATGCTGCTAAATTTGTTTTGTCACTGTGAGTTTTTGATAATGTTATCATCATATTAAACCAAAAAAATAAAAATAAAAATAAACTAATATCATCATCATTATTGGTTCATTATGTTTTTTGATTGCTGTCCATTTCTTGCAGGTGAAGTTAAGAGGCAATCTACTACTGGTCTGGTTGGGATTTCATCCGCAAAAGTTCCAAAGCCTAATCAAGATAACTTAAAGGTGGATACCTCTTCAAGTAATTGTTCTGCTGAGCTGTCATCTTGCTATGCTAATGAAGGTTCGCTAGATGATTTATCTCAGCAAATTGAATCGACAGATTCTGATGAGAGAGCTAAAGATGGTTTAAGCAGTAGATTAAGAGAAGGGGTGGACAGTAAGGATAAACTGAAGGCTGCAATCGAAGCCGCCATGCTCAGAAAGCCTGGAATATACCAGAAACATAGGCAGCCCAGTCATTGTAGTGATGTATCTGCTGTATCTGCTGCCTCAAAATGCGAGACGGCAGCTAGTCACGTTCTGATGTCTGGTGCAAGTAATATGGAGAATGTATCTCTTTCCTTTGAGGAGAAGAAAATGATACTAGGAAGCTCCACGTCTGACTTCTATAAACGAGAAACTCTTGATGATGCAAAGCAGATTGCACTTGTTACTTGTGAAGCTTCTACCTCTAGTGCAGAAGAATCACCCCCCTTCGGCCCATTGGAGGGGCTGTCGTTGGCCATTCCGGATAATGATTATATATGGAAGTATGTTTGTGCCTACTGGTGTTTTATTTGCTTTCATAGGCTCCTGTTCTCGTTTTGATACTAATAATGTTTTGCTTTTGTTTTGTTTTGTCTTTTTATCTTGTGTGATTGTGGTCATTCATTACATAGTGGGGCTTTTGAAGTTCAAAGGGTTGGGAGAAATATAAGTTTGTTTGACGGAATACAAGCTCATCTATCAGCTTCTGCATCGCCAAAAGTTCTTGAAGCGGTGAACAAATTTAACAATAAAGTCGTCTTAAATGAAGTACCCCGCTTGAAGACATGGCCAGTACAGTTTCAGGAGAATGGTGTCGGGGAAGATAATATAGCTATTTTCTTTTTCGCAAAAGATTCTGCAAGGTTGCAACTTTTACATGTTTTTTTTCCAAATTAGTATGAGCTATCTTAGTTCATTCTTCTTTTTTTACCTGATAGTTTTTGTTTCTCAGCTATGAGAAGAGCTACAAAGGGTTGTTGAATAATATGATGAAGAATGATGTTGCTCTTAAAGGAAATTTCGGTGGTTTCGAGCTTATGATATTCCCATCTAATCAGCTTCCTGAGAAATGCCAGCGTAAGGATTTAATTAATATTCCTCGTACTTGCACACATATTTGATTTAGTAGACCAAATTTTTCTGTACATTCAGGTAAGGCTTATATAGTGGCTGAATTGTGGGAAAGGCTGGTTAATATCTTGGCTCTTTGGTTTTTATTCATTAGTATTAATTGGTTTCAAAAGGATTTTCTGTGAAACCAAAAGGAAGGTTTTTGAAGGCATCTAATCTTCCCCTTCTTTCTGTTTTTGCTGCCTTTTCTCTTACTCTGCTCTCCCCTTTTCATGTACTATGTATAGGGTAAAGCTTTTATCACTTATTTCTGTCCCTAAACTTGTTTCCGAAGGAAAAACCAAACAAAGTGGGGACACGGAATTTTCTGTTTGATCGACTGTAAATGTATTTGCATTTTTCCTTTAGCTTGCAAATGAAAACTGCAAACCAAGGTTATAATTTTTTCACCCAGAAAGTGGATCTGCTTAACAGCTCTCGGGGGGCTGCGGGGTTGTTTATTTTAGAACTTAGGTTGCTTAGGTTGTCTGGGGGTGTGTGTGTGTGTGTGTGTGGTAGCTTGCGGGTCTTTTGGATGTAAGAATTTTCTTTGGAGGCTGATTTTTTTGTTTGTACCTTGTAGGCTGGAATACAATGTTTTTTATGTGGGGTGTGTTTAGAGGAAAGAGGGTTAATCAACGACAAGTGCCTGGCTCTGATGAGAAAACTAATGCTCCTCAAGATGTCATCATGGCTAGCATGACTTCCCCTGTGAACATATCATTAGGTATGCCCATAGACATTGAAACGAGAGCTTTGGGGCTGACAAGTTTATCATCTTCTGAAGCATTGAGGGGATTAAGTGATTGCAGACTGTCTTCGGATATCATGGACAAGGGTCCTCTACAAACTGACAATGTTCTGTCTGATAGTCGGCAAAACTTGAGACCGTTTTCTGTTTTGCATCCCAGTGTTGCAAAATCATGTGTAGAAAAGGCTGACATCAGTAGGGACTTGAGCCGTTCAAGTATTTCCCTGGTATGGTTTAACCTCCCAGTCGATCATCCTCATACATATTGATTTTGTTACAGGCTTGTTCTTTTTCCTTTTGCTTTTCCTATTTTTTTTGTTTCAATTAACTAGAGATCTCAGAACAAAAATATTGCAGCAGGAACAAAAATGTTGCATCGGTTCCGATGACAAGAAGGAACCAGAAGTTGAAATTCGTGTTGAATCTGCCATTAGAGATTGTGATTTGAATGAGAGTCCGCAGAAGCTCATGAACTACCACCCTGATTTTAATCAGCAGCAATTGTCATCTGCTGCTGGCTCTCATGAGATGAGTTCTGCAGGGGACCGAATCTCGTTGGATGGAGCAAGTCTGGAAGGCAATTTAGCGGATGGAGCTTCTCCTGGTACTGGAAACCAAATGGTGGATGACAAGTTCACTGAAGTAGCTTCTGAGCCGGCAAGTTTGATAGGACCGGGGACTGCTACCGGGGACGTAGACCTTGAAGAAGTAAGGATAGCCAAAAAACAGAAGACTGACTGTTATGGTGGGCTATATGGAGAAAATGGTGGTCAGACCAGTACTTCGAAAGACTCTGTTTTGCATTCTGATTGTCTCTCGCTTGCAAATGGTGTTGATGAGATAAGTTCTGGAAGTTACTTTTTCCCTGTACAACCGAAGGAAGAAGTCGGGCAGGTTAGAAGGTTAATGCAATCCTCACCAAAAATCATTGATCTCGAGGAGGACATAGCCCCCAATCTTGAGCTTGCTTTGGGGGCAGAAAGTAAAACCTCGCCTGCCCTGCCTTTTTTGGTTGAGAAAGATGACAAAAAATTCACCTGGCACCTTTCTTCAACGCCTGAACAAACAGCAACAACCAAGGGAAGAAGAGGAGAGGAGGAGGAGAACGATGTAGTGTCTGCTTCGCTTTCCCTTTCGCTTTCATTTCCGTTTCCTGAGAAGGAAGAAGAAACAACAGAGAAGAAACCCTCATTGGGATCTGAAGCTGGAAATGTTAACACTTCGCTACTCCTATTTGGGCTTGAGGGACAAGTAGAGAATCGGATACCCTCCAGCCTACAATATCCTGGAGGTAATACTGCTGCATCGCAAGCATGCAATAGGTTTAAATGAGCATGAAGAAGCCATCCTGGAGAGAAAGAAAACAACCTTAATGCATGGATCTAATTTTCCTTTTCTTTGATATTGTAACTGTGTCGTGATAGGGGGCAGGGTTTGTAATCTGGCTTCTTCTTGTACATATTATGAAGCCAGGAAAGGAGGATTTCTTTTTTCCTTTCCCTTTTTTTGGGGTCAACAGAGTAGGAAATTTTTTGGTTTATTGAAAACAGAAGTGAAAGGAAAGAAGAATTCAAAGATTACAGGAAACAGACAGAGTAGGTCCGAATCGGTACCTTAGTTTTTGTATGGAATACTGTTAAAAGTTAAAACAGAGGGAGGCGTCTCTGTGTGTGTACTTAGGAATACCATTCGAAAAAGATATTGACAGTTATTAAAATAAAACTGAAAATAATAAAATATATATATATATATATCTATCATTTTCATAACATAATACTTATTGAAAATCTTAATTGTTTTATAGTATGTTTCAAAATCTTAAATAATTTTTTTATTAATTACTTTATTATTTTGTTAATTTTATTTTTTAATTTTTTAATATTCTCTCAAGAAGTTTATATTGAGTTTTAAGATTTGTATTAAAAGTAATAAAATTTCAAAATTTGAAGTAGATTATTTTTTTTAGACGAAAAGAGTATTATTTATCTTGTGCTTAAGTATGACATTGTGATCTTATTATACCTTTTATATATTTTAATATAGTTTTGTGTTAGGCTAATACCAATAAAACTTTCTGTGAAAATCTTTTGAACTTTTTTTAAGAATTTCATTTTTTATCCTATTGTACATTGCTATCCTTCTTTCCCCTCTATTCGGTGAGAATCGAATTCGCAGACCTTTCTTGATAAGTTTTTCAACCAAATTATTTGAGTTACATTCAATTTTCCATTTGAACTTAAAAACAAGTGAAAGATACATGTTTCACATTAAGTAAAGGATAAGGTCCACTTATGTTTTTGAATAAAAAAATCAAATGTCAGTAGGAATTTGAGTTCTGATGGTTGTTGTGTGAAATTTTGGTTGATGAGATAAATCACAAAATAAATTTAGATTTTGAAATTAACTATTGAATTTCTCGTAGTTTTTAAGTCTTCAAACTTTAAGACTAAAACCAAATCTTTACTCATTTGAGTTCCATACAGAATTTGAGAGGTTTGAGTTGCATCAAGGTGAGAGGATTTCATCAACCAAAAAAAAAAAACAAAAGGTGAGAGGATTGTTTATTTTAACCTAAACAAAAATATTTTACTTGACACTTGTGTATTTTGTCACTCTATTGTCATAGAAATTTATTTTTAAAATACTTATTCTGCCTTGAAATTATTGTCAATTTTAGTTTAAATTGTACTAAAGTAAAAATAATTTTGGGACGAATGAGTACATCTTTTAAGTATAGTTGTTTTTGGATACTCCAAAAAAAAAATAGTTTATTATATATATAATGTTTTATTTTTTAAATTAAATAAGGTTATTTATTTTAGAACGGGAAGACAGAAGAAATTAATTACTAGTGTTTTTTTTGGATTATGCTATTTATTGCTCCCCTAAATCCTAAGTATCGCACTCTTTAGACGAATTTACCCTGTCAAAAAATTAAAAAAATAAATTAAAAAAAAAAACAAGAAGAAGAAATGCATAATCTCCGATTTTGATCATCTTCTTTGCCTCATCTTTATGGCGAAGTGCCTCAAATTTCCTGTCGTAGAATCCAACTCCTGGCGCCATCTTTAATTTGTTCTGTCAATTTTCAAGAAATTAGATGGGAGTGGAATGCTGTAAATATTGTAAGGGTCGCCGGTGTCCGAGCAGGCCACCAGGAAAACGGAACTAGCGTACTATGCTGGCGCTTCTTCGTTGGAATAAGTCTCGCCCAAACGCCAAAAGGACCGGAGGGGCTTCTGGGCTCGACGCCGCTTTCGTCGGTCGGGGGGATTGGGGGACATTGTTTCTGCAACTTTCTTCCCAAATAACAATCCAAAGTCACACATCTCAGAGATAGACGTGGGCTGCTATTTTCTGACCATCCTAATCGGGATTGTTAAGGACCATCACCATATCAAGGCTTTTGGGCGGCGACGCTGCTCCTCTTTGATGCTTTTTTTTTTTTTAATTTTAATTTCAAATAAAAAAATTAAAAATGGGAAATTTCACTATATTTGTCGATACACCCAGGATTCAAGAACCATTTCACCAGCCATTGAGCTTCCGGATACTATATTAGAAACAAAAACCACACTTAAAAAAAATAACACCATTTGGCATGTGACATTTCCGCATCATATTTTTAAAATAAATTTTTATTTTCACATCTCTTAGAGTTAAAAGGCAAATGCAGTCCAAATTCACCTCTACCTCCTATTTTCGCCCAAAAAAACCACGAGTTCATAAAAAATCCAAATTCTCATCTCCATTTCCACGAAAATCGACTCCCTAATTAATCCCTTCTCCACAATTAAAAATAAATAAATTTCTCAGCAATCATCAATTGAGAGTATGTGGTGAAATATACTCCTTTCCTATTAGCATGTTCAATATTTTCATTAATGATAATCAACTACATCCTAATCGGATAAAATTTCAACTTCAAAAAATATTCTCTTTACACCTCTATATGAACACAAAGGAAAAAAAAAAAATTCTCATTGATCTTGCTTCGGCCGTTGTGATGGTGGCATTACAGGTATTAAAATTTAAATAATTTTATTTCCACAGATCATTGGTTTGGCTTTTATTATTTTTTATTTTTCTCGTTCAGGAATAGTGTTATTACTATTATTTTTATGCGTCTATCCGTTACAGTTATTGTAGCTGTTGTCAGGTAATATAATGTGATTTCTTATTTAGTTAGTTAGCTTAGAATTGTTGTATGATTTTAGTTATGTTTGGATTGAATTGATTAATTGGGTTTTTATTACAAAGTATGGTTTTTTAAATTTCTTTTTTATGTTTCATTCAATTAGATTCGTTTTCTTTTTTTAATTATGGAGTCTCAGGTTTTTTTTCGTATATGGCCAGTTATGAAGTGTATTTTTTCTTTGTTTAATTGCTTTTGATTTTGTTTCATACTCCCAGTTGACCAATTATTATTATTATTATTATTATTATTATTATTATTATTATTATTATTATTATTATGTTATTTGCAAATGAAGCGCGTTTTTTTTTTGTGTTCGGGGTTTCAAGAATATACTTTTTTTGATTTAGTTTTTGGACTTATTTTTAGTTTCTCATCATATAAATAGTTCAGGTCGCTTCTTCTAACTAATTTATGAGAAAGCCTTTTATAAATTTGAGGTGGAGAGGGAAGGAATGATGCTACGTTTATTTGTATTTTTATACATCATTTTACCTACAGAAAAAAAAAATCTCAAATTTTAATGGGTTATCTTTTAATTTTTTTTTTATTTGTCATAGTGCGGTGAGTTCTTTTTTGCTATTTCTTGAAACCTATGCAAATTTACATTATTTTCATTCTCATATTTGTGATCAACCAGTTTCAACAATTAACCAGTTTCAAAATCATATTTTTGATATTTTACTACCTATTAACTTTTGGAAGAAATAGTTCCAACAATTAAGCGTATACCCGTTGGAGGAAGTTAACTACAAAGCTATTATAAATCTCCCAAACTAAGTATAGATTTGGTACAACCAATGGAGAACATCAATAAATTATCTTACTAATATTTAATCTTATTAGGATGTTTTTATATTTTGTCTAGCATTTACTTCAAGACATATATTTGATCAAATTTATTTATATTTAAGAAGTAACACTTATAAAACATTTCTAAAATCTTCAAACATTTCTAAAACGTACCGGGCCAAATATAATTTATTTTTATGCCAAATACAAACATCACACTTATAAAACATTTCTAAATTTTTTAAATATTTCTAAAATATATCGGGCCATATAAAAAATATTTTTTTTCCAGATACAAATATTTTTAAGATCTACAGATATAATGGGCTAAGGTCGCGCATTGTGCGACCAGACATCACTAGTGTATATATATATATATATTTTGAATTTGGAAGAATTTGGAGAGGTGAAAGATTGTCGATATTGTTGGTTTTAAATTATGACAGGGGCAAATTGTCCAAAGGGGCAATACTTAGGATTTAGGGGTGACAAATAGCAGCCCACGTTTTTAATTTAGGATAAAGTTGGGAAATTAGTTTTGGGGGAAGTGGCGGCGTTAATGTCGATGCGGCTTTTGTGTTTTTGAAATTCTACAACTCCACCACACTGCACTCAATCCTCCCTGTCCCGTTGCCGATTTAATTACCAACATGGCTACCATCGCCGGCATCGCCACCGCAGTTCTTTTCGGTATCCCCGCCCTTTGATTTTTTCTTTTTCTCATTTGCATTTCGGAATATTCCCCTAGTTTTGCTGTCTTGGATGATTAATTTCATTTCTCTATCATTCCCGATTTTCTTTTTCCTTTTTTGTTGTGGGTATTATGAATTCCTTTGACGCGCTCAATTATTGATTTGCAGGCAAGAACGATTTCAAGGTATCATCCAAACTTTCCTCTTCTTTTGTCATCAACTCCTCCACCACGTTGAGATTCCCGCAGAACGCCTCCTGGCCCTCCTCTTCTCGTCGCTCTAAGCTTCACAAGTCTGTAGTTCATGCGGAGTACAGGTTTATAGCTTCCTGCTTTGAATTTTAATTATTTATCGTCATCATCTCAATTTATTGTCATGTTCATGAATTATTTGTGTTGTGCCCATATGTGTGTTTAAAACTCCCCGGTTTTGATTAAGGTTATTATTGACTCAAAAATGACAAAGTTTGTGGAGTACCTGAAGGACTAACTAACTGTATCCGGGTGTTCTAATTAAATTATTGGAGTGGTTTTTTAAATTTTTTTTCCCAGTATTAAGCTGAGATCTCCATTTCTTCCTCCCGCACCGGCTCATTAGAGCAAAGTTCCTGTTAGTAGCATTAGATGGATGTAGAATTAAAATGATCAATTGGGGATCTCTTTCTTTATCTAGAGAGGTGAACTTTTCCCTGATTGCAGTTCCGTTTGAGCCACTTGTTTGCCTGCAATTATCTTTTCCCTGGCCGTGCCGTCCATCTTTCCTCTTCTGATTTGATTTGCCTAACTGATGATGTATTACTATCTAATTCGTGTTAGTGAATTGTAGTGATCATAGAGCTGGAGGCAGTGGTGGTGATTTTGTGGCAGGCTTCCTTTTAGGTGGTGCCATTTTTGGAACACTGGCCTACGTTTTTGCTCCCCAGGTGAGATTACATGTACCTCCCTATAATTTATTTCTACGAAACTGCTCTAGCCCGAGTAAAGGTTTTGATGTACTGTTCTTTGTGTTAATAAATGCTTTGTTTGGTTATTATCCTTACCAAGAATACTTATTTTTCCTTCCACAATATAAATATACCTCCAATCAATCACAACCATTTTGAGTTTAAAACTTAAATTCCCTCGAAACATAATCTCAAAAGTTTCTCCTCTGACTGAATTTTTTACCGCACTCCAATCACATATTACCTAACAAAGAAATTTTCTTCCCCTCCAACATATGTTATCTTGCAGTAAATTCCCTCCAAAATTTTTTCTTTGGAAGAAATTTCCTAAAAACAATCATAAACAAATGTATCCCAAGTGATTCCTTATTTTGCTCCTTCAGGAGTAGTATACTTGATAGCAGGGGCGGCTTAACGTTTTGTGGGGCTAAGACGAGTTTTGAATTCGAGGTCTTTTGATAAAAAAGAAACTATTAAAAAGAGGAAAAAAGTTTAACCCTCTTCATTCTTTGGTGACAACTATAAATCTGTGAGTTCATCGCAAGCAAAGTTATAATTTTTCATCGCAAGCAAAGTTATAATTTTTTTTCTCAAATATTATTTATATTAAATTTATTTTTTTAGCATTTTTTTTTGAAAATATTGTTTATGTTAAGTTATTTTTCTACCTTTTTTGGTTGCAAATTCTTTTATGAAATTTCTATGATCTATCTCTTCTGCTAAGCCTTTTTCTTATTAATATAATAGCAAATCCATTTTAATCTGTCTTGTGACATTTTCAATTTTAAGTAATATTTTTTTAATTTAAGTTTTGAAAAATTTCTTTCTATGTAACCAACTGTTACATGAATATTAGTTAACATTATCCTATAAGCAATCAAAAAAGATTTAATATAACTAAATGTATCAGTTGATTCGTTATTCTCAAATATATACACTATCCGTTAAAGTTCATAAATATATCTAAACCGTCAATATCTAAAATATTATTGTGTTTTATGGAGTTTTGAATGTGAAGGCAATTTTTTTTTCTAATTTTTTGTCATCAAGTACTTATAGTTTTTTCAAAATAAATAGAAAACTAAAAATACTAATGTCTATTTTAAAATTTTAAAATTTGCTTTATAGTTGATGAGATATATAGCTCTATTAACTACGTAAAGAAAATAATTATTTTAAAAATCTCGAGGCGTGTAAGAGTTTCATTAATTCTTCATATTTTAACAAATCATTTATTTCTATAAATTTTACGTTTTTTTCCAATATTTATTAACACTAAGTTTAGTTAATATATATATATATATCTTACTATATTAGAAACAAAAACCACACTTAAGAGAAAGCACCACTATTTGCCATGTGGCATTTCCACATCATATTTTTAAAATAAATTTTTATTTACACATCTCCTAAACTTAAAAGGTAAATGCAGTCCAAATTCACCTTCACCTCCTATTTTCGCCAAAACAAAAAAAAAAACTACGGGTTCATAAAAAACCCAAATTCTCATCCCCATCTCCATGACAATCAACTCCCTAATCAATCCCTTCTCCTCAATAAAAAAAAAAAAAATTCCTCATCAATCATCAATTGAGAATATGTGGTGAAATATACTCCTTTCCTATTAGTATGTTCAATCTTTTCATTAGTGATGATCAACTACATCCTAATCGAATAAAATTTCGATCTCAAAAAATATTCTCTTTACCTCTCTATATAAACACAAAGGAAAAAAAAAAAAATTTCATTGATCTTGCTTCGGCTGTTGTAGTGGTGCCATTACAGGTATTAAAATTTAAATGATATAATTTTCACAGATCATTTGTTTGGCTTTTATTATTTTTTATTTTTCCCGTTCAAGAATAGTGTTATTACTATTAATTTTATGCGTCCATCCGTTACAGCTACCGTAGCCACTGCCAGGTAATATGATGTGATTTCTTATATGGTTAGTTAGCCTAGAATTTTCGTATGAATTTAGTTCTGTTTGGATTGAATTGATTAATTGGGTTTTTGTTACAAAGTGTTGTTTTTTAAATTTCTTTTTTTATGTTTCATTCAATTAGAGTGGTTTTCTAATTGCATGGTCAGTTATAAAGTGTGTTTTTTCATTGTCTAATTGCTTTTGATTTTGTTTCATACTCCCAGTTGACTAATTCTTATTATTATTATTTTATTTTATTTACAAATGAAGCGCGTTTTTTTTTTTCTGTGTTCGGACTTTCAATAATATACTTTTTCGGATTTGGTTTTTGGACTTTTTTTAATTTCTTATCATATAAATAGTTCAGGTCACTTCTTCTAACTAATTTATGGGGAAGCCTTTTATCAATTTGAGGTGGGGAGGAAAGGAATGATGTTTCTATGTTTATTTGTGTTTTTATACATCATTTTTACGTACAGAAAAAAATAAATTTCTCAATTTTTAATGGGCTATTTTTTACTTTCTTTCTTTTTTTTATTTGCCATTGTGAGGTGAGTTCTTTTTTGCTATAACTTGAAACCTATGCAAATTTACATTATTTTCATTCTCATATTTATGATCAACCAGTTTCAACAATTAACCAGTTTCAAAATCATATTTTTGATATTTTACCACCTGTAAAGTTTTGGAAGAAATAGTTCCAACAATTAAGTATATACCTTTTGGAGGAATCTTACTACAAAGCTATTATAAATCTCCAAAACTAAGTATTGATTTGGCATAACCAATGGAGAACATCAATAAATCATCTTACTAATATTTAAACTTATTAGGATACTTTTATATTTTGTCTAGCATTTACTTCAAGACATATTTGATCAAATTTATTTATATTTAAGAAGTAACACTTATAAAATATTTTTAAAATCTTGAAGCATTTCTGAAACGTACTGGGCAAATATAATTTCTTTTTATGCCAAATACGAACATTTCTGTGATCACACTTATAAAACATTTCTAAATTCTTCAAACATTTCTAAAATATATCGGGATAAATACAAAATATTTTTTTTCAAATATAAACATTTCTAGACATCACTAGTATATATATATACGGTGCTTTCCCGATTCTGGGGCCCTAGGCGATGGCCTATTTTGCCTAGTGAGAGAGCCACCCCTGCTTGATAAATTGAAGGGCTTAAACTGGGTTTCCAATGGAACAGGTTGCGAAGTTTTATCTTTACACTTTTTTAAGTTGAATCGTCAGTTATTTTGGGAGGTGTTACTGCAGAATGAACTGAGGCTACATAGCTTTCCTTGCCTCTTGAGTCCTAAAAATCCATTTTCAGCTCCCTTTATTGTCATGTGGGGGCTTTCTTTGTTCTTTGTTAATCTCTAAGTTGCGTGCTATGACTTACACTAACTTGTGCTTTTGTTTGTTTTGCGGTTTTTTTTTTTTTTTTTTTGGTTTTCTTATTTTTCTTGAAGTGCATTTCCCGTTAACACTTTTTTCTTAATTGTGAGTAGATAAGGAGGTCAATTTTGAACGAAGATGAATATGGTTTCCGAAGGGCAAGGCGACCGATTTACTATGATGAAGGTTTAGAGGTATTGTGGATTAGGAATCATATGTGAATTGAGGTTCATTGTTTATCCCTTCTATCGCCCCTATGTTTACATTTTGCCTTCTCATTGACGAGGTGCAGAAAACAAGACAGACCTTGAATGAAAAGATAACTCAGCTGAATTCTGCAATTGACAATGTCTCTTCCCGGCTTAGAGGTCGTAATAATGTTCCTCCAGTGGCAATTGAGACTGATCCTGAAGAAGCCACCATGTAGAAATACAGTTTTATATCGCAAGTTTCTGAAGAATTTCCAGGTCGCTAGTTTCTGTACCTGAGAATGAGAATATAAAAGACAACACCTTTTGATTTGTGTTCATGTTTACTTCCTTCTTAATGAATTTGTTGTTACTCAAGCTTATCTTAATTTGAAGCGTTTTGATTGAATGCTAGAAGACAACTTGCTTTGTTGGTCGTTGGACACGCTTTGTGGGCACTTGAGAATTATCTGTTTTTGTCAGAATGTTATCTGTTCTTGGAGAATATGGATAGGATTTCTATTTGAGTATGAGGTACTGGATTGTATTGTTCAGAAAGAAATTACAAGATTTTGGTACATAGTCGTAGTCACATATTTTAAAATGGTTAGATCTTTGTAGATTAATATTTTCAAGCTTTTTTTCAGCTTTCTGAAACACAGGACGCTTGTGGATGCAGATTCAAACAGTTTAAAAGTCGACCAACCATTTGCTTCTCACAGAATGAGGGTAGTTATTATGTACCGCAAAGGTCTCTAGTTAGACCCTTGATTATTGGCAGATTTGTCGTTTACCTTTGTTATTGGTACATTCCTTTTTTATGTTCTATAGATATATTTTTTCGTTGTTACCGGTTTATTCCTTTCGTTTGTCCGTTTTTTTTTTCTCCTGTGCAAAGATCCTTGTATGCCTCTGGCCGTAGGATTTACATTTACCGAGTTCAAATGCTATAGTTAACTTCATTTGGACTACTGGCAAAGATGGCTCACCTATTAAGTTCAAAATTAGGAATGAAAATGAGATTGCCATTTGATAAAGTTGGTTAGCATCTTGTGTCGCACAAGTGCAAGATACAGGAAGCTAGCTCTGTGGTTACAACTTGATTAAGACCTTAACACAGTCAGGTTCCTTCAGTAGCGCAAAAGCTTTAATTATATCTTCGAGTTGAACTTCATGTGTCAAAAGGTGATCAAGATTTTGTATTTCCTGCCAAAAAGGAAGTGATCAAGTAAGTTAAACTTCTTTTACATGCCATTTGGTAAAGCTGGAGGATGACCATCAACGCCAAATAGGTGTGAATCTTCATACCTTGTTGATGCACTTGTGAATGACAACAGGAAGATCAGACTGGACTTTAACACCACCAAAGACGGAGTATTTGAAAGTTCTGCATCCAAGAAGCGAAATAAAGTTGATTGCAATGGTATTGTGTGTTCCCGCACCAAGCATTATCATCTTCCCTTTTCCCTGCAGGTAAAGGTAGCACAGAAAATACTATCTTTCCTGTTTTCTCAGGTATATACATATGTAGAGTAGATGGTTATTTGTTATTTTACCACTTTGGTTGCTTCAAGGGCTTCATTAACCAAGTCAGGGACTCCGGTACACTCGAAGCTGTGGTCTACCCCTAATCCCTGGGTAAGCTCTTTCACTAAATCTGAGATGGATTTATGAGCTGCAGGGCCTTGGCTGGGGTTTATAAAGTGGGTCATCCCAAATGCCTCTGCTTTTTTCCGCTTGTTTTCATTGATGTCAATGCCAATTATTTGGGTTGCTCCGTGAACCCGAGCTCCCTCAATTGCCTGTCATCGGAAACAGATTTAATTGGATAGACGACACTGTCATATGACATGGTGGCGTAGAAAAGATAGTTTGTTGTATTAAAGATTTCCTCTTTTTGGGTGTTGGGGTTTTGATGAATTACTTACTCCTAGTCCAACAGCACCAAGGCCAAAAACTGCGACAGTGGAACCACATTCAACCTTGGCTTCCTTCCATGTAGCTCCAAAACCAGTGGTGAAGCCGCAGGAGAGGAGGCTTGCGTGCCGGAGAGCCAATCTAGGGTCTAACTTGACAATATAGTTGGCATCGACAACGGTATATTGGGACCAGGTGGAGCAACTGAGGAAGTGATAGAGCATAACGACTTCATCTCCACTAGGTGGACGGGTGATGGACATTCTTGAGGAACCATCAGGCATTAATCCTGTAAAAGCCTGTAGAGGGTAGCTGTGGCAGATGTTGGTCTTGCCGGAGCTGCAATTCTCACACAATCCGCACTCTCCCAAGTAGGTCGGGATGACAATGTCTCCGACTTCAAACTGAGAAACACCTTCGCCTATGCTTTCAATCATGCTTCATCGAAGAAGAAGTTGCAATGGGATTGTGCAACCAGAGAAACAAGTGGATGATTTGTTTATGTACATATTTATGGAGTATTATATTTGAACTTAAAAGAAAATTATTGTTAACAACGGAAGAGTAATTTACCCGACACCTTCATGCCCTAGAACTCGAGGAAATAATGGCTGCAGCATCCATCCATCCATATCAGTAGTGAATTACGCATGGGAATTATAAATTCAAAAACCAATTACATATACGATATGCAGGTATGTGAATGTGACTGATTATCATTGAACATAATTATGGCACTGCTTTCATATTATATGCATTTATCATTTACGTTACGCTGTGAGATGATCTGAATCTATCTTTTTTTTTCAAAAAAAAAAAAAAAAGGTTTTGTAAAAATTACTTGACATTTTTTACATTTAATTATAATATAATGTGATAAATGAAAGTTAATCTATAATTAATAATATAAGTTAATTTAAAATTTAATTTATTTCAAAAGAATTGATGTAGTTAATTTAAAAATTTATTATTTGAGTACATTAATATAAAAAGATATGGATTACGGGTATTTTTGTCCCTCCACATAAAATTATGATGATTTTAGTGGATTAAGTTAGATATGATTCAAGAGATATTTGGAAGTTTTATCTAAATTAAAGGGGTTTATCATAGATTTAGCCAAAACTCAGTGATAAGGTGTAGTTTGCCAACAAAAAAAAAAAAAAAAGACAAAAACAACTGGTGATAGGGGGTAAATTTGGTGGACTAAGACTCGAGTTTCTTTTATCATTTTGTCTGAAACTTCAAAAAAGTAAAATAAAATAAAAGTTTATCTACATTTGTATTTTTTATTTTTATTTTTTTTGGTTTTGGGTTTGTTGGTGTAAGGGAGGAATGAAGAAAATACCGCTGGGAATCCTCTGCAGCATAAGACGTCAGTGTGGCAGAGACTGGCATATAACATCTTCACCCTCACTTCACCGGAACGTGGTGGTTCCACTTGTATCTCCTCCGTCTTTGGGTCCTCACCGGCGGCCCAGCACACCACTCCTGCATGCATGCATTGGTCCCGTCTCTCTCTCATTAATAATTTACTTACTCACACATAATAAATATCACAGGTCTCAGTTAGATTGCATAATTAATGAAAACAAATTATATTATCCCATATCTCTCATTGAGTTTGATTTACTCACCTTTGCAAGTTATGGTCTCCGAGGTGGAGGAGGAGGAGGAGGAGAAGCTTCCAGTGGCCGTTGTTGGTGACATGATCAGATTTGAGTGAGTAGTGAGTGATCAATTAAGTTGAAATAATTTGTAATATTGGTTGTACAGCAATGCAGTGCGTAGCTTAGCAGATAACTGGAAACGGACAATAATAAATAGCAGCACGCTTCACATAATGCTTCCGACAATTCTCTATGGGGAATTATTGTTTTGATAGTGGTGGTGCTAGCTAGTGCGATTCTCGTGCGCCATTCATTTTTATTTATATACTGTATTTTTTTTTATCACGAGCGTTGACCATATATATCACTAATAAATGGTTATTCCTGTAGTATTAATGCACAATCACATCAACTTGAAAGATATTTGGCAAATAATAATAATACATGTGACTGAAGTGATCACACTGAAGTTCCACAAATCCCATGCAATACTGGCTATGGTAATTCCCGGAAAACGGTAAGCCCAATTTGCTGCTTTTACCCGTCTCAGTGAAAGTGAAATACATAAGAACTAAAGGCTGGAAAGTTTGTTTTCTTTTTTGTTTTTTTAACCTTCTGCAACTTTACTGATAATGACAGAAGCATAGTTAGAGATGGTTGATTCTGGTGATTGCCGAAGCCGCTTTATCACCCCGAAAAGCTCAGATGACCGAAGATATTGTCGACAGGGAGGGTGAGCGCACATCTTTGCCAATGAGAACAAGGCAATCTTCAATGGAGACTCGGTGATAGCATCTCTCCTTGTAGGGTTCAGAGCTACCATGGAACAATCGGAAACTAACTGTAATAATGCCTGTATCATACAGATATTCAGAAAATCAACCTTGAAAACTTAATGCCATTTTGAAAGAAACTGTAGAAATCACTAATGACAAGTGAGTCTATATCCTATCTGTGGGATAGGCTACATAGAGCATACGTTGCCAATTTTGCTCTCTCAAGCATCTTAACCCTTTGGATGACTTCTCTTGTATGATGAAAAATGCTAAGCATAATGCCAATGAATCTAAGTAATGTTTACCTGCACTGCTCCTTTGGAAACTATGTCTTCACATAGCTTATCAGAGTTGCGAACTAGATTGCTCAATGCGCCTGCAGCGTTTGCTTTTGTTTTGTCTTCCTCAGTTGAAACCAGTAGTTTCGACAGCTGAGGAATGGACTTCCTCAACTCTTCATATAAAAGGTCATTATGATAGGCTGCATTGCCAATCTGGAGTTGGGATTTTCATCAATTTTTCTGCTCAACCAAAGGAAACAAGAAACAATACTGTATATAGCATGCTTGCAAGTAGACTTACAGCAAAACAGGCAAACTTCCGTGTTCTCCTATCAGAATCTGCACACCGATCAATTAGAAGACTCACTATGTGATGCTCTGCCTACAAAAAATCGTTTCAGATCACTTGCATCAGTACCTTCAAAGAATTAGTACCTCAAAAGCCCAAACTGGATTTATTGATTAAGAAAAAAACTTGACCCAGAAAAAGAAAAGGAGGTACTGAAAAATAATGCAGACATTGCTTACCAATAGGCTGTAAAAGTAAGAGCTATGTCGACAAAGATTTCCCAAGACACTACAAGTCTTTGACCGCACATTAGGATCTTCATCCATCAGGAAGGCCTTCAAGAACCCTAAGATATCAGCTCCCTCGATGTGCTTATAAAAAGCCTGTAGTAAAGAAGTGGATTAGAGCTACCAATGTACTTCACTAACATTCTCTTCTTATGCAACACTGGAGAGAAATATATTAGAAATATAAACATTACACAAAGCAAACAGTTCCATGAAAATTGCCTCCAGTTTCTGCTGGTGGAGCAAGGGCTTTTGAACTCCAGACTAGTACTCAGAAACATTAAAGTAAACGAAACTAGATCCTTTTAAATGGAATTTTTGGTGAACTTATCATGTGCCGGATGCAGTATTAAATACAGAGCAATATGTCCAACCAACAAGCAAACATGCGATTTTCTTTGCTTGGTCCTTTTTGTTTCCGTGTAACCTTCACAATTTGAAGTGTAGGTATTTTTTTCATAATCAGAGTTAAACAAAATAGAAAGCATTTATTGTCAGATTTTTTTATTCTAAAGTTTACTTCTGAACCAAGGACAGTTGACATACTACGATGATGCAACAATAGACTGCAGCAGAAACTTATGATCAAACCACACATCAGAAGTTAAAAGTATTCACAACCAGAAAGTGAAAAGACACGACTTTAATAACCTTATCCATCCGAGCTAGATCTGATATAATCATGAGAACATCCAGAGTTACTTCTCGGGGACAAGAACTACCAAGTAGCTTTTTCATTCTTCCCGGATGTAGCAAGCTTGCATCAAGAAGCTGCACTGCAAGAGGTCGATGGCTAGTCATCTTAGCTAGAAATGCAACAGGCTTCGCCACATCTTTCAGATCCATGTACTCTAAACATTGCAAAATCATCCTTGGAACTGCCGTCTGTGATTGGGGAACAAAGAAAAAGGAACATAACTTTCGAAAGTAATTCAACGTAGCTTATACACAATCAACAACAGAAGTTTTTGTTAACTTGGTCATGTGCCACATAGGATTCAAAACAAGCTAAATCATCCTGTAACAGACATAGAAAAAAATGCATGAAATTCTGACCTCTAGGAGGAGTTGAATGTATTTTCCCAAATTTGACTCTATAGTTTTAACCATGTCCTTGTCTTCGGCACAAACTTTCCCACCCGGTGAACCAACATTAAGAAGGAATCCACTGTTAACAGAAGCAGTAGCAGCCGGTAAACCAGGCGCATTCTGAACAGCGACTAGAGGAAAAGCCAAAAGGTCAACTACCGCATTTATTAAATCTCGCAACCCATCCTTACCTCCGCCAGGCCCATTCCAGGACCAAACAAGCCTAAGGTGTGCATCACAGATTAAATCAGAAACAGACTTAATGTATTCCTTCCTCAATAAAATTTGACGGAAGACCGAAATGCCACCAGAAAGACACTGACATACTAAGGAAAGTGTCCAAACAATTCCAACAGGAGAAAGACCAATTTGACCCTCTGAATGGTTCTGTTCTTCATGATTGTTCAACAACAAATCCATTAGAAGTTGGGGGATACCAGTTGCACAAAGTTGTTGCACTGCTAGTGGTCCTCCCCACTTCAATCTGGACTCCAACAAACCAACGCACCCATCTCGAATACCATGCCAAAAGGAGAGCATCCCACTAGACAAACTATGTTTTGCTGCATTGTCTTCACCTGACAAGACGACCTTGATTTGATCACAGAGGGTAGAAGTTCGTGGAATTAAAGGCACAGCTATCTCAGCAACTGTTGTGTCACCTGGAAGAACTCCAGTTTCAAGACTTAAAATGGATGCAAATGCAAGCATTGCGGACAAACGTGAAGGCCGAAACAATGATGATTGCATCCTTTCATCAGAAGTGAAATGGTGGGCTAGAAGTGAAAGCCGCGATAATTGCTTTTTTGAAGAGGATGTAAGCATGAATAGTGCAGAATTTCGTCCAGATAACTTCAAACTTTGTGCCACTGCAGCAATGAGAAGGCAACCATGTTGAACCAAGATGCCAGGATCGGTTAGTTTGGCTGCTTCTCCATGTGTTTCTTTTGATGAGGAAGTGCATAAAGATAATATGGAAAAGATTTGTGAAGCTATGGTACCATCCCCTCCTCCACTAACAACAGTAGTAGCAGGAAGAGAACTAGGGAGTCCACAGAGAATATTAGCAACACTCCCACAATTGAGGCAACACCTCAAGATCAGCTGAAATAGAAGTGAAGTCTATGAGTAAGAGAGAAGAGTCAATATTTGTCACGCCTTAGGAAATAAAAAAAAAAGGCAATGAGATACTAGTACCTGACAATAACAAGCGAGAATTCTATGCAATCTTAAGGAAACTCCATTTTCAGGGATAAGCAACAAAACAGGTAAAGAAGCTATTCAAATTTCTACTCTAAAAAAAAAAAGAAAATGCCTTTAACATACTCTTTCACAATTTGGTCGATACTCTTTCACAATTTCTCTCCCTTAAATGTAATCATTCCCGTAAAAGGATTCCCTCTAAAAATGATCTCCACGGGTTTATTCCAGAAATAGAAGGACAAGAAGATAATAAATTGAGATCTAAAAAGGTGTCATAATAATAACCTGTAACGCAGCACCAAGAGTAGCCTCAAAACGTTGATGAAGACAATAATAAACGGCTATCTGAATTGGTTTGGACTTTATGAAGGCTTTTGTCACTGACTCAGTGGTGTTTGCTAGATCCTTTGCAAGCAATGATAAACCTTGGTCACAGTTGTCTTGAATGTTGGGTTGACATAAAGAGTGACTCCGCAATGCAGCCAGAGGAGAAACACGGGCATTATCTTTGTAGTAGAGCAATTCCAAAGCAGTCACTAATGACCAAAGAGCCCTACAAGCTTCACAAGCGGCTCGCAACAAATTTGAAGAGCCCGACATGAGACTCGAGCCTGACATAGCCAAGCACAAACACAAGACTTCAGTCAATTCAGATTCCTTAGCATGGTCTAAAACTTGCATAACGCTCCGGTATGGCATTCCCGTAGTATCTGAAGCTGCTGGCAACGCTTTGAGAGCCTGTGCCACAATGGATAACATGACCGTGATGCAAGCAGTTGCTTCATACAAAATTCTTCCAGATACTTCTTCTGGGCAACTGACAACCTGCGATCAAATGATTTAATTAGAGAGGGGAAAAAAACAAAACCCGCACTGCAAGCAAACACAAACGTTACTGCCAGTCAATCAATATTTTCTTTGAGACGAACTACCTGCGAGTATAGTTCAAGTAATGTTTTCCAATGTCTGAAGAATGAGCTTCCGTTATTGCCTTCATAGGCGTCTAACAATTTCCTAGTAACGGCAAAGCTCTGCATAAGTTTACACATTGTATGAGAAACAATATAAACATAACTTTGTTCAAATCATTTTATGGGAGAACCACCAAGAAAATCATTCAGTATTTATTTTCTTAAGATAGTTATTCAATTCAAAAATTTTCGAATGCATAAATGTGCACAAGAGACAATGAGCAAGCACATACAGAAGCTTTTGATTTGTACCTTGGCCATCAAATCATTACCATGAGCTGACTTTAGTTTTACCATGAAAATGTTAAATCCAAGAAGCTGAGACAATACTTCATCAATGATAGAATTAGAATGAAGCACCCCAGCAGCTGCTATGTTTGAAAGAATTCTGAGTGACTGATTCAATTTAACAATGTCCTGATCCCTGCAGAAGAGAACACATGGCAGAAAAGCCTACTAATCATTATTCAGATATTTCAGAACATAAGATATAGATAAGATATTATAGTCACTAGTCACTGCTACTTGCTTTATTTTCACAAGTTAGCGCATTTCCTGCTTCTACACTGACAGGTAAGGTTATATCCAAGAATCTACGACAACATAAATTGTAAGCCCCCAAACATGTCGAAGTCCCATGACTTTACAGGAAGAAGTCTTTAACCCTCTATGGGGTCCGGTCCATGATTTTCAGGTTTGACATCCCATGAAGGGCAAAAAGATTTATTTTTTAATTTATTTATTTATTTATTTACAGAACCATACATCAAAATTTAATTAAAATTATTATATCAGTTAACTGACAATCGATGAGAAGAACCCCAATTGTTTCAGTAAAAACAATGACATGTTTAGTTCCAAATTTATTTCTTGAATCAAGTATGTTGCTTTGACTACCTGGTTGTGCTCTGTGGTTTACTGCACCATGTTTTCAATGGTAGCAAGGTAACAGATAATAACTCATTGTCCTGAACAATTATCTGAGCCCCTTTAACTGTACGGGAGTTGTTCTCAAGTCGGTTCAACACCTCACAACCTGAAAAGCATATTCAGCTTGAGTTGTTCACCAGAAAACACAAAAAGAGCTTGCAGTTTCGTAACAACCAGAAAATATGGCAATCACAGAAAATTAAATCACAAAGAAGAATGGTAGAGCTTGTAAAATGATATTTTTGTTTTGCTTTACCAAGGGGCTAATTTAGAAGAGAGAAAGGGTATAATAGATCACAGCTCCAATCCATCTCAGCATCTACTGGAAGATTTTTCTTACATTCTCACAAGGTAAGGAAGACGATAAAGGGTGACGTTATATTGCCAAAGCAAAAATTAACATCCGCAATCAACCTACCCGTTTCAATTAATGGTTATTCATCAATTATATAAAATTGGCAAAAGTTGGCTCTGAAGTTATCAATTAAACTGAGATTTACCTGACTGCAGAACATCAGCAGGACCTGAAAAACCTGGGAAATCATCTTTTGTCACATCATTTCTGGGGGCTGAGTTGGGATTTGCCAGATGACCATCAGGATAAAGGTGATGATCATATACGTTTTCTCGATTAACCACAGAGTGCAGTTTGCCTGTCAAGAAAAGGTTAGAACAATTTCACAAAAAGCATTGGTCCGCGATGTAAATAATAATGGACTTACTCTCAGGAGTAGCAACATTTAATCCATCAGATGCAATCTTGCAATTGGTCTTTAGAGCAATGTCAAGTCCCTTTGCAGGAGAAGCAGCCTCATGTTTCACCTGTCAATAATGATGAAGCATAATGTTTATTTTGCAATCAGAACAACAGTAAAAACTTAAATAAATTGCCAAACTATGAACCTGGGTAACCACATGAGCATCCATATCCTCAATGTTTCCTTGAATGAATGGATGCTCAAGAAGAGCAGGCCACGTCAATCTACTCTGCGGAACCTGGTGGCATGATTTTGATGACAATGTTAGCTAGTGACGTTACAGGAGAAACACCTTCAAGGAAAAAAAAAAATTTATTGAATACAACCTTATTCAGCAGACCCTTCAAGAAGCTTTTGAAATTCAAACTCATATTGTCTGGATATTTAACTGGATCCTGGAAAGATCATTTGCAGACTTGATAACTGATATTTATTTCTTAGAGCCTGTATTGCAAATATGAGCAGCTCACTCACCTTAACAATGTGACGGATGAGAGCATATACTGAGTTGGTGTAGAAAGGTGGTTGTCCAACAAACAACTCGTATCTGAGCAAATAAATCCAAAATATCAGAAAATCAAGAGTCCATCCCACGAGAGATTATTGCAGTATGATGTGCAGTTTTCTTTCTAAACCTGACAGGTTCCGTTAATTATTTCCTTTGAATGGCTTTCAGACAGTCTAAATGTTTTAATCTGCCGCTAAACGAAGTGCATAAGAAAAAATACACCTTCTTGTAAATGCAATATTCATGATCTGTTGAACTTACATCTAAAGCAAAAGAACTCATCTCAGGACCACAGGCCCATAACCAAAATCAAGCCCTAGATCGACAGGGTAGTTTTCAATTTGCAGACCAAATGTGAGGATTAACTATACAAAGTTAGTATAATAATTAAAATTTGAAAACCATAATTCGTTATTATGAAGAAATACGATCTAAAGAAACTAATCCATAAGTGAAGCTCAAACATCCTAACAAACAAATGCTATAAATCTGATACATCAGAATACTTCTTGCGATGATTTACAGGTGCAAAGTGGATGTCAGATGGAAGAATCAATAACAATTAATTTCATCATCTAAACGATATTGTCTTAGAATTTGAACGTACAAAATGACTCCAAGGGACCATAGATCAGCAGTATGGTTGTAGGGCTGTTCTCGAACCAATTCTGGTGCCATGTACAGCGGAGTACCTGATACAAAACAAAAGCATAAGTCATGACGAAGCCTATTAACCATAACAACCCCATCATTTTCATAACACCCATTCACTAGGTTGAAACCAACAAAACTCACCTTTTATGGACCGCAAAACAACTGTGTTTGCAGACATTGAGCGAGCAAAACCAAAGTCACAAAGCTTCAAAGAGCCAGAGTGAAAGTGAACTAGTCAGGAACGGCTGGTTGCAAATGGCTCAATATTGCAATTGAGTGGGAAAGAAGGGGGGGGGGGTGTGGTTGGGGTGGAAGGAAAAAAAAAAGGAAAAGGAAAAACACCAATAGGAAGGATAACAGTTGATAAGGTCACTGTTTAGATGAATAAAAGTGCCATGGCTTCACCAACCTTAACAACACATCCAGCACCGATGAGGATATTTTGTGGCTTCATATCACGATGGATGATACGATTTGAATGTAAATAATACAAAGCTCTAACCTGGAATTTTATCATCAGTTTAATCACAGCAGGATTAGTGGAAGAAGGATAGAGGAAACCATTTCCAAAATCTCTAAACAATGAGAGGTAAACAAATGAAATCCAGCCCCTCATCAATGGAAACTCAGTACCAATTGTTTTGCGATGGCCTGAACTTCTTCTTCGGGCAGGCACTTATCATCTTCAAGAATTTCAAACAGCTCGCCCTGAAAACATGAGGGGGAAGGGAAGAGGGGGTGGGGGGGAGGAGAGGGTTAACTAATCATGGCACAAAGCGTATTCCGTATGAATTTACAAAGGAATGAGGACAGGGAAAGAAGAATAATGATAAAGGAGGTAACAGAGAACCTGAGCGAATTCCGTGACAACACAAAACTCTTGTGGGCTCTCAAAAGAATCAAGCATTTCTATTATATTCTCATGCTTCAGTTTTCTTAAGATCTGCAAGATTTATAAACTTACAGATAAGGGTTCTTCTGGCATCAAACGGAAGTAAAATCCAAAACTAATATTATCGCAATTATAGTCAGAAAACCAAACACAGACTAGAAAATCAATATAAACCTGAAGAAGAAAAAAACTTAAACTTTACACTTTTATAAGCAACCTGAAAGCAGTTGGGAAGAATATATAAATTTATCAAATTTATTCCATAGAGATGTACACGCATGAAGGGAGATGACGCTAAAAAGCATTATTAGATTTCAGCTTTTCAACGACAGCAATAAAAAAAAAGTGTGCATTGCAGTTCTATTTCCTACTTGGAACACTAATATTTCATAGAAAACACAAATTTTCCTCCAATGTCATGCTCAGTTCCTGACTTGGGTTGACGATCCTTTCTGTGTATATCACTTATATTACTGACAAAGTTGAAACTTCTTCTTTTTATTTTTGCATTTGGGTGGTTGGCTTTTCAGTTCTTTTTCTCTAAGTATTTCCTCTACAGATTTTTAAAACTGAGGCTCTTTACATCTCTTAACTGAAATTACGATGAACTAAAGATCATTTTCAGTTAGACATGGCAATGTATGTTCAGTTCAGTTTAATTTAATATTAACAAAAGAGTGAGTATTTCAAAATGGAACTTAAACCTTTGGGAGGAAAATTGAAGCTAGGGCAAAAGAGAAGAGGGGAAACAACATCAGAGCATGCCTAACATCCGTAATCAAAGAATTTACAACCCTAAACTTAACATAAACAACAACAAGAAGCCGTTTCCCACTACGTGGAGTTGGCTACATGGATCATATGTTGCCATCGTGCATTCTTTGAGACCTACATTTTTTTTCCCTACAAAAATTAGAGTGATAAAGAAAAGGAACCAAATAAACTGACCTCGATCTCTTGCCGTAAATTGTGGATGTCCTTGTCACTTTTACCATGTTTGGGAATGAATTTCATAGCCACAGTCTGTGAATGGAATATGGTAGACGTAATAGATGAAAAAAGATCAAAGAACTAAGCAAGAAGAAAATGAGGTTTTTAAGAGTAACAATTTGTGGTCTAACCTTTCCCGTAAACTTGCGTCTTCCTTTGTAAACCTTCCCGAAGGAACCTTCACCAACGAGCTCAATCACATGATAATTTTCAATTCCCATCTCACTACCAGTCAATCCAATTCCAATCCTCCTCCTTCTCCCCGAAAGATTCCAAGTAATAATAATATTAGGGCAAAGGAACTGCAGGGAAAAAAAAAGAAAAAAAAAATAACCAATCAAACCATGAAAACTTGGAATCGAACCAATTCTTTAGGATAATTCAGTAGATACTTTGAAATGGAAACGGGAACAAAGTAGGGAAGAAGCAATAATAAAACCTACCAGTGCTGTATTATTCTACTTCCCCAGGGCTCCGAAAATAGTTCAACTTCATGCGACGATTTGAGGCTGTCGACTGCGAACTGGTTACGACGAATTAACGACTGTAAAATATAGGAAGCTCAATCAAGTTCCAATTTCTTTGACGGATTTGGGTGCGAACGGGAAAATGTTTGAAAATGTGCAGGCTTTTTTTGAATCTAGAGAGAGAGAGAGAGTAGAAAGGAAGAATATTTTGAACTTTTATTGAACGGAAGCTTTTCCCGCCCGTGGTTGTGGCTCGGTGTGGGTCAGTACCGTTTGCCCCGACCCGATCGATAAGTTCGATTTGCTTTGGGTTAATTGCACAAACATTCCCTAAGGTTTGGGAAAGCTATAAATTGCCCCAAAACTTCGGGAAAGCTTCTTTTATGTCCACTGAGGCATTTATTGCCCTACTAAAAGTCACTACTGTTATTATCTTCAAAACACTTGATTACTTCCACCTTCCCAAAATTATTGTAAAATTTAAGTTTTCGATTTTAATTCTTTTTGTACTATAAATGAAAATCTAAATTGAATCATAATTTCAGGACGAACGAAGTATATTCTAAGCTTCTGACTTCCCTACCGATTTAGCTATGCCGATTTAGCCCATGTTATCAGTGTTTACAGTACCAAAACCAAATATCCAATAATAAAGTTGCAAGAGTCATTTTTCATAGATAGATATGTACTAAGAGTATTTAGTACCATCAAGAAGCCCAAACTACCAACACATATACAATTGAGAGATCACAAAACACCAAAATATGAACAACACACATCCCACCATCCACCTCAATCTCCACACTTCCGGGTTGGCTCCCTCAATTGTGAACTCTTCTTACATGAGTATCAGATATATTCACATCTAACTGTGCAACTGTTTCTTTTTCTCCACCCCACTCTAATATGTTCAATCACTCGAACAAATCATCTCTATTTACATTGATATCTCTATCTACATTCTGACCTCAACCACATCACCATCTTTTAGCTCAGTGCTGGGAACCACGAGTTGACCATTTACCGAGACCAGCTTCCCCTCTAGTCCAGCTCTTCTAGCAGCATCAGCAGCTGTGCTACCGGTGCTCAGCCTCATCACCTCGCCATGTGGCCAGCATATAATCACTACCTCACCAAAAGAGACAGTGGACTTGGAACTTGTCATCCCAGATAGTCTTGAATCCTCGTTTACTTTATTAAGCTGCAGCCCTGCTTCAGAGCGAAGCTGCTCTTCCCATTGAAGCATTGTTCTAAGTAAAAGCACCTGTACAACAGATACAGAAAAGAAGAAAATAATAAATGATGCCAGTTCCTTGTCTCCTTATGCTGTAACAGGAGGATCATAATACCCAAAATAGAGTATATTGCACGTATTTTAATCCAGGTATTAGGTTTCAAACAGCAGACTCTTCTGTCTCGTGTTTCTCAACTGTGGTATAAGCTCTAATCGAACTAGTCCCGCCATGATAAATGATGTTTGCTCTTGAATAGGCTGAATTTTTCAGACTACACAAAGCCAAGGTCATTCGCTGGGCTTCTTAAATTCCACTGATTACAGAAGTAATTACCAATTAAGGAACCAGCAGAACCTGGCAACATTTTATTAGGTCATCATTTTTTAAACTTTGTCAAATTTTAATTGTGATTAAAGTACCCAAAAAAGGGGTGACTACAAGGCTTTGATTTCGAAACTAAGGTTTCAGGACAAGGTCCTTCTTTCGAAATGTTTCCAGTTGTCCCATAGGAATCTGGATTGGAATGCCCTTTTATATGAGGATCTATCAACTTTACCCTTAACCCCTGATAGAGCTTGGTACAGTTTCTTGATTAAATAAATCTCATTTAGTTGAAATTTCCTCTTATTCTGAGTAACTGTGATCTAGAATGCTAATGCTAAAAGCATTCATTGAAATTCCAACCAACAATACATATAAAAGCTCTCACATTAAGCAGATAAAATGGACGAAAACACCACAAACCTTGTTGTTGATACCAGAGCTCATCAAACTTGACCTGTGCGAACTAAAGCTTTGTGTATCGGGACACTCGCAAGCCGATACAACAGAGGCAGTTGATTTTCCCTCAAAAACCGCAGATACAACGGCCCAGTATTCACTTTCCTCTCGTTCAGTAAGCTCAATGATTTGGATGAAGGTTGGAAGGATACGACGAAACTGATCTTGCTGCATATCATGATGAAAAACACACTCTTAAATTAAGCAACCCAAATGACTATTTGTGCAGAATCACATCAAAAAGAGTAAACTTTCACTAACTACTGAAATTGGCTTATAAGCCCAACATAAAACTTAATGAGAAGCCCAAAACTGTAATCACATAATCATCCTCTGCTTCTTTTCATGAAGAGAAGTAAATTTCTTTCCTCATCTCAACTCAATCATAAAAATAACCAGGCAAAGTCCATGTACATTTGTGATGCGGAGATTTGTTACGCCATCCACCAAATTAGAACTTTAAAAGGAAACAATCCACCACAAAAACCCACCCAAGTTTGGAGGGAAAAGGAAACTTGAGCTTGCATACCTTATGGTAAATCCCATCTCGACAAAGTGTGTACTTCTCAAGACAAGTACACCAATCCCCATGCCCTGGTTCAAACCACCACTCATCAGAGACCTGGAACCATTTGTTTCAACGGAATAAGGAAATAAGTACTAATAAACAACACTAAAATAAGAATAATCCCAGCAAGATTGAGATTTCAGCTGTGGACACAGCAAAACTAACACACACCAAATCTACTGTGACCTCTCTTTCTTTATAGAATGGAATCCAATATCACAAGATGCATGAACTTTTTTATCAAGCTATTTACCTTTTTGTACAATCTTGCATACGCTTCCCACCGATTCACTTGGTTAGAAGATCTTCGGTCAGCCACTGCTTCAGAAGCTGGAAGGCCAAAGCTTACAGCAACAAGCAAATCTCTCCCGTCCTCATCGACCCTGGAATGCAACATTAACTAAAACAGCTTAAGAAGGAAACATAAAAAGAAGAGACTTAATGTTTGAGGACAAATGAACTACCTAGCGATAACTGCAGCAAGCAAATGACCCGCTTCAACTCTAAGAACTGGATGGCCGGGTTTCAAAGCGCGATACTTCTGGTACAAGTCATCATCAAATGAAGTATGATCTTCCATTTCCTTGAAGAGGTATGAGGAAGCAATTTCTTCAGGATTTTCCATTTCGTTCTCCAAAGGTAACTTATTATTTTCAGTTTCTTTGTAAAGCCAATGAGCAGCAAGTCCATGTTCAGCATATTCATGCATCCTCTATAACAAAAACAACCGACTGGTGAATCAATCAAAACCCTCACAACACTAGCTTCATTGAGAAAAGAACCTGAATGAGAATCCCATTCATACCTGTGTCCTAATTTGGACTTCCAAAGGCGAGTTGTCGGGACCCAGAACTGCAGTGTGCAAAGACTAGAATGAGGCAGATAAATTAGTGTCAAGAATCCGCCAATAAGTGGATATGAAACTTGCATCCAACGATGAAACAAATGGAGTAATGATATAGTGCATTTAGTCCATAAAATGGGTCAAGGACTAATGTGTCCATTCATTGATGCCATATCAATCACATAATCGCTTCAATGAATTGATTGATTGCCTGTATAACTACTTAAAACAAAATAATGTTAAACATGAAAATACACATGACAAGGAAAGCACCTGGTAGCCACTTGGTTTTGGATTGACAATGTAATCGTCCAACTCACCATCAATGGGGGTCCAGTATCTTGATAGATAGAAAGCACAGATTAGTGCATTTTTCATTTAAGAAAACCTCACTCTCCCCACACACAAGGAGCAAAATCAATTGGTGTTCATTCACCTGTGGACAATATTGAGAAGATTGTAGCAACATTGAACAGCTTGCCCATGCAAAGTCCCATTCTTATCTCCAACAATCACTCTCAAAGCACGAGCATCATACACCTTAGTTATATTTACATCTTTTCTGTTCATCTATAACAAGTACAACAAGATATCACAGCTTCAGTGGGAAAAAAAAATGCAAAAATAATTAATATATTCAGAGAAATCGGATGTTCACTCAAATGCAGTATAACATAACGCCTACCGAATAAGTTTATAAGCTTACATATTCAACTTTCCCATATAAATTAATCAAAAATGAAAAATGAAAACCAGAAAACTATCTTATCATCGATACAGCCATTAATTAACACTTTCAAAGCACATCATGTCTTGCACCATTGTTGAGTTCAAATTTTATGCAGCAACCTATTCTTCCGAACCCCTTGTAAATTTCAGTTTTTCTTGAGATAAAAAAAAAATGATATCAAATGCACACCTTGCTGTAAATGCTATACAAGCTTTTCAGGCGACTGGACAAAGTCACTTCCATTCCAGGAACATAGCTGCATGATACCGGAAGCAAAAAGAAGGTCAAATTCAATTTTACAACCCTTACAAAATGGCATGATTCTTGCTGCTCACTATTAATTTGATGGTTAAATAAACATACGAGGTTGAAATGAATAACTCCCTCTCAAGAGCTTCCTCACAGAGCACCATGGATGCCAAAGCAATCCCAGCATCTCTGACAACCTTTGGTTTTCTTGATTGTCCTTCAGAATATTCCCCGAGATGGTTCAAAAAGTCAATACGTTTTTTCTTGTCCAGTAAGAGGTCAAAAGGGAGTACAGCCTCCAGAAGAATCTGCAGAATAAGACCATATCCACTAGTCAATTTCAGTATGTAGTAAGTTCCACATTGCAAAACCTGTGGTTAACAAGTGGAAGGCATAAAAAAAAATAACCCAAGCCTCATATGGATAGAGAACTGTAAAATATTAAAAATACAATTAGCCTACCAACAATCGTTCCTAGAGAATAATCACTCAGTTAACCAAGCCTTGTGGGTTCTGTGAGGAAAAAATAATAATAAATAAATAAACAAAAAACTGAAAATATCTACCTTCATGTTTACTTTTTCATCATCATCTTGAGTGTTGTGTTCACATTCCGAAATCAAGTTCTTCTCATTCTGTTTCTTAAAATAGCTAGATTTTGCAAAGAGTCTTCTCTGACTGGCAGGCCTGTTAACGGGGCTCCACATAGATGCCAGGTCAGCACGCATCCTACGAAAGATATGAGGCTGCACAAAGAACCAAGACAGTTATAAGTAATCATAACTAATATAGAGTTTTCTCAACCAACAACTATGTAACAGGTAAAACATGGACATACCTGCAGAACAGCAAAACAAAGATCTTCAAGTTCAGCTTTCAGTGCCCAGAGCCCAAGACGAGAAGCAAGCGAGCACCAAATTACCAATGTTTCCTGGGCCACAGCTTGCGATTTCGTTGAAGGCAAAGCATAACTGCACAGATGAATATACTCTAATTGGGTATTCATTATCAGCCAAGTAGGAATACCACAGAATGGGAAATCAGTGATAGATTAAAACACCAAGAAGAGTCGTCAAAATAGAAGAAACAGAAAAAAAAATTGCATGCCACATGTATATATAGCTAACGGGACCAAGAAAAAAAAGAGCTACAGATAAATGAACAGAAGTTACATGGTTCTCATGTTGTGAAGGCGATCAGCAAGCTTTATAAGCATCACACGTGGATCATCAACCATGCCCAACAGCATCACTCGAATATTATTAGCCTAAAAAGAGAATGATTGATCAGATTGCTACACAAAGCCAAGGGGAGTCACCTGACAACAAACATTAAATACCTCTTCATTAGTTAATGTAGACTGATTTACATTTAGCCTGCGATGCCTCCGCAATAACTGCAACAAAAAAAAGGAGTGCCATCAGCATTTGTTTACTAGCAACTTCATCCAAAGCACATGTGAAAAGAAAGGAAAGCTATGAAGGGTTAAGCTCAACAATCCATCTGTTATCCAACAAAAGTATCAAAATTCAAAACGCGATAGGTGTCAACCATTTAAATCTTGTGACGTTCAGAGGTGACAATGACCCAAATCACTTATCACAGTGAACCATGTAAGTTCTACCTGATTTATATAACTTAGTCTGGACACTCCAGCCACCAATCTTGCTACATCCACATCAAACTCGTTCTCAATGCTTTCCAAACTTTCACAAGTATCGTCAACGACATCATGCAGGATACCAGCAACAACAGTATCAATAGCCTAACAAACAGAAGCACACACGTGGAAAAAGAAAAAAGGGAAAAAAAAAAAAAAGAAGCAATCACAAAATTACAAACAGCAAGAGAGTAAACTTCAGGAAAATAAAGAAGTGCGCTGTCTAGTATAATAAACCAATAGACCCTACTACTAAAGAAAAGGTAATTTAAGTGGTCCCTTCAATGATCGAGGTGTAAATTTAACAATGGAGTGGCAAAATTGTGACACGACACAAAGTTAAGCAGAAATATAACATGTTTATAAATGGTCACAAACACCACCTGCAAATTTCCGAGGTTAGAAGAACACCTCCTTGGGACTCATAACCTATGTTCATCTTTCGGGGGAAAAGACATTGATGACCCAACAGAAACATATCCACCCCTCCACCCATAAACATGAAACACTACCCGATTGCCACTCCTAATTTATTCTCTTTGACAAATGGATGTGTATGCGTGAGTGTGTATGTAAATGTTTCTTGGAGAAAAATTCATAAGTTTAGCGATAAAATGCTACACAAGTAAATGCCAAGAAGGAAGACGGAATAAACACCTTCTTTCCAGTTGATGGAACCAGCACAGCTAAAATCTTTCCTGTGTGAATACAATGAGTGAGGTAACTGTCCCCAGTTCTCCGTAACTGGCCATGGTGAGCTCTTCTTGCAAATGTGATTGCCTTTTGCACCTGCCTTCAAAGATTAAAAATCTTAGTGTTGGAAAAAAAAAGCCAAATCAAGCATTCGCTAAGAGCGCAAGTAAGAGATGGTAAACCTTGGCATCATTAAATATCGGATACCCTGTGACATCTACACCATCGATTATGAGAGATCCTGCAGCAGCATCAGGAGAGGTCAAACAAAGTAAGGATGTTTTGAACTTAAGTGCATGTAAGCTTGTCCAGTTAAATTCATGCAATCCACAATCAGGGACCTCGGAGAGTAGTAATAGTAATTACGCCCATAAAAGAAGTTTCCCCTTTCCAGATGTCTTAAAATAGAGTTCCACTTGATCTGATAAACGGAATTGTCTATGAATACTCAAAAAAAAAATTTAACCTCTGCATGATCACTATGTAATACTAATATGAATTTTTTAAGTAATCGTAATTGTCCACACGGATGCAGTGCAAAATTTAATGTAGAAACAGGAAGAATTATCGGACACTTTACCAGACTGATCATCGAGTTTTGGCCACAAAAAATCGACCTTAGTTGAGAGACAAGCCCCAGAAGCAATGGCAACTGCAGTAACAGCGACCTGGGTGATGGCGGAGGCGACGGCAGCGTGAGCCGAGCCGGAAGAAGCGGCGGCGGCGGCGGCAATTGAGTTGACAGAGCCGAGGGAAGATGAAGAAGAAAGGGAGAGATTGGGAAGAAGCTGATCCAAAACGCAGCGGCAGCGGAAAATGGGAGGGTTGATTCTGGAATTGAGGAGAATAAAGGGGTTTCTACGTAAAATCATGGCGGCAGCGGCGGTGGTGGAGGTGGTGGTGGTGGCTGGACATGGATGCATTGCTTGCTTTCCTTTTTCAGTTTTCCTTCACTAACTGAAAATATCCATTATCTTTTTCCAGTGAAGAAAACTTGAGGCCACGTGTCTCTCTCTATCACTCTTGCTCATCGATCCGGGCCCCTTCATCTGCCTATTAAATGATTCATGCCGCTGAATCTGTTTGATCCAATAAGTTCTATCGGCCCAATTACAGCCCACTCATTCAAAGATTGTTTATGTTGACGAGCACCCAGTTCCGACATAGTAATTTTTTTTTCTAGCATGCATGTTGACCATCAACAATAGTGATTAATCTTTGTCATTGAATTGTAAATAACTTGACCAAAAGAGTAAAATAAACACTACTATCTCCGTCCAAGAAAACCACTCTAATTTAAAAACTTAAAAATTAGATGACTTTGATCTTGTAAATTCAAAAATTAATATAAAAAATTAAATAAAGTTTCATGACTACTTATTAATTTAATAATTAATTTTAAGTTAGACAATGAGGTACAGTCTAGTGGTAAGACGACTCTCTTGGAGGTCACAACAAAGGTAGTCATTATTATGAAATGTACATCTTGCAATATTCCTCACAATCTTATAGACAAAAACCGAATATATAAAATAATAAAAATTTGCTCTATCTACCATGTGATATTACAAATGATATATATGAGAAATTTTAGACTCTAGTTGCCCTTTTTTAACTTAATCGTCTCCTTAAAGTTCAAACAATTACAATTGGGGTTGTAATATATATTCATGGAATGAGAAACATTGTAACATATCTCAAAATATTTTTCAATAAAAAAAACATTTAAAAAAATAATAAGTGTCCAATCAAAACATAAGATGTTATTTACAATGATAGGCCGAGAAAACAAATCTATTTATAATCCTTATTTATTTATTAATGGGATAATTTACGTAGTCGAAAATAATCAAAATAAATAGATAAATTTAATCATAAGCTTGTCCCCTTGAACCATGTCATCGGAAAAACTTCATCCACTCTGACTCTCCATTACTAATAAAATTGCCCACTACCACCGAAGACTTGATTTTGTCAAATCTTTGTTTTTCTCAATCCTTTTTTTTTTTTTTTTTGGAGAATTGGGCTTTTCATCCCAAGGTTTGAGCCACACCATCTAAAACATCCCAAAGTTTAAAAGCATGTCATTTTCATCCCAAACTTTTCAAAAATATGTAATATTAGGACATTTGTTAATTTTTTCAAGTTATTAACGGTGATATTTCATTCAGTTCTTTTCCCCCATTTTTTTTAGTTAAAAAAGTTTCATGCTTGCGTTTGGTAAATTTGGTCCATACCAAGCAAAAACGTTGCATGTCCCTGCATCAATTATAACACCAATTTTTATAATGATGCTACATATTTAAAAAAATAAATGAAATAAGGCTTACTCTCTAATTAGGACACACACAAAACCTCTCATGATTGTTATCAATCTAGAAGATGAATCTTGGATTTTTTTTTCTTTTTCTAAGCAAGGGAAGAATGGATGATATGAAGACCAAATTAGGTTTAACTATTTTCTTATAAGGTGGGAGTTAGTGGAACGTGTTAAATGATTAAAAGAATTGAGGGAGGAGAAACAGAATAAAATACCACCACTAATTAATTAACTGGAGTTAAAAATTTAACGAATATCCTAATGTAACATGTTTTTAAAAAGTTTGGGATGTAAATGACATGTTCTTAAACTTTTGGATGTTTTGGATGGTGTGGCCCAAACTTTGGGATGAAAAGACTCATTTTCCCTTTTTTAAAATCTCTTTGATGCGGATAAAATCCCTGTTGAGAAGTTGGGGTGTTTTTGATAAAAACTCTTTAATTTTTAGTGATTTTAAATTTTTTAAAATATTTTTATTATTTTATTATTATTTTCTTTATACAATTCTTACAAGCATTTAAGCTATTACATGTCTGAGTCTGGGAGAGGGAGACCTAGTCTAGTGGGGGACGACACCATGCCTACAGCGCCATCTGGTACTTGAAAAGTTTCTAACTGAAACTTGCAAAAAAGGACAGCATTTTCCTGTCGTAGGGATTCGAACCAAGGATCTTCGGGTTGGATGCCTAACCCTTTAATATAATGATATATAATTTTCCTTTTATATGTTGTGTTTCAAAAATACCCTAGTTTGAGTGGGGTCAACCTTCATTATGACAAAATTCAGAACGGAAAAGTAAAAGTGAACGAAAATTATTTCAAAATGAGATGTAAAGATTCAGTATAGATACATGATGCAATCGACTAAAACAAAATACCAAAATATATGTAACCATTTATACAATTTGAAGTAAGGAAAACCCACATGATGTATAGTTCGTACGTTTACACATCAAAATACGTCTTTTATCTCAAAGTAAATAGTCAACATTGACTTTTAAAATATTTCACAGAGGAAGTGTATTTTCTTTACATAAAAATAAAAAAAGAGTACAATGCTCCTAACATTTCCCTGCCCCGACCTTCTTGGAGATTACATCCGGCACCCGCAAAATACGATTTCGTTTGGTTTCAGTTCAGAGCCAAAAGTTCTGGCTTCGAAATTTCATTTGACGGGAACAGGAAATGGCTCGAAGCAACAATTAATAATCAAGTATGAATATGATCAACACATCAGTTTGGTGTCCACAATCCAGTATGTAATCGGTGAGTAATAATTTACATAAACTCGGATAATTCGACCTCTCCCTCCGGCTATACTAATTATAAGACGCAAACTTCCATTAGCAGCTAATTTGAGAACAGGGAATAAGTTATTCATATGAGTTTGTTTATGTCTCCATCGTGTTCATTGTGGCGACTGGCGAGATATACATATATATATATATATATATATATATCTACCATAAATAACCAGAACTTAGAAGACACAACAAAATAATGAGCAAAGATGGACCGGACTGGCAGTCAATCATCATTCATACTCAGCTTCACTCATACCTTACAAAATTACAATGAAAGAAATATACAAATTGCAGTAGAAAGTTTAACAAGGATGGGACTGATTCACCCTCCCCTAGTATTAGCCCACCATTTTAATTCTTCTCAACCCCCAACCCCACGGAAGTAGTAAGTGCCACCACCCAAATCCTTGTTCCAACAAGATGGCCTTCCCTCTCTCCCCCAATAAGCTCATCCCAGCAACACCCACCACCAACATTGCCTAAAACAACAAAGATACCAATCCTATCAGCTTCGGAGAGTTATAAATCAATGTCCCAATATGAAGATAAGTATTCTGATTTTTGGAGTTAAGTACTGCAACCTCTACCGAGGTCGAGGAAGCCACGTTCGCTCCCTCAACATTTTGTGAAACTAATAATCAACCCCATCAAAAAGCGTGATCAACAGTGAGAAGAAGAAAAACGAATGAAAAATCCACAGCAAATTTTCCAACGGAAAGGAAAATAAAAGGCCCAAAAGTTTAAGAAGACAAGACAGTCGGCTATTATGTTTTATTTAAGTTATACTCCTTTTCTTTTTAATTGAACATGTAGCCACATCCAGACCACAGGAGAGGTCTCCATAAGTAACCCTCATCCTTTGTTTGTGTTTTCCTTTTTTCTAGGGTACCACTTCACACATTTGTCCAAATACAACTCACTCTTTCTTTCTTGGTTGTGGCTTATGGCGAACCAAATCATGTAAATCACTAACAATAAGCTGAAATCAATCCAGACTACATATCAGGTCATCTGATGATTTTAACCACACCCCTCCCCAACCCCCCCCCCCCCCCCCACCCAAAAACAAACCAAAAAAAAAAAAGGAGAAGAAAGGTTTTGACCTGGATAGATCAGAAAGATGACGGGCCAACCGAGGAGAATCCAGCGACCTTATGTTCCTTCAGGGTGCTGGCCAACCAATCCAAGCCCTCATACAGACCATCACCTTTAAGTGCACAAGTTCCCTGTATATGCCATTTTCTGTTCTTAAGATCATACAGACCAAGGCCTTCACAAACTTCCATCGGCGACATTGCCCCTTTCTGAAGAAATACAGAAAACCCAAAGAAAACAGAGTGTTAAGTACTCAGAACCCCTGTGATCCAAAAAGTTCCATGGGATCCATCAGTTCACCATTTTAAAATAGTTTTTCATATTCCCTTACATCAAAAAAGAAAGGAAAAAAAAAACATCGGAAAAATAAAATTGAACTAACCTAGTCATCAAATGCTTATAACGATAAAACTTCCATAATTACTTAATTGTATTTTTGAATGATTACTGGTAGTAGAACATACCATATCCTGTTTATTTGCAAATACCAAGATGACTGCATTTAGCATAAATGGATCTCTGATGATGGCCTGAAAACAAAAATGGCCAATGAGTGACTATTTGCCAAAAGGAACACATCTCTGCGACAAGAGTTAAAGAACAGCTAGAAATATAACCTGGAATTCTGCTTTTGCCTTTCCAATTCTCTCTCTATCCAGGGAATCAACAACATATATCTGGCAGAACAGAATTCATTAAGAAAGCGCAGATTGAGCATGAAGTGAAATTACGAAAACAAAAGGGGGAAAAAACTTAAAAGTTCAAAACGTAGCATAGAGGATTTCTAACAGTTTAACAAGATGGATATTGTTACCAGTCCATCTGTATTGTTAAAATAATGCCTCCATAATGGTCTCAGTTTCTCCTGTCCACCTACATCCCAGACTGTAAAAATCACATTCTTATACTGAACCTTCTCCACATTGAAACCTGGAATGGAGAGAAATATAATCATTGTGAAGGCTCTAATTTGAAGCAAGTAATCAGCAGATGCATGCATAGTTAGAGCCAAGATCATAGCGATATAAACAAACTTTCCAGTGCAAAAAAATGAAGAAACGTAGCAATGAGAGTTGACGATGCTAAGAAAAATTATTAAAGAATCTCCTTCTCAATAATGAACCAAAGCAAGACAACGCATCATCAATATAATTCCTTCATATGTTTCCAACTTTTGCAATGGTTTTGCTGGTCACTTGAAATTACAAGGATTTAACCTTTTACCTATTTAGACCCAAGAACACAAACATTATAATCCAGTTGACTAGGTTGATTTTCAGGCACATTACAATGACACAAATAGAGCACCAAAAAGTATTGTTTTAAGACAAACTTTTTTAAAAAAAAAAAAAAATTACAAACCAGCAGGTAATGAATAATAACTACTGAACAGAATTACTGGTCCGAATAGGAAGCCTAAAAAGGGAGTCATGTTCTTTGTGGAGTTGTGAATACACTTAAACTGCTGCTGCATCACATCATGGTTAAGGAAAGCTAAAACAGTGGTTCTCTTTTGAATTTAAACAAGAATCATGGGGGGTAATAGTTCCTGATTAGGCACACGAACACAGTCTCTCTAAACCGATTAAAAGGTTTTAACGTAGGAACAAATAAGTATCAAAGTGCGTTAAAGTGATGTGACTGCATAATCCAATTGGAAAAAGAATACTGGTAATATAATTACGGAAGTGACAAACCAAAAGAGTGAGAGGGGGTGGGGAGGGGGGTTATGACGTACCAATAGTAGGAACAGTAGACAAAACTTCACCAATGTGGAGCTTATACAAAATGGTAGTTTTCCCTGCAGCATCAAGCCCTAGCATCACCACCTATTACAATCGAACAAGCAAGGATCAGACAACTTCTTTTTTCCCTTTCCTTTAATTCAAAATTAGGGTGGAGAGAGAGATGGCGGAAAAAAGAGAACACATACTCGCATCTCGGAGTTGCCGAAAAAAGTATCAAACAGCTTCCGAAAAGCTTGACCCATAATCGATTCCAATGATATGTGCTTGCTTCCGGAGGCGGAGGCGGCCTCAAAGTGTCCCTCCTATATACTATACTTTGTAAGAGTTGGTAAGATCGAAGAGACGAAGAAAGTAGAGAAAGAGGATCCAAAAACTCTCTGAAAAAAAAAAAAAAAATAGGGGAGAAGAGAGACGACGGAGCAGCTTTCCCTATACTAGTGCTACTTTTCTTCTATTCTCTAATTCTAATTCTAAAACAATAATAATAACTAGATGTTTGGCCGAGCCAGATGCCCGGGCGCCCCTTCTAAATTATTATTTTATTAAAATCTAATTGAATTACTATTTTTTGAGGAATTAATTTGGTGTATATATCATTTATGCTATGGTTTGGGACTTAAAAAAATATACCTATAAATCTGAGGTTATAAGGAAATAATAAATAATTAGTTTATAAGGTATTATTCTTAATTAATGGATTTAGGTTTTTTTATTTTTTGTTTATATTAAGCCTGCAAAACTGTACGATTGGACATTTGAATTTGAATTAATATATCCATTCGTTTGAAATGTAACTGATTCTTATTTGTAGAATTTTTTCATTGGATAAGTGTCACATTTAAAACATGTGTTTTTTTTAAAAAAAGAATTATATAGCTTCTAATTAAATATATTTACACGTGGCAAAAAGACTTCTGAAATCTGAAATATGGTGCATTAGAGCCAAAACAGATGCATACGTAGTTGCCACATAAGCTTCATGTCTTCTGCTTTAATAGGGTAAAAGGGATAATGATAAAAGTTATAACATGAATAGTACTCCCTCCGTTCTAAAATAAGTGTCATTCTAGAGTTTGCACATAGTTTAAAAAAACATTAAATAAGGTAACTAAATTATTAGAATATCCTCAACCAACCCCATTAAAATAAACGTTCCTCAATAATATTATTTCTTTTGAGGGTATGTTTGGAAATTTTTGATAAAAACTGCATTGAAATGCATTGAAATCCAAAAACGACACTTATTTTGGACGGAGGGAGTACTAATAATGCGTAATTCAATAATTTTTTTTTGAAAGTGTAATTCATGATTGGTAATAATGAAGAAGCAGCAATCGATTTTATCCCGTTCGGTGGTCCAACTGTTTCTAGTGGTAGTATTGATTCTCTCTTCTTCTTTTTTTTCCCCCTTTTTTGTTGGGAATATAGTTAGTATTGATTCCAAGACCAAAACAAATACTACCACGCAAGCTCCTCATCCCCTTCAATCCTCCTAAAAAGGTTCTTCATGTTTTTGGCTCAATTGGATTAGTCTTTTTAATGTGTTTTTTTCTTTTTTTTGTTAATTTTTTTTCTATTGACAACGGAAAAAATATATCAAAAATGTAAAAAATATGTTGAAATTGATCAATTATTAATTACAGATTGAAAAAAAAAAAAACCTATAAAGGAAACAAAATTCCTGCCCAGGCTTTTGTGTGCGAGCGTCTCCGTATAAGAACTACAATATTATTCACGAAAGATTATTTACATAAGTTAATTTTTCCCATCAAATATTAATCACACCCTTTTTTTCCCCCATAAAGTTGCTTCTTTTTTTTTTCTTTCATAAAGTTAATTCTTCCCACCAAAGAAAAAGTTAATGAAAAAATAAAACACATAAATTGACCGCAAGAATTTCTCTGCACACACCTAAAGTGATTAATTTTATACAAATTAATAATTATAATTATAATAGTAACCCCTTCCCTCCTCCCGCTTCAACCGTCAAATCACAACATATTTCTCCCTAAAACCCTCCCTAAATCAGAAATCTAAACAAAATTACTCTACAACCCCCCCAAACCCCACCCACCCCCCCGGGGAATCTCCCCCTTATCTCTGTCAATTGAACGCCAGACAGAGTCTTCCAATGGAGGAAAAACAAGTTCTCCAAAAATGGTGATCAGCATAAAAAGCAAAAATTATATATAACTCTCTCAGCCGCCCTCCTCCCCTATCGTCTCTATCTAATAATATCCAGCAAAGCTTGACTTTTCCAATCCACACGATTTCCTACGACATAAAGTTCAACTAATCAACTATGAGTCCACCATCTCGTCTTGGATCTCATTTGGTGCAATCAACCCTGGAATGGACCTCATCCGCTGTCTCTCCTTTTCTAGTTGCACAGCAGCTTCTTCCGCATAAAGATCCTTGTTGTCCTTCAGAGGTGGGGGAAAAAGAAAAATTAAAAATTTTCAAATTAGCACAGTGCACAAACACCACCTATATTTGCCAACACTACCTTCTGCATCTCAAAAATATTAGCAAAAATGGATCGCAAGAGAAACATTCCATTATTATCTACTCCCTAACTTTCAGTTATCCGTGACCTCAGTGACACAACCACATCCAGTCATCAAATAGTGCGGATGAGAGGAAAGGAAAGCAAGCAAGCAATTCATGAGCTGGCAAGTATACCTGAGCAGAAAATTCTTTTGATTGCACAAGGAAGTCTCTTATGTGGTGCTTAAATTTGGAGAGTTCAGTCCTAGATTCAAAAAGCCCGTTCACAAATTGTGCAACCTGAAATCGTCCAATGAGCTAAAAATAAGAAAATGTGCAAGTGCCACCACATAGATACTATGAGAGAGCTTTGCACTCTTACCTCTGCTGCAGTCATGTTTGGAAACGATGAACTCAAAAGTTTAATGGTATATTCACGCACAAACATTCCATTATTTGAATACGGGTAAGAAACTGTGGAGGCGTCCCACAAAGGCTCTGTTAACAAACCTGACTCTACCTGGTTAGACAAAAAAAATATATAAAACAAACTCAGGCGGATATTCCCACAAATATAAAAGCTTGCAGGATATTCGCAAGGAGAAATTACCAGACAAAACAGATGCTGCAGAACTAAAACATGTAATTTGAACCCAGGCTTATGAAATGTGTCAGTTAAAACCGCAAATATCTCTTGCTCAATCATCAAAAAATATATACGGTAGAATTGATTGCAGAACTCAGAGGCCTGCCAATAAATAGGACACAAACATAAGAACCAATGAAGCAGATCACAAATAATACAAGAAGAAAATTTAAAATGCAGACCTGGAAGTTCTTGAGCATCTCTAATAGAAGAATCAATCCAGTTTCAGCAATATTCCTTTCAGTATGACGGAAGGCCCAAATAATAGAATCCATTACAAGTTTAAGTTGCTGTAGAAGATCATCGTATGCAATCAGCACTAACTCTTTAAGAAGGAAGATGGGAAACACAGAGAGATTGGAGAAGGGGGTGGGGGGTTGGGTTTGGAGTGCAGCAGTAATTGAGTAATTACCTCACTTGACAAACGAATCAGAGCATGAAAACAGTGCGTAGCAATGGCACGAAGCAACGAGAAAAACTTGAGGCGATGTTCGGGATAATCTTCAAAGTTCTTAGTAATCATCTGAACCGCAAAAAAAACACATCGGCAAATATATAAAAAGGTGTGCTTAGGGCATTTACGGGGCAAGTAATCCCCCAACTGTCCGAAACTTCAAATTTAATCGAACTAATCAGTCTTACTAACCTCCAGGGTACACTGGAAAACCGCTTCGAATATCCGAGGAACATCTTCTATCATTGCACCTTTGTACCTAAGCATAGAAACAAAGTCAGACTTCAGCTGAATGACAGAAAAAAGAAAGAAATTTCCAACAGCAACAAATAGGAACAAGTCAAGCATGATAACACTCAGTGGGTAAAAAGATAATGTATCGTTAACAACAAGAAAACTAGCACTACTGATTCCCTAATTGTAAAAAGCAAACATAAATACTTTAAAAGAATTACAACATGACAAGAAACTCACTTGTTAATGATTGTAGCAAAAAGAGAGAGAACTTCTGACTCTCTAGCATCAGGCAGATTCCGGGCATAGTCACCTAGTATAGGGTCCATCATTGGGGGAACAAATTGCTTTCCGATCTGTGGCTGATCTTCAGCCTTATCTAAAAAGGTCTCAATGAGTTTAAGTGTTTCCCTCTTTACTGATCTGCTCAGCAATATCAAAAATGAAAATTAGAACTCAAAGAATAGGGAAGGTTGGAAAAAATGGTCCGCCAAAACTCACCGCAGAAGTTTCACAATAGATGTCTTGGAAGCATAAGGCCCTCCTTGTGCAATGCTGGTAGATATGAGCTCACTATACATTCTGTTGCGCACAGAGGGGGATGCAAAATCAGATACTAAACTCCAAAGAGTCTCCATAATGAACATTTTACAAAAATAAAACCCCAGAAAATCATGGAGAACGAATCTAACAGAAGGCGGGAACATGGCACCTATACACATTGAGCATGTCCAGATAGATTAGAGAAATCTGAGACAAGAAATACGTCCCAAGCGAGCTGGCAACACTGGTATTTGTCTGCAAAATATCAAAATTTACAGTTTAAATTGAATAGAGGAACTCTTTTCAGACAAACTAACAACACAGTTATTTTAAAAAAGAATAAAGAGTTGGCCAGACAGCCCGAGAAGATCCAAATTTGCACCTGCAAAATATTGAGCACCGCCTTTATAACCCCTTGATCTTTCAAGAAATCTACACTATGACGGGCTTGCCCTATGATTTCATTCCATTTCTGCATAAACAAGGTTCACAAGTCACATATGAAGCAATTGAACTCCTGGTAACAAAGCACCACCCCACTCAAGTTAGAACTAAATCACCCCTCTACCCCACCCCCCCCCCCCCACCAAAAAAGAAATCAATAGGACCACTTCCTCTATAAAGAGACTAAGGAAAAACGATTAGCATATACTTTAATAGTCAACTTTCCAAAGCAAACCAATTAATGACTAAATGCTATTAACTAATGATGTGGAATTATGAAAAGATAGAAGACTGTAAACATAGAATGAAACTCGTGATTGACTAAATACATCAAAATGTGTTCAAATCCACAAGTAAAATGAAAAAAAAAATTAAAAAATAAAAAAAAAGGAATTTGCTGACCATAGAATGAAAATCATGATTATAAACATTAAATGTAGTTAAAATTAATAAAAATAATAAAAGAGACTTTCAAGGTTTGTAACAAGGGTACAATTAAAATTCAAGGACTAAATCATAAGCTACATAAATAAATGAGTACACACATTGACAGCCAAAAAGGGAAAAGTATCACTACTAGATTACGACAGATCTCGCATATTCTTTAATTCTTGAACTTTTCCGGTCTCTTTTGATTTTGATCCAGTTGATTCAAGATTGATTGATTTTGATTTTCTTGTGAAAGAAGGAAAAAAAAAAAAGTGCAAAAGAAAAAAAAAATCATACAAAAAACAAAGAGAAAAAAAAAGGAAAGAAAGAAAATAAATAAATAAGTTGTTTTGTTGCTTGTGATCCAGGGTTTGCAATTTTGCCCTAAACTTGTGTTTAAAGCTAGGGTTTTGATATTTCCCTTGTTTTGGCCAAGAACTAGGGTTTTGGAAAGGTGTACCCTAACTTTCAAAAAAAATCTAGGTTCTCTTGGTTCTATAGGCGAGATTGCTAAATTTTATTTGTAACTTGATCTAAAGTCGTGTTCTCCTTAGATCTAGTAGCAAATATTCAGAGCGTATCTTTCCTTGACCTCTTGTCTTTTATTACTTGTTATTCTCAATTGCAATACTAAACAGATGGCAGGGTTTTTTTAATTATTCCAAGGCCAACTTACTTGATTAGGAAGCTCCATCAATCGCTGCAAATATTCATCCCTTTTCTGAGGGTCGGGTTCAGCTTGAATCATGTGACCAACCTGACACAATGCAGGCAGCAGAAAGTTGATCTCAAAACCAAAAAAAAAAAAAAAAAAAATTGAAATCAAAATGGTGAAACGGTGGAGAATTGACACAAATATTGGCTTACAGATTCATAAAATGTATGAATTTGATGTGGCTCAAGATCGACAATTGTTGTTGGAAGTGTAGTCAAAAGTTCAGACACAAAAGGTTCGCTTTCTCCAAGCTGAAACCAACACAAAAAAACGAATAAGACCAGAAATGAACATCTTGGTGTAGGAAAATTTCATAAAAAGCAAGAAAAATACCAATACTCACTTGCACAATGACAAATTTTCTCTTGCATTTCTGAACAATTTTCAAGAAAGTGTCACAGGCCATGTCCTGCGATAATTCATACCACTTACAAAAATAAGACAAAAGTATATTTCCCAAGGATGGCAATTGCTTTATAGTGTGTGTTAAAACACAACTAAATAACAAAGATCTCGATATATACAGAAACTCAAACAAGATAGCTACTTCATTCCATAATTCAAGGATTTCCACTTTTAAAGATGTAAAGTTTCTACATGATTACAGAAGGGTTGATAAAGATGAACCTGAACTCCAGGATGTGTCTCGTGCATGAACTCAAATAACTTATTTACAACTGTTTTCAAAAACTTCCAATGAGCCCTCAAGAATCTTGGATATTGACCAACTACGTACCTAGAAAAATGAAAATGATAATGCAATGTAATCATGTTAGCTGACAACGGAACTATGGCATCAAATCGGAACAATGCAGGAGAAAAGGGGTTAATCTCACATTATGTTACTGGCAATCACAGCTTTGTTGTCTTTGCCTTTCGTAATTTCACAAAGGTTTAACAAGTCACGAATCACCATCACAAGAAACCGATTTTCCTGCCACAAGTTATTACAGGATTAATACAGACCAAATGTTAATACAAAAGCATGGATTAAACAAAAGAATATAAATAGAAGTTAGGAACACAAATGCACATGTGAAACATTCAAGGAGAGAAAGCCAACAACCAAAAATAGAAAGCCACCTGCTCCTCCAACATTGATCCAGATATAGATCCTATGGCCCAGCATAAAGTATTAAGGTTGTTCCACGTCCAGTCATCACCATTGAGCTGCTTACTCAACTTTTTTAACATCTGCAAAGAAAATTCCGTCGGTGCACAAGATATAGGGAGACGAAAGTTGTAATCCTGGACAGACAGTATACTTATAAACTTAAAGCAAAATACAAGACTCAACAAAGATAAGCATGTCATGTGTTTTGCGTTCCATAACCATAATTCTACAAAATTCATGAATTAAGTTGTCATCTAAAAGTAACAGCAACAAGGGATACTATGATTTAAAATTCATTATAATAAAGATCAAAGAACATACAACTTGGGACACGGTCAACTCATAGGTACAAAACAAGATGACATGAAAAAGTACCTGCTTTTCAGTGTCTTCGTGATCAAGATGAGATAAATATATCAGTGTCTCTCGCATGCTCTGGAATACATCAATTGTCAGACATTGCAAAAGAGGGAACATCAGTGACATACAAAAGAAACACACTATCAAAACTGGTGATCAAACACCAACAAATTCAAACAAATGAATCTGCAACACACAATCAGACATTACAAAATCACATGCATCACCAATGTCCAATACTGGTAATGACTATTCTTTTTGCAAATGGAAAATATTACGATTTAGAAAGTGGCTAGTTCTCTTGCTTAGCGAAAAAATTCTCCGAACATAACAAGCACCAACACACATTCCAGCAAAGAGAAGGGCACTGAAAAGGACAAATTTAAAGCACAAAATTACCTTGTATTGCACAAGAACATCATTGTCCTTCATGGTTTCACGAACAATATTTCCATTCTCATCTTCTACGATCAAAACCTCCTCAGGTTTAGCCATTCTAGATATCATGAGTGACCTCAACTTTGACATCGGCTCAGCATAAAGCTGTCGTCTCTTCTGAATCAACTGCGTTCCGAGGCCATCAATTACCCCCGGAATCATTGGCATCTGTTAGGTTAAATAAAAAAAAGTACATCAGAATCTATTACCAAAGAGACTAAGATTAAAGGGAAATCCCTATAACCAGAGAACAAAAAAGAATCAAGAACATCTTGCAGTAGAAGGCTTCACAATCCAAAAGAATCTACACAACCTGCAGTCCCATCATAGTAGCAGTTACAGCTGGATTGTCCGAGTTGTGGTGTGCCTCAAACAGCTCCAAAACTAATGAGTTCCAGTAATCTAAACAAACCTATCAAAAGAATACCAAGGGCAATGAAAAATCATCAACAATCAAAGAGAGCATGACATTCTACGTGAAAATGTGGCTGATGTTATGGCTAGCGCAAGGCAATTTTCCAGTGTGAGATAATATTTCTTTGCAACCAAAATATTAACATACCTTAAAAACTTCTGTGTCATCCACGTATGAGATATTAATGAGATATTCAAGTCCAAGTAACAAAGAACCGACGTTTTCTGGCTCTAAGACCCGGATATGAAACTGCCAATAACAATAAACTCGGTTAAGAAGCCATACCCACACACCACAGACAACCAAACACAAGCCGATGGATGAAATCACAAACTTAGATCCCTAGTCTTTATCAGCTCAGACAGAAGTTACTACTGTGTTCCAATACGACAAGGTTTCAATATGTTTCCATATTGCAAAGGTAATGAAATCCACTCTACAATCAAAACAATTATTCTGAAAGCTAGTACCACACAAAATATGAACAACTAATCTAAATGGGCAAGAAAAAAAAATAAATTAATGCCCAACCCAGCAGATAAAGGAAACCTACCTTGAAGAATGATGTGAAAAACATTGCCAAATTCTGAATAAAAGCCTGACCAAAACAAGAGTTTATAGTCAGCTCCATAACACTCGTGAAAATCCTTGCAAAGATCATAATCAAAGATACTAATAGTGTATAACCTGATCCTCAGTGCTACCAATTGCATAAGCTTCGGGTATATTTATGTTCAGCGGCAGAATGGTCTGAAACAATAAACAGTTTAGGAGCATCCACTGTCAGTAGGAATTCTATTAAACCCACAATGATCACCAAAAAATCAATGGTACCTGCAGTTGGCCAACGAATACGTTGTACATCTCAACATATTGTGCGTCGTAAACATCACCAAAATTTAGGGCAGCAACCTGACACAATTATGGAACGGATTCTACAGGTTAGAATAGATTACGGCAACAGAATAACTCCTTAATTAGGAGGCTGAAAAGATCATTCTTTTACCTCAGTCAAACATTGGAGGGCAAGATTACGATAATCAGGCACAGGAAAGAATTTGAGAAGTGTTTCCAACTGCATAACACACAAGAAAAAATTCTTATCCATCTATGCATAACGGCATAAAAGATAGAATCGACACTGTCCCAATACAATGAATCGACACTGCCCCAATACAATGATATCAAGTTACAATATGAAGAACACACATGACAATTTCAGCTCCAAGCCAGTAAACAGGCAAATGCTCGACATAATTCATCAGTTTAAAAAACAAGAAAAACATTACTAACCAATGGTGACACAAATATATAGCCCAGCGGAATCCATGAAAGAAAGGCATGCAATGTGGCCAATGTAGCTCTGATGAGTTCAACTCTTTGAGATGCAGAAAGAACATACAAGCATAGCTCGTGAATAAGTTGGAATTCGCTGCAAAGAAACAACAGAGGGGAGGTGTTTATATGTTACTCCAAGGAAAAATTCATCCATGAAAATAAATTTTCAGAAACGAAAAGTTCGGAAATCTATGAAGTAATAAACAACGTCAAAGTGGAGGGAAAATGAAAACGCTAATCAGCATTTATTCTACTGTGTCGGATCAGCAATATGAATCATGAAGTAACAAAAGATAACATGAATGTTTAACCACTAACTCTCGCGGACAGCAAACCGTTACCCAGCGAAAAATAATGTCATATAAATGGTACCTGTTCAAAGATTGTTTAAGTTCTTTGATCTTCTGCTGAGTCATTTCGCCCCTTGAGAAATCAAAGACCTCTTCGCTTAAAAGCTGAAAACAGAATCTTTCATCACTCAAATGCCTCAAGTCAAATAGCCAAGTATTAACAAAATAATAAATTTTACCTTCAATATAGCCATGCAATTTTCACAAATAGTGACACTCGTTTTTGCAGCAGCAACTAAATCAGGGATGAAACTTCGCCACCGAGCTGGCCACTCATGCTTCAAAATCTGACAAATGAAGAAGGAATAACAAATAATTAAGAAAGCATTGTAAATTTACAACCCTTTAGCAAATTGTACTGAAAAGGGTTCGATAGAAGAGAAGCGCTCCACAATTGGCACGTGACTGATTTTAGCACTAAATAAAAAACTTACCTGAACCAATATAATGTTCAATTTGTTGACATAGAGTCTTTCAGATCGAAATGAGGCCTCATCACTTGAGAGCTACAAAGAAGTAAAAAGAAAATTAAAAAAAAAAAAAAACTAAAAAAACTTGCTTATGACTCAAATCTGAACAAAACAGAGTGGGACGGGAACAAAGAGTCTGGAAATATTACCGTTACAATAACATCAGAAATGTAGTTTTTCATCCCATCTCGTTGCTCAACAGGCAAGGCATTCCATCTGTATTTAATGACACCTTCCAGGACCTGCACATGTAAGCTCCATAAATATTACCTCAACAACAACAGATAAACTAACAATGAAATGAGAAACGCTTTATTCTTAATTGTGATTCAACAAGAAACCAATGATTCGGAAACTTAAAAAAAAAAATCGCAAACATAGAAAAGGGCATATCCCAAAGAAGCATCAACCCATTTCATTCCCAAATACCTCCTGATAATAAAACAACACAACTTCCCTGGGCGTGAGGAATAAGTTAAGACAACATTGGGAGGAACAAAATCCAAAGAAAAGACATGCAAGAGCTACATCACAGAAACCAATGGATGATCATAAAATGTACCAATAAATCGAGCACTAATGACAACTGGATTCAAAACTTCACAGCGTTCGACTTAACTTCAACAGAAAAAAATAACAATAACTACATAGCATCAAACTATCACCCCAGTTCCCTAAACTTCAAGGATAGTTTCAATTAAGTGTAACAGGCAATTCTCCACTCAGTCTGTAGAATTTTAATAAAACAAGGGAGGAAAATAACAGAAAAGGGCATTGGGAGCATTGGGTTCTCAAAAATTCCTCCGAGAGTGCTCCTTCTGAAAGTTCAACAGAACAAAACAAAGCATAAAAAACTAGTAACAAAAAGAAAATTAGATCATCTGAACCCGCATATCCACTAAATCTCGTTAAACAGAGTAGACTCCCACTTCTAACCCCCAGAAGAGACAAGCACGACCTTAAGGGAAGGGTAAAAAGAACAACCAAAAGTGAACAATAGCACAAGAAAGCTGTCACAAAACAAGAGAGAATGTGAAACTGACCTGCAAAGCGAAAAATTTTGTATTCAACTCTTTAGTGCTCGACAGGATGTGAACCACTTGAAGCCACATATCAGGATTGTTTTGCAAGTCCCGCAAAATATGATCTGCGGCAGCTCTCTACAGCACAGAATGCACAGAAAAGCCAATGTAGTCAAGCAAAATAAATTTCATGGAAATAAAAATATATATATATATATATGAAAAGACAGGATGCAATTTCAGGAAAACATAAAAAGTATCCAATCCCACTTAGGAGGCCGCAAAATGTACAGTCTAAGTTAAAAATGAGAAAATAGTAGCCAAAACCAGCAGAAACTAACGTCTTCAACAACAGTAAATAAATAAATGGGAAAAGAAGAAAAGAATGTGAACGGTGTTGGGCGTGCCAAGCCAGACCCCAGTGAACTAAAGGTCAGTTAATCGAAACTAGAACGGCCCCAACCCCCCCCCCCCCAACCCTAACTCAAATATGTACCAAATGAATGTGCCAAATGAACAAGGGAGAACTGCAAAATCTAAGTTTCTCTGTTACATCTATCTGGCATTGGAAAACAAAATCAAGCAGGCAGAAATATAGTGCATAATATTTATTTTTTGAAAAAGAAGAAAGAAGAAAAACAAATAGAGAGGGTAGGCAGAAAAGACCTCTTCCTTAGATCCGGTGCCATAGAAGGCAGCAACAGTGGCGTCGAGTAAAGGAACATCAATCGGCTGACTCAAATCTCTGAGCTTTTCGGCAGCCATGACTGATTGAATCAAACACACTGATAAACCCTAGGCAATTTTCAATTAGAAGACAGGAAAAGATACAACGGAAGCCAAAAAAAACCCTAGCCGGAGGAGGATTACGGACGGACGGGAAAAAAAAAACCCTAAGCGCGCAATGTGAAAATCAATTTCCTTCAGTTGAGGAGAAAAAAAAAAAGGAAAAGATGCGAACGACGGTTCCAGTAGAAAAAGAAATACCACACTAAAACCCCTCGCCGATATTTAAATACTAAAAATAAAAATAATAAATATATCTGATGAGAGAAAAAGACAGCTTCAATTTGAAGCAGACTGTTTCTCTCTCTAAAATTTATAAAACTGTACTCTTATGTATGATGTTGTTTCTAGCGAGTGAGAGATGTAACTTTAATTTTTAAAGCTCTTGGGCCTTTGGCTTCTTCCCTCCTCCTCTCTTTTCAATTTGTCTCTCATAATAAATTTACTGTTTTTCGTGGTAAATTTTACTTGTTCCCTGTTGATAATATTTTTAAAGAACTAGGAACGGTGCCGCGGAGTGTTTGTGAAAATTAATTTGGTCTTGGTGACGTAAATCTACGTTAAATTATGTCTTATTTCTATTCCATAAATATTTTTTCTTCTAAAGTCAAAATACAGATTATAATTTTGCTTGAAGGGGTGATAAAAACTGCACTGCAACCACTTTGACTTGCATGATACCACACTCTATCTCTGTAGTTTTCCAGCCAGTTACTGCTTCCAAAGTGTTGGCGTGAAACATCAGCACTTGAAAATCCTGATCGAATAATCTATGGAGTCCAGCTATCATTTTTTCTAAAACACCAACAGGAATTCATGATCAGTCACTGGAAAATCATTTTGCAATGATTCCTTGGATTTGGATTGTTTCATGAAGTTACCTGCAATGATTCATTTGAAGCACTCATATTGATAGTGTTATATATCAAGTTGAAGAAGATGGAAATTCTATAACATCAGGATTTAAATTCTTGAGTAAGTTATGAAGTTTATTGATGCATAGTCGTATTGAAAGTATTTTATCAACAAAAGTTGTTGACACAGATTTAGCTGAGAATTTTGTAACCTATTAGAACAATTTCCTTGTGCTGTTAAGGATCTTGAACATCGAGATAATCTTGACTGTGTCTGAAACATCCTAACCAGCAGTACAGATCTCAATAGTTTTCCTTTTCCAGTCATCAGAATTTCCTGAGCCCCTTCCTACAAAAATTCAAAATGCTTAGCATTGGATTTCTCCAATATCCATTCATTGAGGGAATGCTATAGGGTCTGTGGTTAATGAGTGAAAACTCCATGTCTTGATACAAAGGATTCAAAATCTACCTTGAATAAGAAAGTAACTCATTGATTTATGGAAAAATAAGGAGGCGTTTGTTTAGTCATCTGGAAACGGATTCAGGAACCGGATTTGAATGATGAGGGATTAGATTCGAATACTCGCGGATTCATGAATCCAATAGTATTATTTGTTTGATTAATCTATTTTTTCTAATTAAATAAAAAAATAAAATAAAACGAAAAACCAAAACCTCAAGCCCAGAAAACTTCAACTTTCACCCTCCAATCCCCAAAGCATCGAACCACCCAGAAGAAAACATCCTCCACCGGCCACCACCCATCTTCCGCCACCCCTCAAATCCTCAAAGCATCGAGCCAAAATTTGAATATCATCACCCCTCCCCTTCCTCTTCCCTCACAAGATAGGCAAACAAGAATTTATTTGGATAGTCCAAGATGCAAGGAGAAAAGGAACGTAACTTCCAATAAATTTATTGCTTATTCAGGAAAAATGGAATAAAGCACATCTTGTTCCCCAGTTAGATCAAGCTTGGTTAGATCTAAACTGTTCATTCATGTTCACGGTTTAGAAATAGTTGTTGATGTAGATATATTGAGTTGGGAATAAATCGGGCTATAGGAAGTGATACAAAGTTGGTGGTGGCTATGGCTCTAACGGCGGCTGCGGAGGATACGGTGTCAGCACTGGCGGCAAAATTGGGTTTGGACGTAGAGGATGAATCGACGAGGGGAAGAAAGAAGAAGAAGAAGAAATTTTTTTTGGATAAGATGTTTAAAAAAAATCAGAAAATAATTGAAAATTGGATTCAACTTGAATCCTGGGGGGAGTACTGATTCATTCTTTCGGATTCACCCCATTCCATGGATTCAATTCCGTGCAACCAAACACTGGAAACGGTTGTGAATCCAATTCTTGAATCCGATTCCAAGCAAACAAACGGCTCCTAAGTTTACTTTTCTTTTGTGGTATATGTACGGCATGTCATGTTTACTTAAAACATAGGAAGTTACAAAGAAACAGATACAATAGCCGTGCACCTAATCAACTCCCAATTTAATTGAACTGCTTTCCTGATAATCTTTTCATGACGTGTCGACTCCTTTTATTATAATCACAGCAAACCTTCAATAGGCAACATAATTGAACTGCTTCAGCTAAAGTATCTCCTGGACAATCTTTGAACCCTCACTATATCTTTTGTAGCATCTATGGCATCGAGGATTTCCACGTACCTACATTCAGAAAACCACTTAAATTCACAGACGAATATAAATAATGTTAAGAGGTAATCTACACCAAATGATTTGGATTAAAAATCGTAATAATGAGTTATTGCTATGCAAGAGGCAGATATTTAAGGAATTTAAGTAGCTCTAATTTGAAGGACTGTCGCCTCACCAGTAATGTTAAATAGACCTCTTTGAGGCCCGGAATTAAACAGTTGTAAGACATTTAACATTCTAGAACATAATTTTCAAAATGTTTAGCATTTGGTTTTCCCGATATGTGTTCATTAAGAGCATCATTTGAACATTAGCAATGTCAAAAGGATTCGGCATGGTGAAAAAACTATTACGGAGGCCACCATGAGGTCTAAACATACGTTGGAAAATGGCTCGAGATGTTGGGGGTTGTCCGATGCATGCATATGACGGAAAATATCCTCAAAATCAGATTGTTGGTAAGGCATGAACAACTCGGGGGCTGCCAAATCCCCGGTCATGGCAGGAGAGGAGAGTGGTTGTTTACCTAATATAATTTCACCAGTAGACCCATTCATAAAAGTCCATTCTCCTTCATGTATCACTTTGTCTCTTACTACTAGGACTTGCAATTTGGTGTCGGACATGTTACAAATCTAATAGGCTTTATTGATTAGGCCACATGTAGTCTCTTTTAATGAAATTTGTACCAATGTACTTTTTCAGAGTTATTAACATGGATGTCGGCACAACCAGAAACACAACATTTTCCTCACCCACGGGCCACAATAATAGCATGGGGAGTTATTCCATCATGTGTAGTCAAGATTCCAGCAGGTGCATGCATCCCTCTAACATCCTCTCGGCCGGTTTCAGTTCTTACCTTCGAGAGCAATCAATTGAGAAAGATAGAAGCATTAAACTGCTATGTATAAACTGCTATGAATAAGTGATCATGTACCAAAATGACGGTCTTTCCTCGAGCATACCACTATTCAACATCTTCAGCAATAAATACGATCTGCTCTATCACAGCTCCAGGGGAAATAGGAATGAGCACGCACAGCTTAACATTGAATCTGATAAAAAAAGAATAAACAAAACAAAAGTGGTTTATTATCAGAATACCAGAAATGTTACCAAACTAGAGAACAAAAGTAAGCATAGGGAAGAGTAGAATTTTACTTTCGTTTAATTGGCATTTGCAGCTTCGAGGACTTCTTGGTGTACAACATTTTTTGTATAGTCGGTGCTTTGTGTAAGTGGTTTTGCTGGTCGTATGAGTACTTTCAAATGTTTTATTGTTTTTGCTCTTGATAATGCAACATAGAGCTGACCATGTGAAAATACTGGTTCTTTCAAATAAATACCAGCATAGTCTAAAGTTTGGCCTTGGGCTTTATTGATTGTCATTGCAAAACACAAACGTATTGGGAATTGTTTTCTCTTAAATGGAAAAGATGATAAAGGTTTTCCTGTGTATGGACCTACCGATATTCTAGGCAAAATTACATTTTTGACAAAACCTTCACAAATGAGACGTGTACCATTGCAAAGACCTTCTGTTGGGTTGATATTTTTTAGTAATATGATTGGTGCATTCTTTTTTACACTAATTTGTGAGGAGGGAGACCTTGAGGAGTCAAATAGTGAAATAATTCTTGTTTATCTGGTTTAGCACAGTTAGTTGTGGCTTTATCATAACTCAGATATGTAATTTCATCTCCAGAAAATTTGTCAATCAAAAGATCATTAATTTCCTAGACAAAGTCATTTCCAGTAGTAAGTATTGCTTTTGTAACAAATGAAGAAGTATCATAATTATTACTAATGTTTGGAAAGACCATGTCTATAAGAGCATTCAGTGAAGTGGTTTCATCTTCAAAACAAAGGTTAACATTTGGTGGTATTTTAATTTCACCCCTGCTATTAGTTTGTTTTCGTCCTTCACCGACATTTAGTAAATAGGATGAAAATTGAGGATCCAATAAAGCTCACATATTTTGGGTTAGCTTCAGTTTTTCAAACTAGTTCGACAGTAGTGACATAACAATAGAAGAATTTATGATATCTTGTTTTGAACATTTTACAATAACAGGTAATGTTTGTCGGAAATCACCACCAAAGACAACAACATTTCCACCAAATATATTTTGAATTCATTACATCTCTTAACACTGCATCAAATTTTTAAATCAGATGACGTTTGGCCATAGTAGCTTCATCCCAAATAATTAGTTTTGCAACTTTTAGCAAATAAGATAAGGTGCTTGTTTACTGATATTACAAGATTTAGATTTTTTTTCACCTACAGGAATTTTAAATCTAGATGTGAAGTTCTTCCTCCAGGAAATAAGGATGCTGCAACCCCTGATGAAGCTGTAGCCAGGGCAATTTTTTTTTCATTTTTACTGAAGCAAGAAGAGCTCTATAAAGAAAAGTTTTTCCAGTACCGCCATGACCATCCACAAAAA